GGTTAACGTCCAACGAAGAAAAAACGAGTTTGCTCGGATTCGAACTGGCGACCTTCAGTTTGTTAGTCAGGAATATTACCACTTTGACATAACGACTCAAAGTAACCAGAAACTCGGGTCACGTGATTTTTTCTCCTGATTTGTTTCAAATTGAGCAAGTTTGGAGGCTTCTAACTTCGTAGATAATGATGCTACGAATTGGCGTTCGGTACGAAAAATAAACAAAAGAACTCAAAAAGTCTGACCATACCATTTAAAAGCGCATATCTGATAACTATCTTCACAGTGTAAAGCCAAATGTTCTGATATGGGAACATCGAGGTGCTCACGAGAACATCGATGTTCCCAAAAGAGCGCATTGATGTTCTGTGAGAACATCAGTTGGGCCGTAGTGCTGCCAGAGATGAAGACCAAAGAAGCAGTTACCAGACATAATAAACCATAGAAGCAAACAGCAGAGATAGCAAAGAAGTAATGGTAGCAGCGTCCACGGCAAACAGGTAAAAAAAAATAATCGAAACCTAATAAACAAATTCGATTAGTGCTTGTTCTACGTCTTTCTGTGCTCGTTGTCGAACGGTACCTGCTATATTCCACTTAAAAGAAGCAGTATCAAGTGCTTTTAACAGTACAAGGCCGTGTTATCAGAAGCTAGAGTGTTGTTTTCAATCAAAAAGGTTCCAAAACCAATATGGTTTGATATTAAACGCGTTTTGCAAAAAGGGCAAAAAAAAGGAGGATATGGAAAAATGAGAGAGCGCTCTATTCGACGTCACGGCCATTAGATTTGGTCCCAGTATTCTGCCGTCGTGGTAGCCGTAACTGCTGCACTTTAATTTGCAATTGTGCAGTGGATATTTTCGTCTTCAAACTTGACTTGATTTGACATCCTTTGAACGTTTTTGCCAATTTAACTATGAAAAATGTCGTTGCCACATCCAACGTTATAATGCATCTTTAGAGAACTAAAAAAGCCGCATCGAATGGTGCTGATTACATGCAGCTTTCAGACCGAAAATAATGAGCAATTTTCAAAAATATGAAAACAGGTTTTCTGTGAATATGTCAAAATCTAGTATATAAAAGTTTCATATAAACAGCTTCTAGTGTTGCGTTGCATCTTTACAATCAATTTGATTCGATATATATTATAGAAAAAGTCGTCATTTTTGGGGTGAAAAACGCGATCGTTTGATTTTTAAGAATTTTTCCTTACTAGTACACATGAAAATCCTCATGATTTTCATGAATTTGCAACGACCTAAAACATTTTGAAATAAAGCATCAGTAAGTAAAGCGTGGGCAGGGAGAAACGTTTGGCCCTATTCCGAGCTTCCACAACGCTTTGTAGCATGAGTTATTCGTGCTTCAAAATGTCTAAATTTGGACAGAATTTGGCCAAAAATAAGGCGTAGTAGGTTGTGTTGCCAAGGGAGTCAGTAAATCACGGTTCTGTCTGATGACCCCGATGTTCTGCATTGTACGGAAATCAATACCTAAGTGATAAACGCTTTTATTCCACTTCTGAGAAGGTTCAGGTCTTCCTTTTTGAAATGCGCGACTACAGTAATTTCTGTTAAGCACAAAGAATAAAAGGATTATTATCTGTCGCTTATAAAAAATGTTCGATATTATAAAAACAAGAAAAGACTTATTTGAATAAGATCAGACACAAAAACTAAAGACTTATTGATGAAGACAAGAGTTATTCTATTTATACTAAGTTTTGAATGCCAAAATAGCAATTTATCTTATACAACGCTTATCACATCTGATGAACCTCAGCATTTAGATAGCTGAGATGCACTTCAATTATCATAGCTTGTCCATGTTGTTACACAACACAGACATATCTACCCATCAAGAATACCTTATTGATAAGTTTATTCAAATCTGTTTAGAATAACGAAATATAGACAGAGTAAATACAATTAGAACTGAATATATTTATTATGTTATTCCAAGATTGAATAGGGATCAAAACTAGTGTAGATATCAAAGGTATTTATAGTTATTTGACAGTGCCGCAGCAATAGGACCTTGATCTTGAATGCGGGATAATTGTATAAGCCTTGAACCAGTAACGAGGATGTGCTGCATCAGCGCTCATGAACCACCAGTCAAGGATAAACAACAAAGATGATCCAGGATAGAATGTTCTTCCTAATAGCTTTGACGGAAGAACATTTGTCGGAATTGAAACCCACTTCCAGGGACGAAAGGCCATAGGCTACCACTCTCTCTCACTTCTACTATGCATCTCAGCTCATTCTCAGATCCTCTTATGTAATAAACGACGCCTAATACATTTGCCTCTCAGAGATGATCTATATCCTCAACAAAATCATCTATTTTACTCAGTACCATTGGATGCACCTTGAAAAGTACTCCAGGAAAGCTTAAGGAAGCATTTTTTTTTTTGTAGGGGAGTCGAGCTCCAGGTTTTATTTAAAGTCCTTAAAATGTCATGCTGAGGGAAAGAAAAGACTGTTGGTGGACCCAATGTCTGCAATGAAGGGGAATAAGATATTTTGAACTAAGTTGGGAAAGAAATCTACTACTAATAAGGTGCGACACCTAGAGCCAAAACAGTCTTGCGGAAATCGTCAAAATATAGATAATGGATAGAGTACAAAACACCAAACGAGGACATCAGTACTACTTCAAAAAATCAAACAACTTGCGTTCACCAGGATTTGAACCGGGATCCTCCCATTGGCATACGGGAGTTTCTACCACTTCGCCCTACCACCAGGGACAAGCTTAAGGAAGCATTTTTGTAGGGGAGTCGAGCTCCAGGTTTTATTTAAAGTCCTTTAAATGTCATACTGAGGGATAGAAAAGACTGTTGGTGGACCCAATGTCTGCAAAGAAGGGGAATAAGAAATTTTGAACTAAGTTGGGAAAGAAATCTACTACTAATAAGGTGCGACACCTAGAGCCAATACAGTCTTGCGGAAATCGTCAAAATATAGATAATGGATAGAGTACAAAAAACACCAAACGAGGACATCAGTACTACGTCAAAAATTCAGACAACTTGCGTTCACCAGGATTTGAACCGGGATCCTCCCGTTGGCATACGGGAGTTTTACCACTTCGCCCTACCACCAGGGACAGCTTAAGGAAGCATGGGGTGATCATCATATTTTACTTAGTCGAATTTGCAAAAATAGCTTAATCGAATCCAAAACCATCAAGATTTGTCCAATCTGGAACAAACTATGATTCTGGATTTGAATTAATTTTGGCTTGCGGGGCCAGCTGGCAAACTCAATGCCCTTTTCATACTGCAATACAGTAGTGAATGCTCTTGAAGCGTATAAAAAGTAGGTGGCAGGCCATAACGCTATTGTTTGTAATGATATTTTATTGCATTCTATATCGTTCATAATGACATCGTCTTGCATTCTATATTTAATAACGTTAGTCTGGACATTGACGACTCATGGGCTGCGTAAGATGTCTGCAGTAAGTAGTGAAATCTCTGAGGCTCTGAGACGTCGTTCAAATAAAACGTTGACAGCATTGAGCAGAGGAAAGAGGGTAGAATTAACAGTGGTTTTTGTTGATTGATTGTAAAATCATTATTCTCATATGAGCCAGGCCTGACAGATGCCTTGAAACTTAGGTTCCATATTAGGGTTGTAAAGTGTCTAAGGACTGAACATTTATTATGTTATGATATTGAATCAAAAGGTTTCTCTCGATTCAAAGCAACTTCTGAAGCCACATTTATGAGACTTTCATATGCAACATTTCGACATTTTGATCAAAACCTCCATTTCATATTTTCTGAAATTGCTTGGTAAGTTCATTCAAAATATCTATTTCATTTGGCACCATTGTATGCGCCTTGAAAAATACTCCAAGGATGTATTAGGAAGCATTTTTTTTTGTAGGGGAGACGAGCTCCAGGTTTTATTTAAAGTCCTTTAAATGTCATACTGAGGGATAGAAAAGACTGTTGGTGGACCCAATGTCTGCAAAGAAGGGGAATAAGATATTTTTGAATTAAGTTGGGAAAGAAATCTACTACTAATAAGGTGCGACACCTAGAGCCAAGTATTAGGAAGCATAGGGCACTCATCACAATTTATATAGTCTAATATCACTAAACAGATTAAAGAAGTCGAGAAAAGACAATATCTGTCCAATCTTGAACAGTAAAAAAATCACTGAGTTTCAATTGATTCTGGCAGGCATCGCTGCTGCTGGCTGATCCAAGTGCCTTTCTGATGATGACAATGATAACAATGACGATTGCGATGCTGATCAAATGGGGATCATGGATTTTAAAGGATAATTGTTTAGCTCAACTACTTTTTTTTGAGAGTTTTTCCCTATAATAAAGATGCCTTTTGCAATGACAATATCTCAAAAAAGTCGCTGTAGATCTTACATAAATCCTGTATTTACACATGGCCAGCTTTATGCTGCCATCTCAAGAGCAACATAAGCTAATGGATAACTCCCCCTGCTAACTCTGACATAATCTTTTTTTTTTGTTTTTTTTTTACTACTAATTGGTTGTTTAAAATCTACTTGATATGCCAAATTTTTATTATCTCTGATTTGGAATGTCTTTGGTGAGAGCCTGAAGGACGACGCCATCATCGAGCGTAGTGAGATTGATCGGCTAGTGCATCTATACTAGGTACCATTTAACAGTATTCATTCGCCCACTTTAGATGCAATAGATACTAAGAATACAGTTTGTAAATAGCTTTTCGATATAATAGCTCGAGTTCTGTAACTACGAAATGAATCATTTCTAGTATCCAAGACTGGTTGATGCAAAAGACACAACCCCTTATTTATGCAAATTGCTTTCACTAGCACCAACATTTCAAGGGAAAAACCGTCCATATGGACTGTCACAGTTGCTTTTGATTTAGGATTTTTTATTCGAAAAGATTTTAAAAACGAGTATAAGCTTCTTTTAGTTTTTATCAAGTCTTTGTTTTGTGAATATCAACAGCATCCTCAAGAACAAAAAGATGATAGACTCGGACACCGTCATGACACCACCAACAACAGCTGCAACTCCAGTTTCAGAATCTGATGTTTTCAATCCACTTGCATTTGATTTCATTCATGCTGTCAATCAGCTGTCAACACTCATAGGCAGTTCAACATTTGGTAGTGTAGATCTTAGTGTACTCCATCAAGCAACCACAGCTGCCACTATTACCACTGCAGTCGATAAATCCCAATTACTCGATACCGTTTCAAAAGCCATGCTTAAGCCTGAATGGACACTTAGCGTAGTTCGCTTATTTAGACCTATTGTGATCGACCTTGTTGCTCGTTGGACTCTACCCAGCTTTACCGACTTTTTAGACTCTGCTTCTGCATCACCTAATGCAAACAGAACTGTATATAAAATTGAATTGGTTGCAAAGGCCATTAGCGTTGTGCTTCCTATTGTGCCTCAAGTGAAAAGGTTTGTGTGCTAGATCAGAAAATTGAACGTGTGTAGAGACTGACATTTTTGCATAGCTTGGCTGTAACATACTTTAACCATTCCACCTCTTTATTCGAGAGACTCAACCATTTAAATAACTATAGAGAATTAGAGGTACTGGACAATGCACATGCGTTAAAGGTAAATCGAAACTAACATGCTCCCAATCTAGGTGACATCCTCTTTGACAGCTGAATTACAAGATTTGCTGTTAACCACATACCGATTGATTTTTTTTTCAACATCCACATTTACACCACTCTGGAACTGGGGACCTTTGGTGCAATTACTTCAATTCCAAGATCCACGTATTCGCTACATTACTGTCTTGTGTCTCAGTAAAGTGTATGGACTGAGCGATCCCCAAATCAAGAGCTTATTGACATCTGTTGTTGGAGCCGGACACTCCTTGGATGAATCTGATGAGCCTCTTTTTACTACAATTGATGGCAATCGTGTAGATCTTAGATTCTTGAGGTAAGGGTTTAGCTGTGGTAATTCGACATTATGATTGACCCAAGACTCTATTAGTTTGTGGGAGCAACAGCAATTAGCAGATGCTCAGATTTCTCTTTTACACAACAACTACGACCTGCAGCAGAACCAACAACACAAACTATCAGAAGGCGATCTCTGCTCACTTACATGCAACTTGTGTGGCGTGTTGCTTCCCAAGACAGCCTCTTTGAACAAGCAGGAAACTGCCAAGCACTTCTACGACCCCAAGCTTGTGTTGACCAAGACGACTTCAAAGAACCTGCATGCTGTCAGTCTTGCATTATCTATTGGAGCACCTACTTTGTTGGAGGGTGTCACCGGCGCAGGTAAAACTGCACTTATCGAGGAACTTGCTAGCCGAACTGGAAGAGGATCTGAGCTAGTCAAGATCCATTTGGGTGATCAAACTGACCCCAAAGTATTATTGGGTACCTATGTATCCACATCAACACCTGGCTCGTTCCGTTGGCAAGCCGGTGTATTAACAACAGCAGTATTGGAGGGAAGATGGGTTTTGATTGAAGACATTGATTTGGCTCCTGCTGAAGTGTTGTCTGTACTTTTGCCCTTGTTGGAAACGAGACACCTGTTTATTCCCTCTCGCGGTGAAAAGATCAAGGCCAAGGAAGGGTTCCAGCTGTTTGGTACAAGATCCTTTGTGCCTACTCGGTCTGGAAAAGGAATGAGCTCAAGAGGAGGCGAATTGATGACAGGTGCCAATCTCTGGACTCGTGTCCATGTGGAGCCTTTATCTGTGCAAGAATTGGAAACCGTTGTTCGTCAAAAGTTTACTCATATTGGTGATTTTGCCACTCATGTCATGAAGCTCTTTCAAACTGTGGTTGGCATGTATCAAGACCCCAATTTCTCCACTTTGGCGTCCTCGACTATGGGCAGATTCCTTTCCACCAGAGATTTGATGAAATGGTGCCATCGTGTTGATTTACTAATCGGCGAGAAACTGAACGATAGTACCGAAGTTGGTATGGATCTCACGCTTCGTCAAGACTTGTTCAGTGAAGCAAATGACTGTTTCTGTGGCATGATTCCTGATTACAATGTGTGGATGACGGTACTCGAGACACTTGGAAGACCCCTTCAGATTTCAGAGGAATTAGTACGCAACTATGTGGATCAATACAAACCAGCTCTGGAACAGGATGAATCGACCATTCGCATTGGCCGCGTCAACCTGTCATCGATTGCTGCCAGTGGTAAACAGAAACAGAAGCAGGCCCTCATCAAGCGAGAAAAGAAGAGACCCTTTGCTACTACCGGCCATGCCTTGCGTTTGATGGAGCGGATTGCAGTGTGCATTCACTTGACTGAACCTGTCTTGCTGGTGGGTGAAACAGGTACTGGCAAAACGACTGTTGTTCAACATTTGGCCGACATGATCCATCAAAACTTGATCGTCGTCAATTTGTCCCAGCAATCTGACAGCTCTGATCTCTTGGGTGGCTTCAAGCCTGTGGATGGCAAGGTGCTTGCTATTCCCATGAAGGAGGAATTTGAAAGACTGTTTGAAAAGACCTTTTCTGTTAAGAAGAATGGCAAATTCTTGGAGATGGTGAGAAAGACCTTCATTCATCAGAAATGGTCCAACTTTGTCACACTCCTGAAGCAAGCTGTTAAAATGTCCCAGCAAAAATTCGAAGCTGAGCAAAACGCCGAGAGCAAACGAGTGTCAGCACCTACTCTTCGCAATGCCTGGAAGACGTTTGCCAAGAAGGTAGAGGAATTCGAGGTGCAACAGGTGCAATCACAAAACAAGTTTGTGTTTAATTTCATGGAGGGTTCTCTTGTCAAGGCTGTGCGTCAAGGTGATTGGATCTTGCTCGATGAAATCAATTTGGCTACTACGGAAACGCTTGAATGTCTGTCTGGCCTACTGCAAGATGCTCACGGCTCTCTCTTGTTGACTGAGAAGGGCGATGTGGAGCCCATCAAGCGTCATCCCAACTTCCGTCTGTTTGCCTGTATGAATCCCGCCACAGATATCGGTAAGCGCGATCTGCCGCCTGGTCTTCGCAACAGATTCACAGAGTTTTATGTGCATCCTCCTGACAACCGCTACGACGACCTCTTGCAAATCGTCAAGCAGTATCTTGTTGGCATCGCTTCTGGCGACGAGAGATCCTACGATGATGTCGCTGAATTTTACATGAGTGCCAAAAAACTGGCTGCAGAACACAAGCTGGTTGATGGTGCTAATCAGCGTCCTCATTTCAGTATGCGTACCTTGGCTCGTGCTTTGACCTATGTTGCTCAAATCTTCCCCGTGTATGGCCTCAGACGCTCTCTTTACGAGGGCTTCTGCATGACATTCTTGACTCAGTTGGACAAGGAAAGTGAAGTGTTGATGCGCGACCTCATCTTCAAGACGATTTTGCGTGGTGTTCAAAACCCTCAGAATCTGATTACTCAAATCCCTCGTCAGCCCCATGAAGACTTTATTCAGTTCGGCTACTTTTGGCTGCAACAGGGTCAATTCCCACCTGAAGACGATACACGTTACATTCTGACCAATTCTGTTGAAACCAAGCTGTACAACCTGGCTCGCGTTATCATGTCCAGAAAGTTTCCTGTGCTGATCCAAGGCCCCACATCTGCTGGTAAGACGTCCATGGTAGAATACATGGCTAAAAAGACAGGCCACAGATTTGTGCGTATCAACAACCACGAGCACACGGATTTGCAAGAGTACCTTGGTACCTATGTTTCCAACAATGAAGGCAAACTGGTATTCCAAGAAGGTGTCTTGGTGGAAGCACTTCGCAACGGCTACTGGATTGTGCTTGATGAGCTGAATTTGGCCCCTTCTGATGTCTTAGAGGCACTGAATCGTCTCCTGGATGATAACAGAGAATTACTGATACCCGAAACCCAAGAAATTGTCAAGCCTCATCCTCACTTTATGCTGTTTGCTACTCAGAATCCTGCTGGTCTTTACGGTGGTCGTAAGGCATTATCAAGAGCCTTCCGTAACCGTTTCCTCGAACTCCACTTTGATGATATCCCAGAAGACGAGCTGGAAACCATCCTTTCAAAACGCTGTGCTATTGCTCCTTCTTACTGTAAGAAGCTTGTCAAGGTGTACAAGGAACTCATGGAACGCAGACAAAGCACCCGTATCTTTGAGCAAAAGCACGGCTTCATCACACTGCGTGATCTCTTCCGTTGGGCTGGTCGTGATCCTCAAGGCTACCAAGAATTGGCTGAAAATGGCTACATGCTGCTAGCTGAAAGATGTCGTAAAGACGAAGAAAAAAAGGTCGTCAAGCAGGTGCTGGAGCAGGTTATGAAGGTCAAGCTCTCGGAAGATGACATGTACGACTGCAACAATTTAGAGGAATTCGCCATCTATGATCGCATGCTCAAGGAACACGCTGCCAAGACGGGTGAAGATACCAAGCTGGTGTGGACCAAGGCCATGCGTCGTTTGTTCAGTCTCGTTGCCCGTTGCTTGCAACACAATGAGCCTGTACTGCTTGTAGGTGAAACTGGCTGTGGCAAAACCACCGTGTGTCAAATGCTTGCCGAAACCTACAACCGTGAACTCCATATTGTCAATTGTCATCAGAATACGGAAACAGGCGATTTGCTGGGTGGTCAACGTCCTGTGCGCAACAGAGAAGCCAACGACGATCCTGAAAAGCAGCAGCAGCTGTTTGAATGGCACGATGGTCCATTGGTACAAGCCATGAAGGAGGGCCACTTGTTCTTGCTGGATGAAATCTCGCTTGCTGATGATTCTGTCTTGGAGAGACTTAATTCTGTGCTTGAGCCTAGTCGTCTCTTGGTGCTTGCTGAGAAGGGTGGTAAGCATGTGGAAGAGTTGTACGGTGCTGCCAACTTTCAGTTCTTGGCTACTATGAATCCGGGTGGTGACTATGGTAAAAAGGAACTCTCGCCTGCTCTGAGAAATCGTTTTACTGAAATCTGGGTGCCTTCTGTTACGGACAGAAATGATCTCATCAAGATTATTGATGAACAAATGACACATCCTGCTCTCAAGGGGTACAGCGCCAAGATGCTTGACTTTATTGCTTGGTACACACAAGCCATTGGTCAGAGCCGCACGGTGGTATCGCTTCGTGATATTCTCTCCTGGGTCAAATTCATCAATGTCGCTGTCGACTCTGGTTTGAGTGCAGAGCTCAGTTTTGCTCATGGTGGATGTATTGTCTTGCTGGATGGCCTCGGCTCGCATGGCTCATCAGGCTCCTTTTTATCTGGCCCTTTGCTCAAAGACTTTAGACTCAAGTGTCTTCGTCATCTCTCTGGTAAGCCTCATGCCACTGAGCTGGAGATCTTGGGTGAAACCAAGGACAAGATACACACTGCGAATGACAAGTTTGCTATCGGCCCCTTTGAGATTCCTCGCGGTCAACTCGCCAAGACAGACATCAAGTTTACCTTGCTGGCACCTACGACAGCCGACAATGCCATGCGCGTGATTCGCTCCATGCAACTCAAGAAGCCCATTCTGCTTGAAGGTAGTCCTGGTGTGGGCAAGACTAGCTTGGTGTCTGCTTTGGCTGCTGCCTCTGGTCACAACCTGGTGCGTATCAATTTATCTGAGCAGACAGATTTGATGGATCTCTTTGGTTCTGATCTTCCTGTGGAAGGTGGTAACAGCGGCGAGTTTGCTTGGAGAGATGCCCCGTTCTTGCAAGCCATGAAGGCGGGTGATTGGGTCTTGCTGGATGAGTTGAATTTGGCCTCTCAATCTGTACTGGAAGGTCTCAACTCGTGTCTGGATCATCGTGGTGCTGTCTACATCCCTGAGCTGGATAGAGAATTCTTTTGTGCCAAGGAGTTCCGTGTGTTTGGTGCACAGAATCCTCTGCAGCAAGGCGGTGGTCGTAAGGGTCTTCCCAAGTCCTTTGTCAACCGTTTCACGCAAGTTTATGTGGAGCAGCTCACTTCAGACGATCTCTTGTTCATTTGCTCTCACCTGTTTTCTGAATTCGAGCCTAGCACTATGGCCAAGATGATTGATTTCAACAACAAGATGTATGAAGAGACTATGATTCGCTGCAGCTTCGGTCGCAAGGGCAGCCCTTGGGAGTTCAATCTGCGTGATGTGTTCCGTTGGCTGGAACTGATGCAAAAGGACCGTGTTACTGATCCTGCCGAGTATCTGGATATCATTTACATGCAGCGTATGCGTACACACGAAGATCGCGTTCAGATTGTGCAATTGTACGAGTCTGTGTTCCAGGTCAAATATGATCGCCCTGTCCAGCCCCATTATCAAGTGACAGCCACCTCGTTCAGTGTGGGCCATTCTCGCTTGCCAAGAAAACAAACAGGCAGCACCATTGATGTCTTTGAGCATGAGGACCATGTGCTGCAATCTTTCCTGTCTCCTCTCCAGTCTCTCATCAAGTGTGTTGAATCCTCCTGGATGGCCATCGTAAATGGCCCCTCTGCCTCAGGTAAAACCTCACTGGTGCGTCTACTGAGCAAGATGACAGGCAACCGTTTGGAAGAATTCGCCATGAACAACAGTGTGGATACGATGGAACTCTTGGGTGGCTTTGAGCAGGTGGATTTAAACCGTCATCGCCAAGTTGTCATAGACACGCTGCATCAAATGGTGAGTCATGCCTCCAAGAATCTGCTCATGTACTTTGCTACCTTGGCCCCTGAGAGCGAGCAATACGGCACTGTATTGCAACTGATTCGTCAGCTCAATGACTCTTGGTACGCACTGGAAAGCAAACAGCACATGCAAGTCATGTCCACTGATCTAGAAGCCAGTGAACTGGACTACACCCTAGTCTCCAATGTCATTCACTGCTTGAACTCTGCCTCTGTTGTGGATTCTGAAGCCCAGGCTGCTATTGAGGCTGTCTCTGTTGCCATCCAAAACCTGCAAAGGTTGGAAAAGGACACGGTTGCAGGTAAATTCGAATGGATTGATGGTCTCTTGATCAATGCGCTCGAAAAAGGCTACTGGCTCCTAATTGACAATGCCAATATGTGTAATCCCTCTGTGCTCGATCGTTTGAATCCTCTGTTTGAGAATGACGGTGTGCTGATGGTCAATGAGCGTGGTCTTGTGGATGGCACTGTCAAGGTCATCAAGCCTCATCCCAACTTCCGCATGTTCATGACAGTGGATCCTCAGAACGGTGAGCTCTCGCGTGCCATGAGAAACCGTGGTATTGAAATCTCTTTGGTGGACTCCAACTGGAACAAGAATCCTCAAGATGTTACTAAGCTTGCCAATGCATTGGGTGTGCGTGGTCCCAAATTGCCTATGCTTTTGAACACGCTGCAAGGAGAAGCCACTGCGCAACGAAGACAGTTTGTCAAAGGCGAAAATGTGCGCGATTACTTGTTGTTTGCTACTTATCTGGTGGAGCGCTTGCAACGTGGCCAGTCGCTCAAGGTGGCTATCAAGGAATCCTTCTTCCAAGTGTTTGTTGATATCAAGGAGGCGCCTGAGGCTTTGGTTGCCTTGCTTGAATCCAATGTTGATGAGGATCTGTTGCAAACCATGCTCTCGCCTACCAACTCACCCTTTTTGATTGGCGGTCAGTTGCTGCAAGACGACTCTGTGCTTGCTACGGTTGCTCTCCAGGGCGCTTATTTGGTCTATTTGCTACAAACTCTGGATACTGAAAATCCTGAATCTATCAAGAAGGTCGAAATTGCTGGTGATTACTTTTTGGAGCACTTGTCCTACCAAGACTACGGTATGCGTCTTCGTTGGTTGGGTTACATGTCTCAACAAGCTGTGTCCACCAAATCCACTGTGCTGGAGCGTCTCGGCTACATCATGAAGGAAGTGTATGCTCACCCCATGTTCTTGGAACTCTCCAAGATTCAATCTGAAATGAAGGAGGGTATTACCGCCAACGCTGCTGTGCTGGAATACACGCGCAATGCTTACCATCTGCTTATTCGCTTGCACAAGCAAGAATACGCTGACAAGAATATGCGAAATGCCACTCAACGTCTCAAGGTCAACAACTTGACTTCACTCCAGCAATCCTACTGTTTCCAAGAAGGTCGTTTGACCGACAGCCAGTTATTGCATCCTGTGGTGGCCAAGTTGTATCCTTTCTTTGAATCTATCAAGTCTGCTTTTGCTACCTGGATCAATCAAGGATACTATCACGCTTGCCCTTCATCTACCTTTGATGCTTTCAACAAGATCCTGGATTCCCGTGATTACGCTTGGAATTTGACTCAATTGCAAAGCCTTAGTCTGGACAACTTGCTGATTATTTTGAGAATCATCAAGGATCTTATGTCGGCTGATGGTGTCAAGTGTGTTCAAATGGACCCTGTATTTGCTCATATCGAGGACATCATGTCTGGTTTTGATTTCAATACCAGTAGATCCATGAAGGCCCTGTGGAAGTATTTCTGTCCATCCACGCTGTCCACTGAGTCGCTACACGAGTTGGAACATGAGCTGCATCAAATCAATGCTACTATGAACGCCTACAAGTACGATTCTGAAGAGACACTGGAGCCTCAATCTCTCGTCTTGCGTGCCAAGATGGAAGCCAAGGAGGCGCTTGTGGAGGGTATTGCCACTCTGTATGCTGTGGATGAAAACGACACAGAGAACGCAGACAAAGTGATGAAGTCACTTGGTAAACTACCCGAGTACATCAGCCGTGAACTCGAATCATCTACCTCGAACAAAGCCTCTATCCGACGCGACACTTATTGGGACACTGCTTTGATTCCTCTTTACGATTACACCAGTGTTGTTACTGAAATGGAGTTGATTGCCAACTTGTACAATGCCGCTTGTGATGCCTCGGACATGGCTGCCATGGAATCACTGGTGGAGCGCATGCTCAAGTTCAGAAAGTTTGCTCTTGACAAGACATCCCGACCTCCTCTTGATATGGTGCCTTACCAACGCATGATTTGGTTCTTGGACTCTGGTAACACTGCCAGCATGGCTACCGCTCTTCCTGGTATGGTGCAAGATGCAGCCTACACTTATCATCAACGTTTGTGGCGCTCTAGTTTATTCCAAAAGAATCTCTTCCAATTGACTCCCTCAGAGGAAGAAGTTGTAAGTATCTGTGTTTGCTAGCTTGTTGATGATGCAACTCACACTGTGTATTATTTAGGATCTTGGTATTACTGAAGGCTCTCTCAGTCTGTTTGAAAGCGTCGAGACACTGGCGTGCTTGAATATTTTGAGTTCTGTGGACAAGATGCCTGCTGATGCTTATGAAAATGCTCTTGCGCAATTAAAGAACTTGAAGCACTTTTTGACGTCCAATGTCAATCTTAAGGACAAGAAGTCCCTTGAAGTTGTCATGCTGATTGCCATGGCTCGTCAGGTATGTCCAGATAGGAAAATGTCTATGTGATAATCATGTGTACTCATACCTTTGTTTTGTAGTTGTTGAATGCATCTGCTCAGGTTATTCCTCAAGATCACTTTGATGGCATGTCTGCTGAATTCAGCAAGATTGCTTCATTCAGCAACACGCAGTTGAAATCCTCCATCTATTTCTCCGAAAACACCAGCGCTCAATTCGAAGCTGCTGTAGACGTGTTGAAAAATGTGATCAAGATGATGCAAGCGATTGACTTTAACGCCTACTACTCTGCTGCTGTTGCGGCCATCTTGGACTCTGTGCGTTGTTTGAGAAGCAAGGATCATGCCAGCTTTTTTTCTGCTGCTGGTAAGGCGCGTGTATTGTTGGGCTTGGCTTTTGTCTCTGCCTACATTCCTGACTACCCCGTGGATCCTACCTCTGAGCCGCGTCTTCACGTCAATCTGTTGGCTACCAAGAAGAAGGAGCACGTCAACAATATTGAAGTCCGTACAGGCATCGAAAAGCTGTACACTGGCAACACGACCAACCCAGACATCAAGTCTCAACAAGCCAGCTTGGATGCTGTCAACTACGAACTTGCTCAAAGTGCTACCATCTTTTCGCTTCGTCCTGCCCAGTCTCAACTGGATGACATCTTTGTCGATTTGCGCTATCTGCAAAAAAGTATGCTCGACAAGAATGTGGAGAGCCTCTTGAATGATCTGGAAGTTAATGGTGTTGATTCTGTGCTGCAGCGTGAAGCTTTGTTGCAAGGCAATGCTCTTCAGTTTGTTGACCGAGTGCACCACAAGTTCCCCCTGTACAGAGATATTCTGCAGCCTCTTGTTGTTGCTGTGGATGATATCAAGTATGGTTTGCGTATCCTGACTGCCAATGCTCGCAGGGATGGTGTGGATCACTTCTTGTCTGAGGTGATTGAGCTCTTGGTGCGTGATCCTGATGTCTCTCATCACTCGTATGACCTTGACTGGCACACACTGGCTACACCTGACAAGATTGCAACTTTGAAGCATGTTGTGTTTGAAAGAGCACCTACCAGCAGAAAATGGGCCTTTTATCTTCGTCTCCTGATTGTCATTCTCCAGCGCCTCGTGATTGGTGTCAATACCAATGCCTACATGAAGACGGATGATCTTGTTTCTGTCAATGTTCTGTTTAGTGAAATCATCCAAGTCTGGAAGTCTGCTGAAGAGTACAAGCGCAAGATGGCTGTTGAAAAGGAAGCCTTGTTCAAGACGCGTGCCAAAAAGTACGAGCCTCCTACTGACGAAGAATTGGAAGAGGAGGATCTCAACAAGATCTTTGCCAACTTCAACGAGGACTTTGCTGATCTAGCATTGGAGGACGATGGACAAGCAAAGGCCAAGCCTGTGGTTCCTAGCAGTGTGGAAGAAGAGTCTGTGCTGGATGATGAGGATATCCATCGTATTGGCCATCTCCATCGTGTCTTGTTTGAAACTTACAGTCGCGATGCTTGTGTTCGCTCTGACAAGTCCTGGGACCGCGAAGCTATTCAATCGTATGCTGTTGCTAGTCAATTAGCCTCCATGGCCAACTCTGCCTTCAGTGACGCTACGGATCGTATCTGTAATGCTGGCCATCTTCGTGTTACCTCATTGACTATCAACCGTCTTGAATCTGCCAATTCGTTTGGTATCACCAGTGACAACATTTACGACTTTTATCAAAGCGAGAACGTAGGTGAGGCCAAGCGCATTGAGCCTATTGTAAACCGCTTTAAGGCGCGTGTGGTGCAGCTGATTGAACAATGGCCCGAACATGCTATTCTGGAGCAACTGGTCGTCATTTGTGATCGCATCTTGACCTTCTCCATCTTGTCACCTGTGGCCAAGTTTTTGACAGGTATCGAGCTGCTGCTGCAAAAGTCTGAGGACTGGGAAGCCTATGCTGCCAAGCATGTCTCGCTGAAGGAGCAACGTGAGGAGCTGATCAGCCTGATTGTCAGCTGGAGACAGTTGGAATTGAACTGCTGGCCCAAGCTACTGGCTGCTCAAGAGCAATACCATCAGGACGCTGCTTTCAAATGGTGGTTCCACTTGTACGATACTGTTAACAACACTTCATTTGACTCTGAGAATGAAGAGGAGAATGACAAGAATACGCGTGAATTGTTGGGTGCTCTGGATCAGTTTGTACAGACTTGCTCCATTATTGAACTCGAGCCTCGTCTTAAGATGATTGACACCTTTTACCGTCAAACCAAGATCCAGGCGCAACTCTCTACGTTTGAGGGCGAGAAGCTAAATTATGAGAGAACAGCTACCATCTTGCGTAACGTCTACTTGTACTATTATCAGTTCCAGGAACATGCCAACACCATGCTTGCTCAATTGCGTAAACCCATTGAAAAGGATCTCAAAGATTTCGTCAAGATTGCTACCTGGAAGGATGTCAACATCTACGCGCTTCGTCAAAGTGCTGCCAAGACACATAGACAGCTCCACAAGTGTATTCGCAAGTATCGTGAAGTACTGAACAACTCCATGCTGACTGTGATTGCCAACTACAACGAGGAGCATGCCATGTTTCAATACGGCGATGATAAGCGTTATGCAAAGGACATCAACCAAGGTCTTATGGATCAACTCTCTCAGCCTGCTGCTTGGATTAGTGATCTGGCTATTCCAGAGCAAGTTGACTCTGAGTTTGACTGGTCTGGTGCTCCGCCTGCCAAGCAACATTTGAGCAACCTCCAACTGACCTTGAACAGAATGCGTCTCTACTGCCGCAAGGATATCTTTGTTGCTGATGATGAGATCAAGGAGCTCCCTCTGGAGAACTTTATGACTGAGACGATTCAGCAAGTCAAGTACTTTCAAAAGGAAACACCATCTATCATGACCGATGAGAATAAATCGCTTGTCAAGAACCAGAAACTCCTCAAGAAGAAGGCCTTGGTCGACTTTTTGAAGGAACTGCGTCGTCTTGGCCTCAAGTCTCGTCCTGGCAAGATGAAGGAGCAAAATGCGGATGTGGCTAGTCTCTTCCGTCAGCAAGTGGCTAATCTGGAGTGTGTCATTCAAAACAGAGACCTTCAAAAAGAGAAATTGTCCAGTTACTCTTTTGCTTCTGCTGATATGATGGAGCAATGGCAAAAAGCAAATGACTACTACTACCGTTGTATTGCTCGCATGACGCATTTGAGAACCATCAGTCTTACCAATGTCAGCAAGGATCTCTCGATGCTTGAGGTGGAACGCTCTCTTAGTGCTACTGAACACATGTTTTCTCTGGTGGGCAAGGAGCGTCATTTGATGGCTCGCTTTGAAGAACGCATGCAAGTACTCCAAGGTGCTGCTGTCCAACTGGCTTCCTTGTACGATGCTTTCTCTCAAGGCCAGCCTATTGCCAATGATGCCGAACTGGGATGCCGTCTGACCAATCACAAGGTTCACATCGACAAGCTTGCCTTGTTCCTGAACCAAGCTGTTGCTGTCATTACGCTTCAGGCTGGCTCTGTTGGTCAACAAACTCTGAAGGATCTACAGTCCATGTGTCGTGATGTCCAAAAGATGCAAAAGACGGTTGATTACTGGTTTGTCCAACGCTACCTATACCCCAGAGCTGCTACTGGTCTCTCCTTTTCTTTACTCTCTGCTGATGTGGAAGCATTGATGGATGCTCATGCTGAAAAGATCGATCTGATCCATACTATGCTGGTGTCTGCCATGCAAGTGCTGCCCCAGTCAAGTCATGTCCTATTCCCTATTACTCAATTCATTCAAAGCATGCAACGTACTTCTACTGCAAGCTTACTGGAAGAGCAAAACAACACGGACGCTACCTTGATTGAGTTACGCGAAAAGATGTATGGCCTCATTGATGCTACCTTGGTCTCTATTCAAGACCTCAAAAAGGCTAATACTTCTGCCACTAAGCCCAAGTCAAGTCTTACTGAGGATGGTCAAGATAAGGAGGAAGAGACTGAAAGCATGGGTCAAGACTACATTCGTCATCAAAGCGCCAAACAAGCTGCTCTTGTAAGTGCACTCCACCTTGAAGCTGCTGTCAAGCGCTGTGTGGAGGTGTTGACGATGGCTCACCAAGTCGCTATTTGTGCTTCCTCGGCTGCCCCCAAACAAGAGTTATCTCGCTTGCTGCAAGAGATGTATCCTTTCCTTCAACAGTATATGCTCATTGTGCAACACACACTGAGCAAGATGCTGATGCATCACAAGTCCATGGCCAAGATGACCTATTGTCTTGTCAATACGTTCAGTATCATTATTACCAAAGGCTTTTGTATGCCTGCTGGTGCTGATGATGGTGAGGAGGGCGATGCTGACGGTACCATGACGGGCACTGGTATGGGCGAAGGTGAAGGCAACAAGGATGTCAGTGAAGAAATTGAAGATGAAGAACAAGTCCTTGGCACTCAGAATGAAGAGCGCAACAATGATGACAAGCAGGATACCAAGGAGGAGAAGAATGGCATGGACATGGAGAATGACTTTGACGGCAATCTCGAAGACATTGAGCAGGATGACGACAAGGAAGAAGACGACTCGGACTCTGACTCTGATGAAGAAGACCCTGATGAGCAGATTGGTGATGTCGATGACATGGATCCTGATGCTGTTGATGACAAGATGTGGGGTGATGAAGCTGAAGAGAACCTCAAGGAGAGCGACAAGACGGTTGAAGATCAAGGTAACCAAGATCAGCAACAAGAGTCTGAAATTGTTGCCAAAGAAGAGGAGGATCAGCAGCAAAACGATGCCAAGGGTGAGAAGCCAGAGAAGTCCGACAAGAACGACAAGCAGCAAGAGGCTGACGGTGATGAAGGCGATGGTGATGAAGAGATGGGTGACGATGAGAATCAAGGCAGTGGCGATGAAGACCAACAAGAGGATGATGCTGAAGGAGAGGGCCAAGATGAAGATGACGTAGAGAACAAGCCTGGTGAGCAGTTGAATGCTGACATTCCTGAAGCCGAAACTCTTGAACTGCCTGATGATTTGAACATGGACGGTGATGATGATGATAACGGAGATAAAGAAAGCCAAGAGGGTCAAGAGATGAATGATCCCATGGACATGGATGAGCAGCCTGCCAAGGGTGAAGAAGAGCAGCTTCCTGAAGAGGATGAAAATGCAGAAGCCTTCCATGATGCTTTGGATGACGTCGACCAAACACCTCAAGAAGACGAAGAAATGGCGGATGCCTCTGCTCAAATGGACACTGAGCAAGGTGAAGGTGAAGAACAGGATGAGGAGGAGAACAGTGAAGACAAGGAAGAGAATGAAGAACTGGCTCCTGAAGTGGGTGACTCTGAACAGCAACAAAAGAGTGGTCAAATTGAAGAGGATGATCAAGGTGAAGAAGAGAACAAGGCTCAAAACAGAGAGCAGCCCAACAGTGACGCCACTGCTGACAACCAGTTTGGTGTTCAAGGTGAATCTGGCAAACAAAGCAAGAGCTCTGCTGGCAAGAAGGAAGGTGAAGATGACACTGCTGATACCAACGAAAATGCCGATGATGACACTGCTGAAAAGAAGGAGCAAAAGGGTAAATCCGAACGTGGTGCTAATCAAGCTAATGAAGAAGAAGACCAAGATGCTGACAATGAACAAGGCGATCAAGATGACCAAGATCAAGAAGCCAAGGAGGCACAGTCCAACCCTCAAAGAAGCTTAGGTGATGCGCTTGAAAAGTGGCGTAGACGATTGGCTGATTTAGATGATGCCACTGAAGAAGAAGATGATGAGGATGCTGACAAGGAAAAGAAGACGGAGGATCAAGATACTGAACAGGCTCAAGTCAATGAAGAGGACTCGTTTGAGTATGTCAAGAATGATGAAGATGCTCACGATATGCAGACCATGGGTAATGCTCAGCCAGATCAAGTCCAGGATCTCAAGATGAGTGGTATGGACGAAGAGAAAGAAGACACCAAAGAAACCTCTGGTGAAATGGACGTAGATCAACAAGCAGACGATGTGGATACAATGCCTTTGCCTCGTGATACTCTAGAAATGTCTGGCGCTACTGATGTGCAAGGTGCTATTTTGAGCAAAAAATTGCCTGATCAGCAGCTGGTGGATGAAGCCGAAGTCTTGACGATGGACGAATCTGTGGTCGCTCGTGAACCTTTGGAACAAGAAGACATTGAGCGTATGAGAGATGAATTGGAGACTCAAGTATCTGACTGGAGAGAAGAAGGCCGTGATATTAACAAGGCGCGTGAACTTTGGCAAGGCTATGAAAACTTGACGCATGATCTTGCCATGGGATTATGTGAACAGCTTCGCTTAATTCTTGAACCTACCTTGGCCACTAAATTGAAGGGCGATTATCGTACTGGTAAACGTCTCAACATGAAAAAGATTATTCCATACATTGCTAGTCAGTTCAAGAAGGACAAGATTTGGTTGCGTCGTACCAAGCCTAGCAAGCGTCAATATCAAGTCATGATCTCTGTGGATGACTCCAAGTCCATGTCCGAATCTCACTCTGTTCAACTTGCTTATGAAGCTTTGTCTTTGATCTCTAAAGCATTGTCGCAGCTTGAAGTAGGTGATATCTCCATCACATCCTTTGGTGAGCGAGTTCGTTTATTGCATCCATTTGATCAGCCATTCACTGCAGAATCTGGTGCCAGTGTCATCCAGCAATTTACTTTTGCCCAACAAAAGACCTATGTCAAGAACTTGATTGAAACCTCTATCGGCTTATTTGACAGTGCTAAACATTCTTCTGGCCCTGCTAACGCTGAACTCTGGCAACTGCAACTGATCATTTCTGATGGTATCTGTGAAGATCACAACACTTTGCGTGCTCTTGTCCGAAGCGCATTAGATCAACAAATTATGATGATTTTCATCGTTGTAGACAACAAGCCTGAGAAAGATTCCATTCTGAATATGACAAATGTAAAGTATACTATCAAGGATGGTAAATATGGTATTCAGATGAATCCCTATCTTGAAACTTTCCCATTTCAGTACTTTATGGTCTTGCGTGATATCAATTCGCTTCCTGAAGCTTTATCTGATGCTCTTCGTCAATATTTTAGCTTTGTATCTGCTTAGATATTTCTTGTATTAAATATGGTTAATTTGAATAATAAAAGGGTTTTTAAGTCGTAAATTCTACTATATTTTGAACGCGCTTGTCTTGACACTTTCTATCAGATAGTCGAGCTGACGTAAATGTTTACATGTCAAATCATTAAATTGGAGAGATTGGCCATCAATACTATGCTTGGTTGCATTGACTGTGCCATATATCCTTTATCTTATTACATACACCTTAATGTATACCACTGTTGAGTCATATCAATTGCTGATAGGCATAATAAATCCATTTCTAGAAATATTTTCTCTTCTGACGTAGATGTAATGCCAAAGCTAAAGCACGGAGCTTGCGGTTCATCGGAATTTTCATGCTACTCTAATGCAGCTATTGCCATTTTAAATATCTCATACGATAGCTTAAAGCGCAATGCATCACTGGGTACCAATAGCAGGCAACTTGATCTAGTGAAAAAAAAAAAAAAAAAAAAAAAACAATAACTGATGATTGCAGTTGTCAATTAGACTGACAGCATTACATAATGCAAATTGTAATGTAAAATAAAAGTGAAAAGAGTGGGATTTGAACCCACGCCTCCGAAGAGATCACGACCTTAACGTGACGCCTTAGACCAACTCGGCCATCTTTCCTTTGATATTTTTGATAAGTGTGTATTTTTCTGTTGGTTACTTGGCTTTATCTCGATTTCCTAAAAAGGCAATATACCGTATATGGGAAAGGCGCAATGTGGTGGATTCAAGGTATAATTCTCTAACTTATCTACTATGTCTTACTTGAAGGGTTACTCCTCGTTGGTGTGGTGTTCTGGTGCATTGACACACTCATATAATTGTTGTAAAACTGTATGTTATCTCTTGATGGTGCGATGATACTGTTATTCTAGTCGATGTGGTCTCTATTTGGTGTATTGCTAATCAATGTTGGTGCTTACTCAATTGGTGTCGCTTCTATTTTGTTGTTGTTACATATTCGTTTGATCGTGGTGCTTCTTGTCAAGTTTAGCCGAAAACCTAATCAATATTTGGAGCCGATAATGTTGAATCGATGAATTAGTCAGGGATCTAAATGAGATTGCGCGCTAATAGCCAAGCATTACTATTTTGAAATGTGGATTTGACTCTGGACTTTGACTCAGGATAGATGCAAACCAATTAATGTCGAATCGATGCAAGATTCAAGTGGAATTATAACATCAATGGAATTGGGGTGTTACTATTTTAAACGATAGGATCGACTCAAGAACGCGGGTACATGAAATTGACATTAAATTGAAGGCAATCCAATTTGAGGTTACATTTGATCAGGGCACTGACATTCGGATCTGAATTGAGCCTGACAGGAGAATAACAATAGAACAATGACATATATAAATAGTATTTTGAATTGCATCTTAATAAACATCATCCATTTTTTTCTTCTTATTCTAATCTGGAGTTTAGTTACTAGTGCCAATCTAGTACGAACAAACCTAAAGAACCCTTAAATTCATCTCTCATAATTATTGGGATAGTTCTTACAGTCTTCCTTTCCACACAACAATACTTATATCTTGATTACCAACTACCAAGGTAATCATTATAGAGAGCTTGATATTTATCAATTTGTAAAGATACTTTTATAGTAATTTAAATCTGCAGGATATCATTGAGCGATTGAATACAAACAAAATTTAGATGCGCAGGTTTAAACCTAGAGCGCCAGCTACCAGGAGCATCAAATAGCGATTAACGTGGATTGCTCACAACATTACACAAAGGATATTGGATAAAATGGATCCTCAAATACAAAAAATAATAAAGACACCTTTTTATCCATTCTGCAGTGAAATTGGGTTTAATGGATTTCACAAAAAAAATAAAGCAAAGGTAAAATACAATAGAAATCAACTGTATTTTGTTTGTGTGTAAAATGAACTGAAGATCCTGGAATTGAGTAAAAAAAGAAGAGTATTTATGCATTTGCAACTAGCTTGTAGGGTTAGTGATGATAGAGAGCAATAGGTTCTGCTATTGCGATATCTGGCAAATGTTGTTGATACTTGATTTAGAGTGGTAATCAATGCAAGAGCACTGGCCATAAGGGTCGATTTGAGTAACCTTGATGGGCTTGGGTGAGCTATCTGTTGAGGATATAGATCATCTCTGAGAGGCAAATGTATTAGGCGTCGTTTATTACATAAGAGGATCTGAGAATGAGCTGAGATGCATAGTAGAAGTGAGAGGTCTTTATTCAAGCAGCACGAAGGAACATGAGTGGTGCCATCAAATGGCTAATCTATATCCTGGTTCCTGGATGGAGAGTGGTAGCCTATGGCCTTTCGTCCCTGGAAGTGGGTTTCAATTCCGACAAATGTTCTTCCGTCAAAGCTATTAGGAAGAACATTCTCTCCTGGATTATCTTTGTTGTTTATCCTTGACTGGTGGTTCATGAGTTCTTATGCAGCACATTCTCGTTAACTGGTTCAAGGCTTATACAATTATCCCGCATTCAAGATCAAGGTCCTATTGCTGCGGCGGCACTGTCAAATAACTATAAATACCTTAGAGATCTACACTAGTTTTGATCCTCATTCAATCTGGGAATAACTTAATAAATATATTCAGTTCTAATTGTATTTACTGTCTATATTTCGTTATTCTAAACAACCTTAAACCATCAAGGTTACATTAAATCATGCTATGACGATAGTTCATCCAAGCCCACCAAGGTTACTCAAATCGATTCTTATGGCTAGTGCTCTTGCATTGCTTACCACTTTATATCAAACATCAACAACATTTGCCAGTGAAGTGAACTAGACTAAATTCCCATCATAAACAAAGCCCAAAATAGATGTCATCTCAATCAAACCATGCTACCATCAGCAGATAAGCATGCATAATAATAGTACTAGCATGATGATAACAAAGGTTAAATGCTCTAAAATAAAAGATGACAGATACTAAAGTAAATGTTGTTTAGAATAACGAAATATAGACAGAGTAAATACAATTAGAACTGAATATATTTATTATGTTATTCCAAGATTGAATAGGGATCAAAACTAGTGTAGATATCAAAGGTATTTATAGTTATTTGACAGTGCCGCAGCAATAGGACCTTGATCTTGAATGCGGGATAATTGTATAAGCCTTGAACCAGTAACGAGGATGTGCTGCATCAGCGCTCATGAACCACCAGTCAAGGATAAACAACAAAGATGATCCAGGATAGAATGTTCTTCCTAATAGCTTTGACGGAAGAACATTTGTCGGAATTGAAACCCACTTCCAGGGACGAAAGGCCATAGGCTACCACTCTCTAGGAACCAGGATATAGATTAGCCATTTGATGGCACCACTCATGTTCCTTCGTGCTGCTTGAATAAAGACCTCTCACTTCTACTATGCATCTCAGCTCATTCTCAGATCCTCTTATGTAATAAACGACGCCTAATACATTTGCCTCTCAGAGATGATCTATATCCTCAACATTCGTCCCCACCAGAATCGATAATACTGCAAGAATTGTCGATTCGATAAACACTACACCACAGGAGATAGATCACACAAGCTTGGCTCGTTGAAATACTTCCTATGTGTTATCATGAATTCGGAACAATGGCCATTAAAACATCCCAATCAATGTAAAACCCAATGGGAAAAAAAACAATGATCAGGTAAAAAGGTACACTGCTACCACAACACATGACAACACCCTCTCGATCACCACTCTTACCTCGTCCCCACTGTCGCTCACCTTCCCACTTATCCTGTCTTCTTCCTAACATAAGTGGCCCGACGCCGCTTCGCTGGGGATTGAGGAGCCCCCGCCTGATCTGCTTCCCCAATGGCAGCACGTTTCCTCTGTTGCTTCCTCGGCATTTGAGCCACTCGCTCTCGGATGCGCCCTTCTTCTTGCTTCTGCAGCTGCACATGCTTTTGCCAATATCTTTGCAAAATATGGGGATCCGATACATCTTCTGCAGTTATCCACGAACACATGCGTTCACCATAGCCCTTCCATTTGATGAGATACTCACGATTCGCTGCTTTGCCCCTATGATCTCGAATCGCCTCAATTTCGAAATACTCATCATCAATGGCCTTTTCATCTATGTTCACCACCTTTAGCTCGGATGGTACATAGTTGCGATGAAGAATCTCATTCATTTCATCCTTCAACTCGTATGACCCGCCTTGATTTCTACGAATGACCGTATATGGACCATCATAAATGGGACTCAACTTGCTTGGTCGTTGACGTATCTTTACCATCACATGAGCACCCACTGGAATGTCCACGAGCATATGCTTGTCATTAAACCTCTTCTGCATAATCGCATTCATCTTGGCCTCTCGTTCATTGATCGCTGGAAATACCACCTTGTGCATGTAGTCAATACGCTCTTCAAGCTCTTTTACTGACGTGATATCCTTGGGGATCGGGTATTTGTCTTTGTTGGCATAATCCTCTGGCAGTGTAACTCGCCTGGCAAACATCAGCGAGAACGGCGAAGTCATCGACTTACTCTTGATGTAACGATTACAACAAAGCTGCACAATTGGAAGGTAATCGCTCCATTCTCGCGCATTAGAGTTACACATTTTTTCTCAGCGTATTCATCACAATTTTCACACTCGCCTCCGCACTCCCATTACCTCTGGCTGCGTATGGGGTAGAATAGTTGCGCTGCAAACCTAGGTTCTCACTGATTGCCTGAAGCAAGTGATTCTCGAATTCCCCACCATGATCGCTCTGCATAATAATAGGAAATGAGTAATCCCCAAACACCTTAATCAATTCTCTAGCAATGCTCGTTGCTTCCTTCGACTTTAATGGGCGCACAATCACATACTTGGTACACAGATCTGTGACAACCATTATATACACATATCCATCAAAGGTCATCGTCATTGGGCCACCCAAATCCACTGACACATGCGACATCGGCTGAAGCGAAACTACATTCTTGAGCGGATGCCACCCTCTCTTTGCAATATTGTGCTTCTGACATTCTGGACAGCTACTGACCAACCTCTTAGCATCTTCATACACATTAGCCCAATGCAACCCTTGCGCGTGCAATTCTCTCACAATCGCCTGTGCGCCATAATGCCCAAACATGTGAATCTCTTGTAAAATCTCATCTCGCTCTTCCTCAGGAGGTGTCATGTAATCAAGATCTTCCTTCGCATTTTCAATCACTTGTGTAGCAAAGATATTTACTGCTTGATCTTTGCTATACCGCTTCTTCTTGATCATATTTTTTGCACCACAATTCTTGCGATTTTGCTCATGTCTCTCCCGACTACGCTCTTCACTTTCCTCCACTATTAACTGCGTACTCTCATTCTCCACAGGTGGATATAGTCTGCTCAATAAATCCGGAAAAATGTTCATTGCTCCTGGTAAATGCACGACTTCAAATGTAAAATCTAGGATAGTCTCAATCCATCCAGCCATCATAGGGTTTACCACTTTCTGAGAATGCAAATACACTAATGCTCGATGATCTGTCAGTACCCGGAACGCACGCCCATAAATGTACGTTTGAAACTTCCGCAACGCCAACACAATCGCATACAATTCTCGCTTCGTTGTGGACCAACGACGCTGCGCTGGACTCAGTGTGCTTGAAATAAAACCCACATACCTATGACGCCCCTTGTCATCTTCTTGGTAAATCACAGCCGCTACTCCATACAAACTGGCATCACACGCAATAATAAATTCCTTGTCGAAATCTGGGTAATTGATCAACAAATCCGCTTGCAATATCTTCTTAATTGCCTCAAAACACTCTGTATGTTGATTCGTCCAGTGCTTCATCACATTCTTGTTGTCTTTAATGAGGTCCGTGATCGGAGCCGCCACTCTATAGATCATTGGAATATGTGAACGCAAATAATTCACTAATCCCATGAACTGCTGCACTTGTTTCTTGGTTGAGGGTACAGGCCAATTCGCCACATTTGTACATTTGGATTTGTCTACTCGGATGCCCTTTTCATCGACCACAAAGCCTAACAACCGCACCTTTCTCTGCATAAAATGGCACTTGCTCGGCTGTAAAATCAGTTTTGCCTCTGTAAGCCGATCAATCACCGTTTTTACGGCTACCTTGTAATGCTCAAAATCCACGCCAGCGATAATGATATCGTCTAGAAAATTCTGCGTAGTAGATACCACTCGTCCTGACTCGTCACGCACTTGTTGCAATCCTGCTAGCAACGTAGATAGTGTAAATTGATACTGGCTTGGCAGCTGGCATAATCCAAAACAAGCCTTCAAGAAATAATATCCTTGGCCGTTAAAACTAAAGCTACATTTAAATTGGCTCTCTTTTTCAATAGGAAATCTGTGGTAAGCATCCTTCAAATCCGTGGTCCCAAAATACTTCATACCACTCAAGTTCTCAAAGATGTCTTTTACTAAAGGAATTGGGAAATTGTAGGGAGGTGGCAAAATACTATTCAACAAACGCACATCCAGACACACACGATGATCCACTACATTTCCCAACTTGTCACGCTTTGGTACCACCAGCAAAGGGCTATTAAAGGACGAATTGATTCTCGAACGTCCGATCGTCTTGGTATCCAACCACTTTTGAATTTGTCTCTCTACTACAGGCTTCAACGACTCAGCAATCGGATAGGGACGACGATGCGCCGTCGCTCCTTCTTTTGTAGGTAATTTCACTATAGCTTCTGGCAATGGACAACACGACTCGATAGGTATCTCTTCATTTCTCTTTAAGGATTCGCTAATATATGTCTTAAACTCCTGACGCTCTTCCTCAGTACCCGCAGGTGAGTTATCCGCCTCTAAATGTTTGCCCTCAAAGTCCAAATTGATATTCTCAAACATTCTTTCATTATGTTCTGTAGCATCTGAATGCTGATGTTCACTGTCGATGCGAAACGCCACACCAGTAAGCCCAATATTCATCTTTGGCAACACATCCACTCCCAACAGGACATCAAAGTCCAACCCTTGCTCAAACGGGACCACTTCTAATGCATGTTCAAATACAATGCCATTAGCATATTTAAATTTCAATGGAAATGTCATTGCCACTCGCTTCACAGACTTGGATAAAAATTTCAGGTACCCATCAACTTTTCTCACTTTTTTGATCTTAAGCACATTTATTAGAAACTTCAAACTAATACAACTAATTTGGGACCCGGTGTCCACCTTGCCAATGACCTTGATATTCTTAGATTCTACACATATCAACAACGGGGTCAACAACGCAAAGTAATTAGTTTCTGCTTTGTTCACATTCACACTAGGCAACTTACATTGGAAAGCCAACTCACTCATCAGCTGATCTTGATCAGCGACACTATTGGCATCGTCTGCATTGACATCCCTCGAAGCTGATGCCCCTGACGAGGACGACGACTCATTGTCCTTGGTAGCCACACTTGCCGCGAAGACCTCATGATTCAGAGCCGTGTTGGACGGACCAACCCCAGGAGGACGACGAGTGCTGCAATCATGTCCCCTTTCAAATGGCTTCCAACACTTCACGCATTTGCCTTCACTCCTGGCCTTCTCGAACTTCAAAAACTGACACTCCTTAGATCCATGGGAATCATTCGGACCATGCTGCTTACAATGATACTTCTTGGTTCCACCACTACTCTCCACTCGCTTGAACCCTCCATAGTTACGTCTTCCACTTGATGACATCCCTCTTGACGATCTTTGGTACCCACGACGCTCTTGACGATCCTCAATCGCAGAACCCACCTCATTCACCGCAGCACCTGGCAGCAAAGCTGTTGCATGCGCATAGAAACGGTTGTCATCTCCCAACACATCGCGCGCCACTTGGGTAATTCGATCCACTGTCCACGACTCAGTGCCTTGTTCTCTCACCAAGGTAATGCGCACAGCCGTTTGCACCGGCAAGATTAACGACGCCATGAAACGATCAGCCACTCTTGGATCATCCAACTGGAGGCCCGCATTGTACACTGCTTGCTGAAATCGACACGAGTAATCCATAATGGATTCAGACGCACTCATCACCATCGTAAACACTAAATCCGTATTGCGACGAGTAATCACTGCAGACCCAAAGCGTCTAGAGAACACTTGCTTCGCTTCCCACCACGAGCTGCACTTCAACAAAGTCTTGTCGACCCACGCACGATCCCCATTGGGCATACACAACGGAAGTAACTTGGCCCACTGCGCTTCCAAGTCCAACGATGATGAATTCAAGATGCTCTCAAAAGTACGCAAGTAATGATCTACGCTCTCAAACACTTCTTCGTTGGGAAAAGCCTTCACCGCTGCAGAAGCCAACTGGAATTTGGGTAAATCGCGACGATTCAGAGCCAAATTTTCACTACGCATCATTCCACGACTCATCGCACTTGTCTTGGGCTTGACCACATCCCGATAGCTACGCAATTCCACAATCGCATCCTTATTGCTGCTAATCACTCGCAAAGCCTCATGACGCTCTCTCGCAGTAGGTGCCGTTGCTACCACCTTCAACAATTTCGCATTTTCTTCACGTAATGCCTTCAACGCATGCTCTAATGAAGCTTCTTCACTTGCTTCCATCGCCTCACTCAATGGCTCAGCTGCGGACTTCCCCCCAGATCCAACCTCTCCACTCACGCTCTCCAGAGGCTCAAACGCAGACAAAGCCGAAGAACCACCACCAAGTTCAGCCATCAATTCGTCTTCATCAAGCACTTGACCGTCTTGAGACAGAACCTCGGTAAGACCATCCATAGAAGGATTGAGATCGAAATCTTCCAGCGTAACAGGAAGACCAGCCGCAGTAGCCCCAGGGACTTGAATCGAACCATTTGCTGAACCAGCAGTAGAATTAGAGGACACAGAACCAGCAGACATTCTTGATTTAGGATTGGGATAATATAATGCAATATATAGAGGTACAGTAATTAATTGTAAAAAATGTTTAGAATAACGAAATATAGACAGAGTAAATACAATTAGAACTGAATATATTTATTATGTTATTCCAAGATTGAATAGGGATCAAAACTAGTGTAGATATCAAAGGTATTTATAGTTATTTGACAGTGCCGCAGCAATAGGACCTTGATCTTGAATGCGGGATAATTGTATAAGCCTTGAACCAGTAACGAGGATGTGCTGCATCAGCGCTCATGAACCACCAGTCAAGGATAAACAACAAAGATGATCCAGGATAGAATGTTCTTCCTAATAGCTTTGACGGAAGAACATTTGTCGGAATTGAAACCCACTTCCAGGGACGAAAGGCCATAGGCTACCACTCTCTAGGAACCAGGATATAGATTAGCCATTTGATGGCACCACTCATGTTCCTTCGTGCTGCTTGAATAAAGACCTCTCACTTCTACTATGCATCTCAGCTCATTCTCAGATCCTCTTATGTAATAAACGACGCCTAATACATTTGCCTCTCAGAGATGATCTATATCCTCAACAAATGTCAAGGGTATTGTAATGTGTTGTATCATAAGTATACCCAAAAAGGATACAGGCTCAACAATAAAGAGCTATTCTTTACGCATGATTCAAAAACCATATATTGAAATACCGTTCTTGATTCATCAGATCAACAACTAAATGACCCAACAAAAATATATAAAGTAATGGAATTGCTGGCAACTACTAAACTGCTGCCAGGTAAGAGATATAAACCAAATAGTATAAATAGAGACGTAGAATATACATTTTATTGCACATTATCCTAATTTCAAATAAAGAAAGATTTTAACAGTATTCTACCTGCTTTTTAACCCCTTTTTTACTGCAGCCAGATATCGCAATAGCAGCACCTATTGCTCTCTAACATCACTAATCCTACAAGCTAGTTGCAAATGTATAAATACTCTTCTTTTTTTTACTCAATTTTAGGATCTTCAGTTCATTTTATACACGAATAAAATACAGTTGATTTCTATTATATTTTGCTATTGCTTTATTTTTTTTTGTAAAATTTATTTAAACCTGATTTCACTGCACAAACTTAGCCATTTTGAAGCACTAATAACTCATGCTACAAAGCATTATGGACGCTTGGAATAGCGCCAAACGTATCTTCTTGGCCACGCTTTACTTACTGATGTTTTTTTTCAAAATTTTTTTGTTCATTGCAAATTCATAAAAATCATGAGTATTAGCAAGGCAAGATTCTTGAAAACCAAACGATCGCGTTTTTCACCCCAAAAAAGAAGACTTTTTCTATAATACATATTAGATCAAATTGCTAGTAATGGTAAAATGCAACATTGTAGACTGTTTCTCTGGAACTTTTATATGCTAAATTCTGACATATTCGCAAAAACCCTGTTTTGATATTTTTGCAAATTGTTCATTATTTTCGGTCTGAAAGCTACATGTAACCAGAATCATTCGATGCACCTTCATTGACTCTTTATAAATGCATTAGAAAATAAAGTATAAAAACGACAATTTTCATAATAAAAATTAGCAAAAACGTTTAAGGAATGTAAGATCAAGTCAAACTTGAACACGAAAATACCCACTACACAGTTTCAAATTAAAGTGCAGCAGCTACGATGGCTGTCACAGCAAAGGACTGAGAGAAAATCCATTGGCTGTGACGTCGGATAGAGCGCCCTCTCATTTTTCCCCTTTTTGCAAAACGCGTTTAGTATCAAACCATGGTGGTTTTGGAAACCGTTTGATTGATAATACCACTCTAGTAGCTTATGATAATACGGTCTTGTACTGTTAGAAGTACTTGATACTGCTTCTTTGAAGTAGAATATAGTAGGTACTATTCGATAACGAGCACTGGAAGACGTAAAATCAGCACTAATCGAACTTGTTTATTAGGTTTTGATAATTCTTTTGCCTGTTTGACGTGGATGCTGCTGCCATGACTTCTCTGCTATTTCTGCTGTCTGATTCTTTGGTTTATTATGTCTGGTAGCGGCTTCTTGGTTCCTATCTCTGGCGGTTGCTTCGTTAACCTTTGTCTGGTCTCTGGTGTCACTCGTTCTTCGGTTTTTCTACGCTGCTGTTGTTGCTGCTGGTGTTGTTGCTGCTGCTGCTGCTAATATGGTCTTCCCTGGTCTACTATGTTTGGTGCATGCTCATTGTCTGGTCTAACTCTGTTGATTGCGTATCCTCTGGTCTATCTGTGGCTGTGGTAAGTGGTAAGTATCTTCTCTCTTCTGGTCGCAATGATATAAAACTTCTTTGAACGCTTATATTATTGCTTCCTTTCTCGTGATAATGCATTCGTGATGTTTGCCTTGTTGCGCTTTTTTCTTTTTCTTTTGTTGGTAGTGTTTCCTCTGTAGCTTTACATGAAACAATATTAGTCATTATGCTTTAGCGCAAACTTGTAATACCACTGTTGCTTTTGCAATTGTGCGTATTTGTGTCATGTTGCGTTACATCCGACTATTACCAAAATGCGCGTTGCTCATGTATTCATTTTCTTGCAACAGCAACGAGCTTTTTTAAACATCTTTGATGTTGTGTTTGTTATGCTTTTCTTTGACTCGCTTCGTGTGAGTGTCTCTTTTTTGCCTACACACTACTATACTCTTATAGTATTATGTTCTTTTCTTCTTTCTTTTATTATTATTATGTTTCTTTTGAAGCATAATTTTTCTACGTTGTGGTGGATGTGCCTATCACTGAAGCTCAACAAGACTTTATCCGAGGCTAGGAGGGAGATAGGCTGTCTCCACTTGGTTATCGCTACTTACTTTAGTGATGATTGGGAGTCTCAACGCCAGAATCTAAAGCTAGGTGGTGTAAGTAAGGCATGCTCTAGCACCTGGGGGGAAATTTGATGATAGTTACAGCTATATTGCTATATATAGCGGAACTTAAAATTTTGCCTCACATCCAAACAGGGGGAAACCCTCGCAAATTTTTTTTAAGTCAGCGGAGTTTTAAAACGATTTGATTGGCTCAGAGGTTGAAGCAGCGATATGTTAAAATATTATGATGGTTCATTTATTTCGTATTAAATAATAAATGCAAATAGAGCAATAATAGGGCATCTGCGATATCTTTTTTTGTGGTATGGTGGTGCCATACCAACTTTAATACGAGATAATAGTATGGTGAGGGTGGCGAGTATTAGCTACAAGAAATGCTTCTGTTTTTGATCCCAGTAATAAGTAAGTCTTATGATGCTAATGCCGATTGTGAAACGCGTTCGATCTGGTTGCTCTTCTCCAGTAATGTAGCAGCCGATAACGTAATTGATGTCGTAGTTTGTATATACATATATCCACACTTACTGAGTGGATGAGCAATGCAGATGCATGCTATAGATGTAATATATAAAGAAGTGAATAATACACCGAGGATATAAAATTATATTATTACTGTTGTGCCAGAAGGGCTACAACTGTCTATGAAGATTGAGGTATTCTTGATGGGTAGATATGTCTGTGTTGTGCAACAACATGGACAAGCTATGATAATGGAAGTGCATCTCAGTTATTTAAATACTGAGGTTCATCAGATGTGATAAGCGTTATACAAGATAAATTGCTACTTTGGCATTCAGAACTTAGTATAAATAGAATAACTCTTGTCTTCATCAGTAAATCTTTAGTTTTTGTGTCTGATCTTATTCAAATAAGTCTTTTCTTGTTTTTATAATATCGAACATTTTCTATAAGCTACAAATAATAATCCTTTTATTCTTTGTGCTTAACAACTACTATATGATGAAATGAAAGTCATAGTAGACGGCATGATAGTGTCAGGATAAATGAGGTTGTAAGCGGATGTTTGTATTTTAATTATCTTGAAGAAAAGTTCCTTGATTCATCCCAGCAAATCTAAATCATGTTCAGTCTGTTGAGGTGTCGTTTTAGAATTAGTAATCATGATTCTAGCTGGTCATTTAATTGATATGTGTTGACTTTTTTTGTAGAATCATGATAGTGGAACCTTTATCAATACTTAAAGTGTATTGAACAGACTGTCTACTTGGTCAGTAAACGCCTGCGTTGAATAGGGAGCACACTATAAGTTTAGTGGGAAATAAACTCAGGCATACTCCTCTATGCCGCCAAATGGCAGAAAGACGACAGAATTACTCAGACGCAATAATTTTGGTTCTCAAATCCGCTGCAGTGCTACGATTCCCGAAGCGTAATAGTTAATGGAAATCCTGCTATGAGCTTAGGTTATTCGTGACCTAATAACTACTCAATCCGGTGATGGACTGAATTTAACAAAATTTGAGTTTTATTGCAAGTACAACGCTAAAGTGGAAGCCATCTTTTTCGCATTTTGGGTAGTAGGAATAAAAAAAAAACAAAACAAAATCAATATATTATTCCTCTAACATTTGGTGAAACAACAACAAGCAATAAGGTATGGATATAGTGTGTACACTTGCGGCGTTGACATGGCATATTGAGTTACACTGGTTATCCGTAAGTTACACGCTGATTTCGAGAGTGATAGACATACATTTGGTTCTCCTTGATTCTTGAATACCGCCAAGCAAGTGAGCCCCCAGTTTTTTCATGTATATTTTGGAGCATTCGACCCAGAAACAAAGGCAAGAGACAAGGAATGATAGATTACACAAAACGTGTCGGTCCATGTGACATTTACAGACATGCATTATAGCATTCATGAAGTTCATATACGGGTTGCCAACAAGTGGCTTGTGAGCTGTTTATTAAAATCAGCTTTATGGTTGTGCATTAAAACATCCCCTTTTTTCTTTAATCTTCGTGTTTCTATTTAGACACGTTAAAATGAATCAAAAAGGTACTGAAATCGATGAATCCTACATTGATTCCCAAGATATTAAGCATTCCGACCACAACCATGATGACAGCAATACAGGTATTACATGTTCAATTGTGGAATTATCATACATTAATTGTTGTTGACAGAGGATACGATAGAGGACGTTCAAGACAATCGATACAAGTGTGATATCTGCAAATATGAAATTGAAGGCTACCGGTCATTTGTGTTCCACTTGAAACTAGCTCACAAAATGCACTACATCAAGGGCCTAATTCAGAAGCATTGGTTACGCATAGAGGATGAAGAGCCGCCTTATACTTGCTCTGAATGTCAAAAAGTATTTAAAACAGCCAGACACTATGAGATTCATCGGGGCTCTGTTCACAAGAAAGATCTGCTAGCGTCCATTAGCAAGAATATAATGCCTAAAATCAATGGCCCCACTAACTACTGCCAGGCATGCGAAGCGACATACTCAAATAAGAACAACTACAAGGCACATTTGAGAAAGGTGCATAGAATGGCCATCATCAATCGCGACGCCAGCATCATTCCAGATCCATATGACCCCGAATTTTATTGTCGAGCTTGTCAGAAGAAGTATGTTAACAAGAAAAAGTATCGCAAGCATTTGTATAGCATTCACAATATACGCGGTGTCAAGAACAAATTAAAAAAAGCTACGATAACAGCGGAAGATTCAGAAACGATGCAGACACAACGTCGTGGTATTGGGTTAGACTCAATGGACGAGTCAAGACCAAAGACCAGAGCTGCCTTGAGAGCTGTCTTGAGAGCAAAGCCTGCGTCAGATGCTCCCAGATTAATTTTGAAGCCAAAAGAGTTGGATGCTAAAGAAAAGGAGGCTGCAGACTTAGAAAAGGAGGTAAACAGCTTTGTCGTTGGAAAACGAAAGAAGCCAGCAAGCGATGATTTTTTACCAGACATCAACGATCCCAACAACTATTGCCGTGTCTGCGACAAGACGTATTCCAACAAATATGGCTACCGCGTCCATATGGAACATTTGCACAACATGAAGTTGCCACAACTTGTGAACCCTAATGGAAAGAACATGCCCAGCCCCATCCTCCCCGATCCTCATGATCCTGACTATTATTGCCGTGTGTGCCAGATCACAAACTACAATATAACAGCTCATCGTCGCCACTGCAGAATTGTACATCAAATGGTATTTGAGCGAAGATACAAGAACCCGGATGCAGTTATAGACATTGATTCACCTGACTTTTACTGTCCTAAATGTGAAAAGCACTTTGAAGGAAAGTATTACTACAGAAGTCATCTCAAATCAGTGCACGAAATCGTATACAAGCAGGCAAAGCTGTCGGTCAACAAGGAAGTAGAAATCGACATTGACAGCCCTGACTTCTTTTGTGGAAAATGCGACAAGAAATTCAACGAAAAGTATTACTTTAGGAGACATCTAAAATATGTGCATGATCTACGATACAAGAGTGCAAAACTTGAAAAGAAAGATAATGACAGAAAGCGCGTAAAATTTGTCAACCTTTAAATCAGCTTTCCAGCATCTGCATTTACCATACATATTCATAATCATCAACTAATAAATTTTACATACTTATACTCATTGAAGCGCGTTCGCTATATTAATCAGCTATCAGTAAATGTTGTAAAGAGCGCTTTCTACATGCGTTGTTTTTCCATCCGTGGCATGTAATGTTTATACGTGCTGTGGGTCTCTTAGTCTTATCACACTGAGCGTTTAGTTGTCCAAGCCCAAAACACTGCATCTGTTTGGGACTAATACGATCAAAGAGCGTTATTGCATTCAATGAAATACTTTACAAAATTTTTCTCAATATACCAAGCCATTTGGTATCTAAAGCACATGATTTTTTAACACTGTAAGCATAAATGTTGTAATGGATCTCGACTAATGTGCAATTTAAAAAGTGTTAAAACTGACATTCAATATTATATACTAGCTAGAAGCAACATTTGAAATTTTTTGCTTGAAAAACAACTTTTTCAATTGCTTTCCAACAGTCGACTATACAATGTCTAGCAATATCAAGGTGTAAGCATTCAATATGCAACAACAAAATGGAAACTGGTTATCTAATGCTCTCATGATAGCCTTGTTACAGGGTCGACTAACGGCAAATTTAAAAATTTGTTTACCAAAGTAAAGCAAATCCACGAGAAATACGGTCCTTTTGACGTCCACTTGTGCACAGGCAACTTTTTTGGCCCTGATATTTCAGAGGAGGATATTCAAGAACTGATCAGCGATAAAATTGACGGTAATATACTGCCTAGGCATAATTGATCGCACAGCTAACTTTCAATCCAGTTCCTCTTATGACCTATTTCATTATTGGCGATCAACCCTTCCCTGAAAGCGTCAAAAACCACATTGCAACTACAGATGGTGAAGTGTGTTCCAACTTGTACTATCTCGGAAAACAAGGCGTATTGAACACATCAGAAGGGCTCAAGATTGCCTTTATTTCTGGTAAATTTGACGAGCAATCAACACCCAGCACCTACAACAAGAGCGATGTGGAGAAGTTATGCCTCACCAAACTACCTGCCACCTTGCCTCCTGGTGTGGACTTCTTGCTGTCTTACGAATGGCCACAAGATATCACTGAATTGACAGCGACTCCAATGACACTTGACCAAGATAAATCATCATTGCACATTTCAGAACTGGCAGCTGCTCTGAAGCCTCGATATCATTTTGCTGCTGCTCAGAATCTGTTCTATGAACGCGAGCCATACAAGAATATAGTGAGTGGATTTGGACAAGATGAAAGACCTGCAGACCACGCTACTCGATTCATTGGATTGGGACAAGTGCTGAACAAGGAAAAGCAAAGAGTAAGTTATTTTGGCAGGATTTGGGTGGGATCAGCCAGCTAAGATGGTTCGATTTACAGTGGTTTTATGCATTTAACTTGGTGCCCATGTCGAAAGCATCCAAAGAAGCACTCGAAAATCTACCTGAAAATACTACTGAATGTCCATTCGTGCCCTTATTCACTGGAAACAAACGAAAGCACGCAGACAGTGCAGAAGTCAATGGGTCTTTTTTCTGGGGCGAGGATGCCAAGCGTGCAAAGATAGTCGATGTTCCTAGAGAAGGCTACGTTTGCAAAAAGTGCAATATCCCAGGCCACTATATTAAGGATTGCCCACAAATTGCCGCCGACTATGTATGCAAGAAATGCAATGAAAAGGGACATAACATCAGAGATTGTCCTCAAGGCGGCGGCGGTGTGCCTCCTGAGGGATACGTTTGCAACATCTGTAAACAACCTGGCCATTTCATTAAGGATTGTCCTGATAGACAAGAAAGACAGCCTAGAGGAGAGCAGCCTAAATGTAAGTGTCTGGTTTGGTGGTATGAATGAATGGTAGGACTGATTCTTTTGCTGGCACAGTGGATTCATGCTGGTTCTGTTTAGCCAACCCCAAGGTTGAAAAGCATCTAATTGTATCTATTGGAACCGAGTTGTATGCAACGCTTGCAAAGGGTCCTGTCATCTCGCCCAACGACAAAGACTGCAAAGTTCCTGGTTTGGGCCACATCCTGTTGATTCCAATCACTCACTACCCTACCTTTGGCAAGATTCCAATGGAGGCACAGATTGAAGTGGTTTCAGAGCTTGAGAAATATAAGAGTGCCATCCGTCGTCTATTCGATCAATATGATCAGGATATGGTCCTATTCGAAGTGTCAAGAGAGTCTTTCAGAGGCATGGCTCATGCTCATATTCAGGTGGTGCCTATTCCAAAGTACAAATCAGATCAAGTAGAGAAGGTGGCTAGAGAACAAGCTGCACTAGCTGGTATGGACTTTATTGATCAAGTGCCTGTAAGTGCTGAATTATTTTGGACAAAAACAATGAGACTGAGGATACGTGTTGCATAGCAAAATCCTGAGATTCCTTACTTTAGAATGGAATTGCCTGATGGTAAATCGCTCGTACATTTGCTAAGACCTAAAGAACGATTCAATTTACAGTTTGGAAGGTAAATGTGCTTGAAGATGGATGATTAGCCACTATGTACTGAACAACCGCAACATTGTAGATTGGTAGTAGCACATGTCCTGGGTGCTCCTGAACGTGAGGATTGGAAGGCGTGTAGTCAAAGTGAAGAAGAGGAAAAGAGAGATGCTGGTCTTTTCAAAGCTGCATTTAAGCCGTTTGACTTTTCATTGGATTGAGCACTCTATATAAAAGCGAATAAAGAGTAATAGCCTTGATAGGTTTGCCCTGACTACATCAAAATCATGCTTTGTTTGTGTAATGCTACATCATGTTCATTACAGTCACATCAAGGACCATCAAAGGAGAACTTTGAATTGATTTTTTTGATTTCTCTTCTTTCACATTACTTTATCTATCAATATGGTGTACTTGGACGAAGTAATATCCCTACTTGACAAGCACAAATCTATCTCTGCAAACTGGGATCTTGCAGATTTTGAAAAACGTATACGCGAGCGAGATCATTCAAATCACCTAGTCAAGACAAGCGTCAATAAACCCAATGCTGACAGACTGTATCTTGAGCCAGTACCACATGGACTCTTTAAGCCACTCTTCTTTGAGGAAGAGGAGGAGGAGGAGGATGATAGCATGGAAGACGTAGTCAGCACAAATCTCGAGCAGTTGGAATTACCGGACGCTCATCACATTGCCTTCAAAGTCGATGCTAGTATTCCCGCAATAGAAGCACCAGCAACAGCACCTCTTATTCGATTGAATATGGCCGAGTACCGAAGAAGACGGACTGAACAGTTAGAATCAGCCAATTCAGAGCAATTCAATGCACTCATGAGAGCATCAATGGAGCCTGATAATATAGTAGCGAATAATCATACTAGCAATGCAACTGTTCAGCAACTCAGACCACCTCAACAACAGCCTGTAGTGAACAAAATCTCTGCTCCTGCGCCTGTGCCTGCGCCAATTCCTGCTCCAACAGTAACGCCAGCAACCACAAATACAAAACCCATAGTATCAGTACCGTTTGCTAATTTATATGACGCTTCATTGATGGATAGCAACATTTTCACCGAGAAATCAGGGCCAAAGATTTATGCCTATCCAACCCAAATCATCCCTATATTTGCTTCACCCACACAACAAGAGGAATGCGCAAACGACGCCATCAAAGACATTCGATTTCTGAAAGTCAATTTCACAGAGACATTGAATGCGCTATCATTGTCTGGTCTTCATCAACTCGAGGAGGTGGGTAAAGGATTGTTCCTAATAAAGCTTATTGAAAAGCTCCAGGATCGAGACTTAACATTGGCACTTGTTACGCCCACATTCAATGAAGAGAGTCTCCTAGTTGAAACAGCACAGAGGATTGGACTGAGATGCGTTCGCTTCTCCAACATCCTGGATGATTGGAATTCGGATTACGGTGTTTATCTTGAGATGAAGATTCCCAACAACGCAGACTTCTCACAGTACAACTTCAAGCCTGCCGACTTTGTGATTTGCCTTGGTGCCGCATTGAATCGCTCAACCGTCGACAAAGTCAAAGCAGCGCCTGAAACACCCGTGGCCTGGATGGTGACATTAGGTTCAGCAGAGGAAAGATTATATAATTTCATGGCTCAAGAAAACGTTAGATATCCTGATTGCACTGACGCAGATGGCTTCCAGAATCTGCTTTTGGCGTCCAACAACTGGCCCTCTTATGATCACTATAGCTTTCAAGAGTTAACGTCTCGAGTCGCAGACAATGTGAGTTGCTGGTTGAACCTACTCGGCAGATCAAAATATCAGTTTAGATCCACCGAGGACCTACCTCTTTCATATCATTTGGCGACATTCAAACCACAGACAGATGGTGATATCGAGGACATGGATATAAGCTCTTCTGATACAGAGGCCATTCAGGTAATTGACTACATGTACAACTGATATCCACCGTGCCTAACTCAATTTATAGGTTCAGCAAGACATTTTCCCCACCTTTGAAATTGTTGAGAGGCCACCCACAACAGTTGCCCCTGACAATGACAAATCTCTGGTGGATGATTACACAAGTGAGGCTAAGGCTCTTAAGAACAAATTTGAAGGAGAGTACAAGGCGTTGCTTTCCAAGTATAGAACCAAGTTATCAGAATCTCATAAACAAATGTAAATTTACTCTCGCTCTCTCTTCCCCTCTCTCATTCTCTTTACATATATTCCCTCTCCCTCTCCGATATAATAAAGTCAAAACCACCCAGTTGGATCATCGTTGTATGCATTTATTGATTAGTTTGCTAATTACGAGGAAAAATAGTTTGTCCAATAAGACAGGCGACACGCTTCTTTTCAGGTGTGATGATCTCGGCATGAACAGTGTATTTTCCAGGAGGAATTTCCTTGGGTAAAGCAACCACTTTGTTGAAGGTCAAATCACCCTGGGGAATGGGACACTTTTCATCTACTTCCTGAATTTTATCACAAAAATCAAACTTCTTTTGAATCAACTTGACTACGCCATATTTGACAATAATCTCCACAACAGTGCCATTGGGTACAGTTTCTGAGAGATAACCCTTAAAGTCAATTTGCAGATCTTCACCTTTCACAGGTGGGTCGGGTGAAAGAGCGACATAGTCGATACTGTAGCATGCGTTGAATCACATTAGATCGCTGCTGCTGTTCCTCTTTGTATTAACACTTACGTCAAGATATCATTGGCATCACCACAATTGGTGATCAATTTGGTGGAATCTTGTAATAGGGAACCTACATCGTTATCTTGAACGATGAATCCAGGTAAATAGGTGGCCTGGCTCAAGCCAAGGAAAGCACTGAATACAAGAGCGAGAGTCGGTAATTTCATGATATGTGTATGGTTGCAGAAAGAAAAGGAAAAAGAGAAAGATACCAATAAGATGTATTTTAACTATCGACCTGTGTGAGTAACAGAAGGGAGAGGACGGACAATTAAAAGGCTATGATGTAGTCGTAATGATGACCATCTCAGCAGACGCAAAAAGCGAAAACGAGAAACCCCAAGTTACGCTATCGATTCCATGGTCACCATAGGGCTTACAGCAGGTCAGCCTCTTGAATATTGAAATTCTGGGATAGCTGTCAATTTGCTGAATATGCATACAGGTGCATTATTATTAGGATGTTGTTTGATCGCATAAATAGTGACACTGAATTTGTTTGGGCAGATAATCTTCGTTTACTGTTGTTTGATGTTGTACCATTCCCATTTATGACGAATGTCTATAGACTGCACCTTGATGTGCTCTAATTTTTATTATATTAGGCCCTAGGCCGTCTCTATTTGCGTTTGTACATTTTACTGAGTCAATATCTCCACACCATCGTCGTTTATAAGCAGCTATTTCAATGGTATTAGTACAAACCCTAAAGAAAGACGCTTAATTCACTTACTGTGTGTTCAAACTGGGCACTTCTACCACCATCTACAGTTGAGATTGTCCACTCGTCAGGCCACATGATACCAGATGCTGACCCTTGACATAAAATGGGTTCCTGGTCAATCATACAAGGATCAGTACAACACAATTCTTGGCTGTGCAATGCCCACTTACTATAGTAAACGCAGTTCCTGATTCCATGACGCCTTCTTCATCATTCACTATCTTTGATATCAGCCACTGTTAGTGCCAGGTAAAGCAATACTTACAGTGATGATAGATCAGCGGCAAACTATGAAACTCTTTTCCAATCCCATGTCCAGACAGTTCATCAGATACAGAGAATCCATTCTTCATGGCCAATTCGCAAATCACTCTTCCAATCTCCTTGTAAGGCACGCCTGGTCCACAGATTGATATCGCCTTATTCAATGTCTCTTGCGTGCATGCAACCAATGCTCTTCCCTTTTCATCAACTTGACCTACTAAGAATGTAGCTGACGTATCTCCATGATATCCATCCAGGTAAGCAGTAACATCTACATTGATAATATCGCCTTCTTCCAATGGTCGTTCATCTGGGATGCCATGAGCTATAATGTTGTTGATGGACGTACACACACTCTTGGGGAATCCCATATAATTGAGAGGTGATGGATAGGCATTGTTGGCAATGATGGCTTCATGAATCATCTTGTCTATGTGGTTCGTTGTAATACCCGGTCGACATAGCGATCCGCCCAAGGTCAGGATTTCTTTGACCAATTTGCCCGCTTTTCGCATCCCTTGTATATCTTGCTCTGTAAGGATTGGTGCTTCTGGACCCCATTTAGAAGAGCTTCCATCAATAGCGTAAGGAGGTCGTTGAACATGTGGCGGTACATCTCGATGTTGCATTTTGCGTACATCTACACTTGCCAAGGAAGCTGGGACAATACGTTGATAGTTACCCCAGCGATTCATCAGCTTCGAACTACGAGGAATATTTACTGGTGCAGCTGTATGAAAGTGGTGCTGTGTTGCTTTCTTCAATAGCTGATGGCATTTTCTGGATAGAACTCTGTTGATCATGATGCACACAAAAACAGGTTTCAACAGAAGACAAGGTAAAAATTGAAAAAAATTGTCGCCTAGATGAAAAGGCTTTAATTTGGATCTGCGATGAGTTGTCAACAGAAGGATGTTTGTAGTTTTGCATAATTGATGGGTGCTATGGTTGCCATGGTTCCCACAATCAATATAGCCTCAATGTCAGATCCAATTGAACAGTTTATAAGAGATGAACTTTTACAGAAAAGATATTTACTATGTTTTATATATGACATTGGGATATTATATTTAATTAATTGAATCAAACACATTCCAATGGTCTAATTCTGGAGTAATCTTGATATATACGAGAAGGAACTTGAACAAATCACCTTCGACCTAGAAACAGGTATATTAGAGGACGTTGGTATACTAGAATTGGGTCAAGGATACTTACTGGAACAAGTGGAGGAATTGCATATGGTTCCTTGAGAGCCAAATATTGTTGGAAAACATGCATAATAATGATAGCGTCAGTAGGCATGCCAGTAGTAGTTGGCAAGAATCGATAAGTTTGCATTCTACTGCTTGAGGCAAGGTCTATAACATGGGATTAACTTGTTGATCAAACACACAATTAGCCCAACTTACCTTTGATACGACCAACAACATACTTTCTACCATCTACATGCGAATAGCCATTGACGTTAATGAAATCCTCAATCTCGGGTAACGTGAATGCAATATTTTGCTATACAAATACATCAGTGCCATGTCATGTTAGTTCCTGGCCAAATACTTACGGTGGTAGACATCACCATTGACAGCATCACTGTAGCAGTAGGGCAATCAGCTACTGATCTGTTTCTGGGCGTAAGCATTTCATTGAAAAAGTCGATTGATTGTGACAATGGGATAAAGATCTTCTTTAGCAAAACCTGAATCCGTCGGATTACGCGTTAGATCTCCATTGCAGATGTCTAGCTAGCACAATACTCACGCTTGTCATCTTGTCATAGTACGCACGAGAAGCGCGATCATTGTATCTGTTCCAATTCTTTTCAAGATCAATCATCTATTGACGCATGAACATCAGCCATCATCATCCTCTTACAAACAGCATTCTCTTGTTTACCTGCTCAATTCTGAAATCATCTATAATCTCAGGAGTGGGTGATAAAAACCACAACAATCGTTCACGATTTTTAGTAGGCTGAAGAGGTGGTTGAACGCATGGTGTATACTTGAGTTTTGGGCCGGTATGCTGCTTTGTCACAGGAATTCCAGAGCCAGTGAGAGTAACTGCGGGTTTGGCAGTGTCAGCTTGACCATAATGTTGTAAAGCAGCTCTAGCAATTTCCATTTCGTCAACCTTTGATTTGGTGTATGATGCGTTGAATACAGTTGGGATCAAGTGATTGGTGTCTAAAGGAGCAACAGAGAGTGGTTTGACGCCAGGTATATTCGATGGTTGCTGTTGTTCCTGTTGAGGGGTGGGGTCTTTTAAGAACAAGGAGGTGAACTTAACATCGTCTTTCAGGTTTTGCAAAGGTGCGACTGGTGCTTGAGGGGCGCCCACTGGTTGGGCTGGTTTGCTGGGTGCATTGAGTTCTGTACGAAGAAAAACAAGCACTTTTTTCATGGTGGTTAAAAGAGGGCCAGGTCCTAAATATACATGTTGGTGTTTGACCGAGAATGCATACATTTTTACCCCAACTTACTGAATGCAATGTTCTTGAATGGCACGTTGATGTATCTAAGAAGTGGATGTGTGACATTTCCGGAGGCATTCCATATGTTGTAAATACAGAGAGGGACCAATATCATCTCTGCAACGAAAGAGTTTGTTTTCAGCTAGTAATTGAGGGAATGAACTGTGTGTATTTGTTACCTGCCAAGTAGATTAAACGCAAACTAAAGATGAATGTAAATGGCTGGAGCTTCAACCAAAATGCAAACAAATTGGGAATAGCCAGAGCAGCTAGCGTAAGCGCATTGGATCCCACAATGTACGAGTTGTACGATGAATATGAAAACATGCCACGAAAACAGTTTAAAAGTGGCATACTGATACAAATTGATGTTTAGCAAAGCAAAGCAGATAAAGCAATTGCTGTTGAACGCGTTAGATTATATTTGCAAAGAAAAAAATTGAATTTAATCAGTCACTGGTAGGCAGATGGATCCAATCAATGTTCATACATTGACACCCTTCTTCCAAATGTTGAAGCGAGTGCCCACCATTGCAATGTATGCATCCTCTCCAAAGAACGTTGCCTGAACAGAAGGTCGATCAACAAGCGCAGCGAAATATTCAGCGAGTCGAGGGCATTGTTTAACTGCTTCAAACTCATAGCCATCCAAAAATCGACGGTTGAATATCAACATGCGGATTACAAAAGGTGCCATGGTTGTATCCGCAAAAGAAAACGGCTCGCCCAGAAAGTATGGTCCTGAGGAAGATTGCTCCAACAGCAAGCGATTGAGCTACGCCTGATACATTAGCATACGTTGATTGCAATGATAAAATCTTACCCTATACAGATGTACATTCAATTCCTTTTCATATGTCTCAAAAGCGCCCTCGGCAGAGAAATTGTAAAGAAACTTGTGGTAATCACCACTGATCTTTTCATTATAAAAGTTGGCAGCAAAGCGACTTGTAGCTCTCTTCATCACATCTTGAGACACCAAACTAATCATCTCGTTAGTAATGCATTGTGCAGTACCGTATGATCACCTACTTTTTCTCCTTGAATCGCTCACAAACGTATTCAGCAACGACAATGGATTCACCAACAGTCGTTCCTGACTCATCTGTAAGTGCAGGTATTTTAGTCTCTGGGTACACGTCCTTATACCACTCTGGCTTGTTCTTTGTGTCAATGATAACATAATTGTAATCAGCGTCTGCTTCTGCTAATGCAACTCGTGCTCGATGCACAAAAGGGCAATACACCGCTCCATACAATGTAAGCTTTGATTTATCCGTATGCGTTGTCATTGGCGTATTTGCTTGTTCAGCTTGCTTGGAAAGAGATGCGTTACAATCTGCTGTCCGTACATTTAAGATTGGGGACGGTGTTGCTGAGCTGGCATATGAGCTAATTGGACTGAGCAAGGCTTCATGCCAATTCTAATTTCAATGACGCTTTGCCTTCCAACCCCTTGCCTCAATTATGTCTAGCTCAAAAATCCATTATAGGATGCCCAATAATCAACTGGGCTCCTCTGATCGCAGGTCTTTACTTCGATAAATGTATCCCTGAGATTATCCACAAATTATTCAACATAACGATCAACCATCTTCCACTCAAAGGAAGCATCCAATTGATATATGTATTAAAATTTTACATTTTACCTTTCTTCGTTGCCTAATGACCATCTATAAATCATCTGTAACCATGAGTCTGACTCTTTCTCAATGCTCTATCTCTGTATCATCGAAAACAACTCAATACGAGCAAAGAGTATACTCGTATTAGCTCTTTTCACTGAGAGTTATGTAAAACACAGTGCAATCTGCATGCATTTGACCCGTAATTTCTTCCGTTAAAACCCGTTCTGGACTGTCAGAATAGCACCAAACAGTTGCTCTCATCCGGCAGTTACTTTCTGACACCTTTGCTCAACTTTTTGGGGATCAAAAAAAACATGGATGAAATTCGACTAAGAAGCATGAGGTACCCCTCATGGTTTTCATCGAAAATCAAATGATCGCACTTTTCACCTTGATAACGAAGACTTTTACTATAGTATATCTTGAATCAAAATGCTTCCATCGATCCAACGTAGCCCCTGAAATTATCTTTGTGGGACTTTGATATGTAAAATTTCGACTTTTCGGTCAGAAACCTCTTTTCATATTCTCATAGATTGCTCAATGAGCTTATTCAAAACATACATTTTACTTGGTACCATTGGATGCGCCTTGAAAAGCACTCCAAGAAAGCTTAAGAAAGCATAGGATGATCAGCATATTTTACTTAGTTGAATCTGGTAAAATAGTTAAATCGAGTCGAAAATCGTCAAGATTTGGCCAATCTGGAACAGACTATGAGTCTGAAATTGAGCCAATATTGGCTGCTGAGGCTGGCTGGCAAACTCAATGGCCTTTTCATAAGCCAATACAGTAATAGATGCCCTTGAAGCGTATGGAAAGTAGGTGGCATGTCATAGCACCACCATTGGTTATGTTATTTTCTTGCATTCTATATATGATAGCGCTAGTCTACCAAAATACTTTTCAGGCCAACTTCTTTTCTTTTTGAGGCTTTGAAAGTGTGTAGGGACTGAAACATTTATTATTATGTTATGATGATATTAAATCAGAATCTTTCTCTTGGTCCAAAGCAACCCTAGAAAGATTGCTTTTGAAACCTTTATATGCAAAGCCTCTACATTTTCGCCAAAAACGTCATTTCGTATTTCCAACCATTGTTCTTTATATTCGGTTTAGATAATTTTAAAAATTAGTAGTACCATTGTGTGTGCCTTAGACAGCACTTCAAAGATGAATTAGAAGGCATGGGATGAACGTCTCAATTCACATAGTCAAGTCTTACAAAATAGATCAATCAAGTCGAATTTAATTAAAAACTACCAATTTGGAGCAAAGGGCAGTTCTAAGTTTGAATATGCTTTGGCGTCTGGCTAGCATGCCTTTCTAATGAAGACAATCGATATTCGTAATGCTAATATGAAGAAAACTGCAATTTACTGAGCACTATAATGTAGCTTGGCTATCAATTGCTGTATTAATTTTACGTATTTTATATTGAATTATTGTAAATTGCGCATTTAAATGCGAAATGTAATAGTATCATCGTTTAAACCTTACACGGCATTCGGATTGTAATCTTGATATAAAACAAATTGTAATTTTATTTTTCAACTTATATTCAGCAGCCTCTATGGCAAATCAAAGAGCTGTTAACGATATAATGCAACAATATAAGGCTATTTGCTTAATGCCACGGTATTGAGATGCGATATTTACTGCTAAACAAATGATATCACACAGTAATGCCATACACATCAACAATTTGAGCAACTGGATAAAAAAAAAAAAAACTCTCACCAGCATTTAGATAAATTAAATGGCTTGCGCTACTATATTATTTGTTTTCTTGCATGCAATTTTACCGTCAAATGAGTAACATAGCACCTGCTATTCAAGATCCCATTTTTTGCATGATAGTTACCTAAACAGGCAATTCATAGGGGCAGAGAAACCTGCAATAATCACTTCAAAAATGTCACATTTCCGGTACGGACAGTGAATCAAGTCAGTCAGTCAGCAATATCAGGTACATGGTATGTTGCCCATTAATAGAATCCTTCTCATCTGCCAAGGTAAACATGGAGAAATAGGCATCCATCCATCTATCATGTAGTAACAAATAACCATAGTTCTTTAAAAAGTTCCTCGAACAGTAATCTATCAACATGTCGAAGAGAGAAAACAAGGCCCTTTACTTCCAAAAGCTTACCAACTATTTGGATACTTACCAATCCATCTTCATTGTCAACGTTGACAATGTCAGTTCCAACCAAATGCATCAAATCCGTTTCTCCCTCCGTGGTGAAGCTGTTGTTCTTATGGGTAAGAACACCATGGTCCGTCGTGCCTTGAAGGGTATGATCAATGAGCGTCCCGAACTTGAGAAGCTTCTTAACTTTGTTAAGGGTAACATTGGTTTCGTTTTCACCAACGGTGACCTCAAGGATATTCGTGAGAAGATCGTCTCCAACCGTGTTGCTGCTCCTGCTCGTGCTGGTGCCGTTGCTCCTGCTGATGTTATCGTTCCCGGTGGTAACACTGGTATGGAACCAGGAAAGACCTCTTTCTTCCAAGCTCTCGGTATCCCCACCAAGATTGCTCGTGGTACCATTGAAATCGTTTCTGATGTCAAGCTTGTCCAATCTGGCTCCAAGGTCGGTCCTTCCGAGGCTGTTCTCTTGAACATGTTGAACATCTCTCCCTTCACCTACGGCATGGGTGTTGTCCAAGTTTATGATGCTGGATCTCTCTTCTCTGCCGATGTTCTCGATGTTGAAGAATCCCAATTGGTTGCCAACTTGTTGGCTGCCATCCGCGAGATTGCCTCCATCTCTCTTGCTGTTGGTTATCCTACTTTGGCTTCCGTTCCTCACTCTGTCATCAACGGTTACAAGAACTTGTTGGCTGTCTCTGTTGCCTCTGATTATACCTTCCCCGGTTCTGAGCAAATCAAGGAATTCATTGCCAACCCTGAAGCTTTCGCTGTTGCTGCTCCCGTTGCTGCCGAGACCTCTTCTGCTCCTGCCGCTGAGGCCGCTGCTGAAGAATCTGAGGAAGAGGATGATGATATGGGTTTCGGTCTCTTTGATTAAGTCACCTAATTTCATGATCAAAAGCGCTTAATCGCAGCTTTTTATTGTACATTCTTTTAATAAACAATTCAAAATGTGTTATTTATTGTTAAGACTTTTTGTTATTTCTAAGTGGGAAGGGCTAATCAGTGCTCTCCTTTGGATGGTTAAGATTATATTGTGTTGATTCAAAGCAACAATAGTACTTGACACCCTAACAACCCCAAACACCGTTTCCAATCTAATTGGTTTTGTTCAATTTGCCTGATTTCTGGCTCTCGATAACGGTTGTACCAATCCATATGATGAGATAATGACAATCATGGTATTTGTAATACTGAGCGTCCGATATATCGCCTGATTTACATAGCAGGCCACCATCTGTATATAATAAGCACTTACTAAAGCTGTGTTCGAGATTGATTTCATCTCATCCAACTTCTTTTGTGAAAACCGAGGCTCATCCTAGCGTTCATGTTGACAGGACCAGATTTCTGCACATGTCAATTCGAAGTCAACAGCTTTACTCTGCATGTACCTCGTTTCCTTTAAAGCTGTGTTTCTGTACTGATGAAACACAACCATCATACGATATGTACATATATCTATATTTTTATGACAACCCAAGCTTTACTGCAATTTCAGTAAATTATGCTATATTCTCGATCGTGTTTGACCTTGTTTCGACAAATCACAGTAGCTTACTCATTGTTACAAATCGCAAAATCTGAAATGTTGAGAATTCTAAAACTTTTTGAATTCTAGCATTTTCGTGAAACTCTGATTATGTGAATCAATGACATATTAACAAAGTTATAGGCCTTTTGACTACCAAAATCTAGATTGTTCAACCGCAAGACCACACAGTCCTAGTACGGCTAAACACAACACATGAATGGGGTAAATGCATGCACTGATGATCTTTATGATAAAGATCGTGGTACCTGAACTGCTCGGTAATCGCTCAGCAGCTCCTGTACATCATCCTAAACGTACGAAAAAACTTGCATGCCTCGCATGTTAATCTAAAGTTACAAGTATCTTTTAAAATGGGATTTTTGTGTTCAATGTCTTCCAGATTACTTTGTCTCTTACTTCACCAAGGAATTTAAGGCCTGAAAGAGAGCTCTTCGCTTATTTAATGCGGAAGCATTTGCTTTCCCTTTAAATATTCTTTATAAACTACGCCCTCAACCCTTTGATTCCTAGGTGATTGGATGGTTATTTGAGTGAATTTACGCAATTTTGTAGATGTTGGAAATGAAAAAAAAAAAAAAAAAAAAAAAGTTGGAGCTAAAAACAAATTCGATGTGCTGAAACTCCCAAATCTTCTTTTCTTCCACTCTCTTTCTTTTCGTCTAGACAGTAGATCCTCTTTATAGTTGATGAGTACACATTCGTTTGTTACTGAGGATACCAACATGCCGCCTGTATCTTCCACTCCTGAGCCTTCAAGACGCTACATTCAATGGAAGGAAGAAGACATCGGACTTTTGCTCAAGGACCTGGAACAGCCAGGTCATTACAACAAGTGGAAAGAGAACAAATCTGGATACTCAAAGCGAGTAGGAGAGCAAATATTCAAAAACAACATGAATCACGAAGCCATCAAGTTCAAGGTGCGTTGGCTTGAATCACGCTTTAAGCGATGGGATGAGCAGTTGACATCTCCTAACGTTGAAGACGACCAAGTTCTCTTTAATGAAATACGAGGTACACATTCATTTTATCAAATGTTAAGATATCAATACTAACAGACCTATTTGTTCATTTGCTTTTAGAGAAAATCTTTAAAGAATTCCCATATTATGATCGCTGCAAGCCTATATTCAGCTCAAATCCAACCACTGATTCTCCTGTTGCACAGCAAGATACTGCCCCTGCAGAGCATGTTGATAATTCTCATAGATCAAGCCAAAATGAATTGACCAGCCTAAAACCTGAGCCTTCTAGAACGAGCACCTCTCCGCCTAGTAGAATGGAGACGCCTTATCCTCATCCATCGCGTGCTAATCAACAACATCAACTACCACATCAAGGAGTAGAGGAGGAGGAAAGTGGAGGACATAGACCGATGTTCATCGACAATAACAAGAGATTTGTCGGTGAAAATGCCCCTGAATCATCTCAAAAGAAGAGGCGGTCAAATCAACAAAACTTGGCTCGGCCCATAGCAGTATACCACCAACCAGCACCTTCGTTGCAACCTTTGAGTAATCACCACATTTCGAGGTATTGTTTCTGTTGACATGACGTATCTGTTTACGATTAACATATATGTGCAGATATAGACTTGGAGATGTTGGCATTTCGGATGACAGTAGAGTCAAGTTTATGGAAATAGAGCTCGAACTCAAAAAAATGGATCACCAAGAACGTATGCAAGAGATGAAATTGGAGCAATTAAGATTAGAGATTGAATTACAAAAATTAAAGCGTGATACACCATTTGCACAAGCATCATCCTCCACCATCATGAACACTTCTGAATGAAATATTATTTGTTCAATTATTCCCACCTTTGCAAAACCAAAACAACGGAAACTCTAGTACATATGCAATCTGCACTGAAATTATAACACACTAGGAAACTATATACCTTTGCCTTCCTTACTGTCATGAAATAAAAAAGAACTCTTTTTCTATGCATCAACATCATGAGTCTATCCACAATATTTACATGTATCTATCCTTATATACACCAGGCATAAATTAAATATAACCCTGCTTTGCCTACATATTCACACTGGTATGTATACCAATTTAGAAGCAATTAAGCACATAGATTATTATTAGTTACATTCAGTTATTGATTGACATGACATGATTTCAAGCAAGAAAATGTGTAAATGTTCATTGAAAGGGGTAAATCACTCACAGGCAATCCTCCCTTGAATATTTTAGATTGCACATTGTCATTTGGGTGCCAATGTAGTGACTAGAAATGGCTCTGCTAACGCTGACCTGTAGACAGATCTACTAATACTAACATATAGGCAGCTAGCAACATTACCAGTATGAGAAGAGCACCCTGATATTTCATAAATTACGTCTTGAGAATTATGTAGGCATTCGCCTTAGATTGCCTCAACTCACTGCTATGATACTCAGCACCATTCGATATAATCGGGTTCATCCACAATTTTGAGTAGATCGCCAACACCTCTTCCTCGGTCCGGATTTTATATTCGAGAGCCTCATTCGGAAATGGAAAAAATCCAAGAATCTTGGTAGGTAAATGCCTCCAATGTGCAGATTAAAATGCTCCCTCTCTATCCAGTAAAGCATTTTAAGCCATGGTAAATTTCCATCCATCCATCCATCTATCTATATACAACATGGCATTAATCAATTGTTCGTTTATGAAATAATAGCCTACTAGACTTCACCACAACAGAAAGAAGCGTGGACACGTTTCCGCTGGTCACGGCCGTGTTGGTACGTTATGATAGAATAAGCAACATTGAGGAGCAATGCAGAATGATTGACATTGCTTGTTTGATATCTAGGTAAGCACAGAAAGCATCCTGGTGGTCGTGGTCTTGCTGGTGGTCAACACCATCATCGTATCAACATGGATAAGTACCATCCTGGTTACTTCGGTAAGGTCGGTATGCGTCAATTCCACTTGAAGAACAACGTCAACTGGCGTCCTGTTGTCAACCTTGATCAAATCTGGACTCTTGCCGGTGAAGGTGTCCGCGAGCAATACAAGAACACTGAAAAGGTTCCCGTTATCGATGCTCTCCAAAAGGTAAGTTTTAAATACTGCAATTTCTGATCTAGGTGTACATGTTTGGACAATGTAACTAACATTTGAAAATGTACTCAGGGTTACGGTAAGGTTTTGGCCAAGGGTACTATCTCCCAACCTGTCATTGTCCGTACTCGTTTCGTCTCTCGTCTCGCTGAGAAGAAAATCAAGGAAGCCGGTGGTGTTGTTGAGCTCATTGCCTAAATGTAATCTAACACTTTGTTCCTTCAATTCGAGAAACTCAAATAAAAATTCAATTAATATATACTGTCATCATTTTCTTGCGACTTGTTGCTGCATTAATGTGCTTAATTGGATGGCTTTGGACAATCATTACTCGCATAAAAATATGTAATGGATATAGCATGATTTAAGCAATTTTATTTCATCAAGACATTAAAAAAGGTTTGAAAGAAAATCCCAAAAATATTGACAGGAGGGAATAAAAGAGTAATATGTAACGATTTTTTGGGTAATATAATAGTGAATTATATTGAATGCAAGTAGAGAAAAGGCTTAAAGGGGATCAGGATGTGATAATAAGTTGATTTCGTTGAGTAGCATTAATATAGTATGTTTGAGATACTGGATTTATTTGGAGCTAGTGTACTTGGTGACAGCCTTGGTACCTTCAGAGACGGCGTGCTTGGCGAGTTCACCAGGGAGGATGAGACGAACAGCAGTTTGGATTTCACGAGAAGAAATGGTAGAACGCTTGTTGTAGGCAGCCAACTTGGAAGCTTCAGAAGCAATACGCTCAAAGATGTCGTTGACGAAAGAGTTCAAGATGGACATGGCCTTGTTGGAGATACCGGTGTCGGGATGAACTTGCTTCAAGACCTTGTAAATGTAAGAGGAGTATGTCTCGCGACGAGTGATCTTTCTCTTCTTGCCATCAGCAGACTTGACCTTGGTTGTCTTAGCAGGAGCTTTACCAGCAGTTTCTTTAGCCATTTTAATTAAGATATTTGGATGAAAAATTCAAAAAAAGAAGGGCTCTGATAAGAATCTCACTGGCTTTTATACTAAAATTTTGGATTTCTCTTTTTTTTTTTCATGAATTTTTTTTTGATGGGATTCAACTAAAAATATTCCCTAATATAGCCATTGTCTTTAAGGAAATATGATAAAAAATGAGAAAAACTATCAAAAACTTATAGTAAACCATTAAATCAAACGCGTAATGCCGCGTAGATGCACGTTAATCTATGCTCTAATCAATTAAAAAAAATATATATTTTTTGCATCTTCATGTTGAGCCTGAGCTCATATCAAATGTTGCCTTTCACCATGATGCCAAGTTGTAAAAAAAAAAAAAAAAAAAAAAGAATATCTGCGTGACTCTGATGAAAAAATTAGATTCATATATAAATGAGCATATTTTCAAGATCTCTTTTCCCCTTTTCACCTTTAAACAACATAAAGCTTTAATCAACACATACAATGTCTGGTGGTAAATCTGGTGGAAAGTCTGCTTCTGGCTCAAAGTCTCAAACTCGTTCAGCTAAGGCTGGTCTCCAATTCCCCGTTGGTCGTATTCATCGTCTCTTGCGTCGTGGAAACTATGCTCAACGTGTTGGTGCTGGTGCTCCCGTTTACCTCGCTGCCGTTCTCGAATATCTTGCTGCTGAAATCCTCGAATTGGCTGGTAACGCTGCTCGTGATAACAAGAAGTCTCGTATTATCCCTCGTCACTTGCAATTGGCCATCCGTAATGATGAAGAATTGAACAAGCTCCTCGGTCATGTCACCATTGCCCAAGGTGGTGTTCTTCCCAACATCCACGCTTCTTTGTTGCCTACCAAGACCAAGAAGACTGGTGCCTCTCAAGAGCTCTAAATATATATATATCTTGCACAAATACTCCAAACACAAATTCATCATTTCATAGCTTTTTTCTACATTTCAAAAATCTCTTTCTAATCAATGTTTAGCTTTGGAAATTATCTTTTAATGATCCATTAAATTACCCTATTTTATTCCACTATTTGCTTTATTCAAAAGAAATCCAAATATCACGTTTTATAAAGATATTATGTACAATACTCCATCCAAAATGATTAAACTGCTACATCAACTTGTATGATCTGTAATTTTTAATAATGAATGTCTAATGCCAGTCCAAGCATATGCTGCAACAGGCTTAATACAGACCATCTTAATAATTCTGAACCACCAACTGACTCCAAACTTATGGCGTTTGAGCGTAAATATTAGGTATATTGATTCGTATAAGACAGAATGTTATGCATTTATACTTGTCTTTTTCCATGAAGACGAACATGCTTGAAGCCTAGCTTGTCATCGCTTTACATTGTTTATATGTATATATAGTAGTGCTGTTTGCCAATATTAGGCAGCTAATAAACATTGAGAGGCGGACAAGGCTCAAAAGACTCTTGTTCGCATTTACAAGTATGCTCATGAGATCCTGAGTGAAGAAGAACGGTAAGCCTGAAACCATATCAACGAGGATGCTCACATTCGATTCAACCCTCAAATGAGATTAGAGCTAATCGTTGGTGAAGATAGGCGCACTCAGAATCTGCCAACTGTCAACGAGATTGCAGCCATTATTCCCAATGAATATTCTGATGCAATTTCTAAAGATATTCTCATCACATATGGAAATATCTTTTCAATCAATGGCAATTGTCTCTTTTGAACGAAACAATGAAACACATATTCTCTGCATGCCTTGTTGAAATGCTGCAAATCTTGACTAGGAAGTTGCGATTACATATATTTTAGTAGTGAGCTAGGCTAACAGGCGTTGTCAGATATTAAAACACCCAAAAAAAAGGCAACAGAAATTATCCAAGCTAAGTGATAGTCCTTTTAAATCCATGATTCCCACTTAATCAGCATCCCAATGACGATTGCTATCATCAAAAAGGCGTCTTGATCAGCTAGCAGTGCCAAAAATTATTCAAATTCAGCCTATTTTTTCTACTCAAGATTGGCCAGATTTTGTCCTTTTTACGACTTCTTTAATTTATTTTGAGAGATTCGACTATATAAACTGTAATGATCATTCGATGCTTCCTAATACATCCTTGGAGTACTTTTTAAGGCGCTTCCAATGGTGCTAATTGTAATGGATGTTTTGACTGAACTTATTGAGTAATTTACAAAAATATGAAAAGAGGTTTCTGGCTAAAAAGTCGAAATTTTACATATCAAAGTCCCACAAAGATGATTCCAAGAGTTACGTTGGATCGATAGAAACATTTTGATTTAGGATATACTATAGTAAAAGTCTTCGTTATCAAGGTGAAAAGTGCGATCATTTGATTTTCGATGAAAACCATGAGGGGTACCTCATGCTTTTTGGTCGATTTTTGGCCATGTTTTTTGGGTCCCCAAAAAGTTGAGTAAAGGTGTTAGAAAGTTACTACTACTCGAGTACAATTATTTGGCGACATTCGGGCGGCTCAGAAAAGTCTACATGTCAAGATATGAAGGCCTGAAAGCTGCCCAGTTTGGTTATGTTTCGTACATTTGCTTGTCAATTGGCTCATTTTTGTTATGATGCAAAGGCGTAAAGATATTGTATGCATAAATTTAGATATAGAACATACTGTTACATCCCAATATTTAGCTGGAAATATTGAGTTGAATGGCATTGTTGTATGGCTGTGTCATGGCAGTAAAATACAACTTATTATTGAGTTGATGGTGGTTGTAAGGCATGCAGAACAATTTAGACGCAATAAATAGTCTGCATCTATTATCAACTTCGCTATATATACTGGAAAACTATGTTTTTAAAAAATAGACAACCCAATCACATAAAATTCTAAAGAGTTGAGGGCTGGACAAAGGTGAATAAAACCACCAAAGAAGCCGACAATCGGGAGAGGGGTTGGGGGGTTTACCGTAGCGAAGCAAAGCTGCAAAGTCATGATAACTAGGAATTGAATCCAATACTTGATAACGTTAATTTTAATGACGGCTTTACCGTAGCGAAGCAAAGATGCAAAACCTATGACAACTAAGCATCTGATCCAACACTTGGTAACATTGATCTATATGAGGGCTTGATCGCAGCGAAGCGAAGGCGCAAAACCATCGTATTCAAACAGCAAATTCGATTTCTCATTCCCTAAATTAATAATTGATTGTTTGAAACGTACTTATATAGCAAACTTTTATTATTATTGATTTGAAATGTCTTCGGCAATAGCCCGCAGGGCGACACCATCGTCGAGCGTAACGAGATTGCATCTAATTCAGCATTTGGTAATATTAGTCTTAATGGGCTTTACCGCAGCCAAGCAAAGATGCAAGACCATAATATTCAAGCAGTAAATTTGGTTTCTCATTTCCATTATTAATAAGCTTATTACCAACAACATAGCGCATCAAAATTTGCATGAACTAGCTTTACCAAAATCAGTATGCCTCCTATTCAAATTAAAATTGCACAGGTTACAGAACTGCCCTTCCAGTAAATTACAGCTACCAAAGATGTGGTTCATGCCGTGTAAATAAAAGCCATAAAGCAAAAATAAAACCAAACTGGGCAGCTTTCAGGCCTTCATATCTTGACATGTAGACTTTTCTGAGCCGCCCGAATGTCGCCAAATAATTGTACTCGAGTAGTAGTAACTTTCTAACACCTTTACTCAACTTTTTGGGGACCCAAAAAACATGGCCAAAAATCGACCAAAAAGCATGAGGTACCCCTCATGGTTTTCATCGAAAATCAAATGATCGCACTTTTCACCTTGATAACGAAGACTTTTACTATAGTATATCCTAAATCAAAATGTTTCTATCGATCCAACGTAACTCTTGGAATCATCTTTGTGGGACTTTGATATGTAAAATTTCGACTTTTTAGCCAGAAACCTCTTTTCATATTTTTGTAAATTACTCAATAAGTTCAGTCAAAACATCCATTACAATTAGCACCATTGGAAGCGCCTTAAAAAGTACTCCAAGGATGTATTAGGAAGCATCGAATGATCATTACAGTTTATATAGTCGAATCTCTCAAAATAAATTAAAGAAGTCGTAAAAAGGACAAAATCTGGCCAATCTTGAGTAGAAAAAATAGGCTGAATTTGAATAATTTTTGGCACTGCTAGCTGATCAAGACGCCTTTTTGATGATAGCAATTGTCATTGGATCGAAAGCTTTGCCTACATGATTGGATGCATATGAATGTTATCAGACTATCCTTAACAAGAAACTCGCACACATGGAAGTTGAAATTATTTTTTTTTGAAATATTTTAATATTTAATTTTTTGATGGCAAAGACCAAAAAGCTAAAGTAAAGCTATGTACAGAATGCTGAACTTGCAATAAGAGAATTGATTGTCACCGAGTTAAACGAAATAAATGGAAACTTGGGGAATCGTATTTGATAAAGAAAAATAAGGAGTCGAGAAATAGGATGCGTAAAATAGAAAATTGCTTGGATTCTTTTTTAGTCGATAAAAAGAGGGATATTATATTTTGAAGTGAGAAGCATGATAAATTGCATTTATCCACCGAAACCGTAGAGAGTACGACCTTGTCTCTTGAGAGCATAGACGACATCCAAAGAGGTAACAGTCTTTCTCTTAGCGTGTTCAGTGTAAGTAACAGCATCACGAATGACGTTCTCAAGGAAGACCTTCAAGACACCACGGGTTTCTTCATAGATGAGACCAGAGATACGCTTAACACCACCACGACGAGCGAGACGACGAATAGCAGGCTTGGTAATACCTTGAATGTTATCACGCAGAATCTTTCTGTGACGCTTGGCACCACCCTTTCCGAGACCTTTACCACCTTTTCCGCGACCAGTCATTTTATATGTATTTAAAAATTAGGATTTTTAGTGGAAAAAGAAAAGAATATTATGAAAATGGAAGTGGCCCTTTTTATACGTTTGTATAGCAGGGAGTCACAAGATAATTTTCTTTTTTAATTTGGATCATCAAATACTTTTTTTTTTTCGCAAAAATCGTTTGCAATCATCAATTAAATAACCGAATATCGTCGCGCGTCTACTTTTTTTTTCTTTAGAAAAAATTTATAAACAATTTTTTTTTACAAAAGAAAAAGAAGTTGCAATGTTCATTAGCAAGTGAATGCAAACACCTGAAAAAAAAATTATCAAAAAAAAATCTGCGTGGATTTGACGCAAGATGTTCATTTATCATTGAAATTAGTATCTTGTTCCTCTCTTGATCTTGCCTAAAGACGCAAATCTTATAATGAGAAGCCTCGTGGTTTGGCAAACGAAAAAAAAATTCATGTACATTTTTTTGTATGCTTGAAATCACCGCCAACCATGAAAAAAAAAGTAGTTTTTCATGTCCATTTTTGGATTTTTAAATTCAAATGCCAGAATCGAAAAAACTCCTTATAAAAAGAGGCCAAAATCTTTGCCCTTTTTGAGTTTCTTTTTTCACTTTTGTTTTCAAAATTCAATTTATATATATTAAATATGGCTCGTACTAAGCAAACAGCTCGTAAGTCTACTGGTGGTAAGGCTCCCCGTAAGCAATTGGCTACTAAGGCCGCCCGTAAGTCTGCTCCCTCCACTGGTGGTGTCAAGAAGCCTCACAGATACAGACCCGGTACTGTCGCTCTTCGTGAGATTCGTCGTTATCAAAAGTCTACTGAGCTCTTGATCCGTAAGCTCCCTTTCCAACGTCTCGTTCGTGAAATTGCTCAAGATTTCAAGACTGATTTGCGTTTCCAATCTTCCGCTATCGGTGCTCTTCAAGAAGCCTCCGAAGCTTACTTGGTTTCTCTCTTTGAAGATACCAACTTGGCTGCTATCCACGCCAAGCGTGTCACTATCCAACCTAAGGATATCCAATTGGCTCGTCGTCTTCGTGGTGAACGTTCTTAAATCATCAACAAAATTTGTTTAAATCTTTTAAGAATACCCTTTATCCTCTTTAAACTCGCCATCTCAACGCTTTAAATATCATATCACCTTCAATCAATGCTAGCTTTTTTTTTACAATTTGCAAAAAGGAATCCAAGATGATTTTCCCCTGTACAGTTTTTTTCTATTCTATTTTTTAAATAAAAACATGATGAAACATAAACTGATAATTTTTCGAATGATGTACTGTAACAGTGCGATATGAGGATGGACAAACCATGAAGGAGTATCACGCTAATAAATTATTATATAGCTATTGCGAGCTAACAAAAGATGTGATCTTTTCTTGAAAAAAAAAAAAATGATAGAAAGAAGCGCGATAGGGTCGCGATGCGTGTGTATTTGTTTTTCTCTGCACACAAACAGAAAAAAGTGCAAAAGACGTAACATTTGAGGCACCACTTTAGGTAACATCAGATGTAATTTGTATTACCGGCTAAGTGATCTTCCATTTATATGTCAAACCTTATTTCCTTAGTGATTGAATAGCCAGGCTTCTACGATTCGCGACTTGGTGTATAGGATACTTCTTATTATGAAAGGTCGTTAAAAACAAAGACTCGAACATTATAGTTACACAATTCTTGATTCAAGTGCCTTTATTCGATTTATTCTATCCATTGATAGTACAAAGTTTAGTCACTCATAAGCCCACGTACATATCGCCTGCCAAAATCTCTTACTACAGGAGTATGTTCTGCTCTCAAGTTGTTACTGTTCATAGCGAGAATCTTCAAAGTTAAGCTATATTCCTGATCTCAGGGGCTGTCAAAAAAAAGATACACTCCTTATTCTGTGTTAAAACCCAGCATTTTCCGAAAGCCCATTTTTTATATGATAGGCCAACTTCAAAACTTTGTAACTATGTCAATTCGCAAGCTACACATCCTTGGAAAGCATAATTAAAATACCTTGCCTCTTGGCTTTTTAATAATAGTACATTTGTCTTTATAATATGTCGAGACAACGCTTGCTCCGATTTTGAAAGATAAGTTTCCAGAAAAACGCGAAAAAAAAGTTGTGAACTCATCTACTCGTTGAAAAATGCACAAAATATACATAAGCCTAACGTATATGGTATTAAAAAACTTCTTAAAGTCTGGTGTATCTTTTGGTGCCAGTTTAAACACACAAAAAAGCTGTTAAATACGTTTTCCTTTTTCTGATTTTTAGCCTTATTAGCGCTGTTTAAATATAAGTAAACTCACTGCTTGCTTTGCTACTAGAGCAATTAGAGCATCTTTGAAGCACAACAAATCTTTAATTTACTGTACACATCAATTTCGTAGTGATATCACCAATTTCTTTCGTTATTTTTTTTTTATTAGAAGACGTGTACGGAAATCAGATGTCAACACATCGCATCAAATCAGGTAGTTTTACGGGTTCAACTAGTCAGTCAAGTCAGTTTTTTGCTTAAAAGATTAATTTTTTAGTATTTATTTACAAAAAGCCAAAAGAAAAAAAGGACACGAATCAATTCTACATGTGAAGGATAATAAATGATTTTTCGATAGAAGGCACTGAAGGTTTGGGGGATATCAAATAAGAAGAAAAAATGCTAGAATATTATAATGATGACAGTTATTTATAAATCTTGCTTTTGTTTCTCCCACTTTAGAGTTCTTGAGAAGCACCAGCCTTCTTGGTCTTGGTAGGCAACAAAGAAGCGTGGATGTTGGGAAGAACACCACCTTGGGCAATGGTGACATGACCGAGGAGCTTGTTCAATTCTTCATCATTACGGATGGCCAATTGCAAGTGACGAGGGATAATACGAGACTTCTTGTTATCACGAGCAGCGTTACCAGCCAATTCGAGGATTTCAGCAGCAAGATATTCGAGAACGGCAGCGAGGTAAACGGGAGCACCAGCACCAACACGTTGAGCATAGTTTCCACGACGCAAGAGACGATGAATACGACCAACGGGGAATTGGAGACCAGCCTTAGCTGAACGAGTTTGAGACTTTGAGCCAGAAGCAGACTTTCCACCAGATTTACCACCAGACATTTTTATATAATTTGTTTCCTGTAAAAGATTTGTTGAGGAAAAAAAAGAAAAAGAAGATTTGGAAAAGTTCAATGCGAGCTTATATATACTCCTGGTTAACCTAAAAGTCCGAATCAGTTTTTTTTTTTCTTGAAGTTTTTCTGATTTTCCTTTGTACATCCTGAAAAGATTTGACAAATGTCAGATGCTATTTCCATGGTGTAAAAAAAAAAAAAGGCTCAAAAAATTCGCATTTTTTTTTCTTATCAATTAGAAGGAATAACATACAAATCGAGCATATTTCGCGTTTTTTTCGCGATTTCACGATGTTTTCATTGTGTTTTACTACATTTCATATTTTTGTAGGCACAAACAATTTTTTATGACAATTACTATTTATGGTAAGTCCAGTCACAAAATTTACAATTATATATAAATCGGGAAATCTCACGAGTTTTCAATACTTTTCTTTTCTTTATACACACATTCACTCATATAATTAAAATGGCTGCTGATCTCCCTACCAAAGACAACAAGAAGACTGCCCCCAAGGACAGCAAGAAGAGAAAGATCACTCGTCGTGAAACCTACTCCTCTTACATTTACAAGGTCTTGAAGCAAGTTCATCCCGACACCGGTATCTCCAACAAGGCCATGTCCATCTTGAACTCTTTCGTCAACGACATCTTTGAGCGTATTGCTTCTGAAGCTTCCAAGTTGGCTGCCTACAACAAGCGTTCTACCATTTCTTCTCGTGAAATCCAAACTGCTGTTCGTCTCATCCTCCCTGGTGAACTCGCCAAGCACGCCGTCTCTGAAGGTACCAAGGCTGTCACCAAGTACACTAGCTCCAAATAAATCATCATCTGTGTAATATCTCACTCGCAACAACTCACAAGAACCAAAAAATGAATGATGAATATGGATTCTCATTTATTTTCCATTACCCTTACCTATCTGTACAGAATTCTTTTTTTTCAAATCATGCCATAACAAATTTATAATATCATTGTAAAAAAAAAAGAATTAAAATAAAATAAATTTGCTTCTTTGCTTTTCTTTAAACTGAACGTTCATATCCACGTTTTTAAATATTTGCCCTATTAACGATTATTGAATCAACTGGCGTTGATACGCGTTTCAATCAACGATGGCGTAACGATAACACAGATGAGAGGCCATCTGAATTGGCAGCCTGTCAGATTATAATATTTTCTAGATAAGATTAGCATTGGGCGATGATAAATGCTCCCATGATGGGCAAGGACAATTAAGTGAATAGCTTATTGAACATGTGCTTCATTTCTTTTAGCCCAATTCTTACCACAACATCATGACTACTGCAGAATGTTCCCGATAATTTAAGCGTATAATTAGTGGCCAGTTTGGCATGCCTGAACAATCTTGTCAGACTGTGATACTCATAATGTGCTTTTGTATCATTGCATCGATCTGATCTAGTCATTGATCTTATCAGCTCAACTCAACTCACTAATCTGATAACTGTTTACTAAAGGGTCGCCTTTATTTCAACTTTGGAACAGCAAATATGTCTGATTTCATATCATCACTAGCACCAAAATCACCCATATCTGCATAGAACGCACTCAGGTCATCCTCTAAACTTTCTTTGACCTGTTGAGCCTTCTTCAACTCTTCTTCCTTAATTCTTTTCTGCTCCTCCTCTTTGCGTTTTCTCTCCTCCACAATGGCAAATGAATACTGTGAGGCATAAGCTGATTTGTCCCAATACGCCCAGAGACCATCCATCGTATCTGCGGGAATAAACCACTCTGATTGACCATAAACCGGTATAAAACTCTCTTGGTTTGCAAAAGATGCGGTTGCTCTACGTCCATCGATTGTCAAGAGCTCTCTGCAATAATCCAATGCTAATCTAGCAGACTATTGAAAAACTTGTATGAATTCCAGGGCATGTATATATACATTTAGCAGTTACCTCGATGTCTAAAAATTCCACAAATGCAAACTCGCATGACATCTTTGTCAGTTTGTCTCTGATCAGAATTGCTCTATATACACCTTGAAGAGAGTGAACAGCGTTGTATATCGATTCTTCAGTAGATAGATGGTCCAACTGACGTAGAAGCAGCATTTTACTAGGGGATGAAGATATATCCTTTGTGCCATCATTGATTTCAATGGCCTCTGTCTCGTATGTTCTCTTTTCTGCAGCTGAGGCTAATAAAAGAATTTAAGCATATATTGCAACGGCAAAGAATACAGAGCAACTTACCTGAAGAGGACTGTCGACATTCAAGGCAATTGCGTCGACTACAGGGATTGAAATTTCCACACTGCTTACAGATGAGTGAATGATAAAGCATTTACATGTCTATATACTACCTTGGTGCAACGCCATTCCTCCTTGTCATCAGCAACGTTTGTCTTTTTGCAGTAATCAACGCGAACAATGTAGGAATCCATATCGAAAGTGCGGTGTTTCTCCACAAATTGAATAGCATGGCCAACGCTTGTAAACCGAATGAAAGCAAACTTTCTTGATTCACCAGAATCACGATCTTTGATGAGAGAAACATCATCGATGCTGGCTTCCATCGAATTCAATTTTCGCTCAATCTACTTGGTTCAAGTATTGATTAGATTTTGCTGCTATTTGTATGGCTACATGCTAGTTCTAACGATATACATCGACTTCTCTTGCTCTGTCTGGCAAATTTCTCAAAACGACATTGATGTTGGGTTCCAGCTTTGATTCTTGTCGAAAATCCTCGTTGTGATGATGACGGTCTCTTCTGTTGCGGCCGTCTTCATAATCATGGCCGCGATTGCTGCTGTGATGTTTGCTGTTGCTATCATGATGTCTACTACGGTTATCGTGGTAGCTGCCACTTTGTCTACCATCGTGTCTGTATTTATCTCTGCTCTAACAATGCAAAATGATTAGATTTTGCCACAAGGTTTTTTTGTAAACGTGTACTTGGTCGTTGTATTCTTGTCTGGAGCGAGCTGGGCTGCGAGATCTTCTTCTGGAGGATGAATCTCTCGAGGAGGATGACGAGGAATAAGTTCGTCTTGAACTGGACATAATGTTAACGCTGATATAAAGGAGAAAAAGAGAGGAGAAGGAAAACAACAGCTGAAAATTCCGTAAATACCAGGATTTGGGGAACCTACCCAATACAAATGTAAGCACAAATCCAGCCCCCCTAATACAATTAGTATTAAATCATATATTTTTTTTTTGTTTCTTCTTTCTTTTCTTTCTCTTTCCTTTGTTGATCGTTTCTATCGGTTACTCATTTATGAAAGCCCATATTCTAGAACTCATTGAACCCTCGCTATTAAGGCTCGAAACCTGGGTCAAGGCCATTGCTGCTGATGTCCCTGTCGAAACAGACTGGGCTCAATCCTCCTTCGGCTCATGGTAAACAACAATAAATACACTATTTACTTGGAATCATATGCAAACAATCATATATTAGGTACAACGAACCTCGTCAGCATGGTTTAGAATTGCTGTTCTTGGCTAGTTTCTGGGGACTCGCTACATACATGATGTTCTGTCGCTTGCTCAGGCCCGGAACCAACAACTATAAGCTTTTGACTGAATTCCAGGTGCCCTGCAGAGCTTCATTGACTGAAAGGGGCATGACTCTTTCGTTAATTTGCTCTCTTTTGTTGACCTTGACTCATAAGATCATTCGCAATAGAGTTTGGTTTATGATGCAGCCATGTCATATGAGTGGTGTGTTACTTTTGTTCACACTAGTCTATCCAAATAAGAGATCGCCTATCCCACACATTTTCTTCAATATTTATTTGCATCTCCAATGGGGTGCTTTGGCTGCGCTTGCCTTTCCTGATTTGAGAGAGCATACGATGATTGGTGAGACATTCAATTTTTTTGCTGGTAAGTTCTTGATGGAAGGAATTTGACACATGGGCTAATGTCAAGGCAGAGCATATTTTGTTGTTGGTGGTACCTGTCTATATGATTTATAGCAGACGCTATGTAGTCTTGCCTAAATCAAGGGAAATTTTGTTCCTGTCCTTCTTCTCATACAGCTTCTTCCACACTCCCCTCCTCCACTTGATCTCTCTTGTCTCAGGCTACAATTTGAACTACATGTGGGCCCCTCCTCCAAGTAAGTGGTGCATGATTCCTTTATCTCAATTAGACATTAACTCAACTATTACTGTAGTCAAATTTTTATTAGATCTCGGACCTTTATACAGAATCGTCATGTTTGGTGCTGCATTCGTTTTCAAATTTGTCACTCGTTTCATTTTTGTAGAAACTGCTCTTACTCTCATGCCTCGTAAGAAGCTCTCTTCTAATGAAAAGACTACTACAATCAATCCCAATTTACTGAAAAAATCCAAGAAAATCTAATTATATTATTGTCATTGTTTGGAATAAAAGAGAAATATACATACCCCATTCTACAATGATTTTTTAAACCAAGATAATGTTCACATTTGAAACAAACTGTCCAGCCTTAATCAGATTACTGTGCACTTGATTTCTGCATATAAAATGTGTAACAACATCTCAATTAAGTGTAGAACTCATGGCACACAAGATAACGTCTCTCGATATGGATCGCTTTTTAATATTAAACTATTAATAGATTCTGATTGTGCTTGAGTTTCTTTAGTCTGGTTCATTTTTGACATGATTCCAATAATTTAGGGCAATCTGACTGACTCGAATTTCGCCCAATGGCTCTGCATTGACAGAATCAAGCAACTAAAATTAGAGTAGTTACGATGCGTTTTTCCTGATTAAGTTTCATGTTGTTTATGAGTGAAATACAGGCATTTAAATCGAAACTTGTGATCTATGCAGTGAAATCAGGTTTGATGGATTTCACAAAAAAAAAATAAAGCAATAGTAAAATACAATAGAAATCAACTGTATTTTATTTGTGTATAAAATGAACTAAAGATCCTGGAATTGAGTAAAAAAAAAAAAAAAAAAAAGAACAGTGTTTATACATTTGCAACTAGCTTGTAGGAGTACTGATGATAGAGAGCAATGGGTGCTGCTATTGCAATATCTGGCAAATGCTGCTAATGTTTGATTTAAAGTGGTAATCAATGCAAGTGCACTGGCCATAAGGGTTGATTTGAGTAACCTTGGTGGGCTTGGGTGAGCTATCGTCATAGCATGATTTAATGTAACCTTGACAGTTTAAGGTGTGATGTTTGTTATGAAGTGTAGAACCCTTTATCTGGGGTATTGTGCAACTATGGCATCAGGGCACAGTTGTCATATTTGAATATGCTTGTTATTGATTTGATTTTTTTATTTGGATAGAATTAACACCCCTTATTACGACCATCATAAGTGTGATTGAATACACTGTCATCAAGAGCGTTTCATTCACACGATGTGCGAGATAAGAGTGCATCTTTACTTAAGTATGTTTAAGTAGTTGTTGACGTACTTTTGAACACTTATTAATAGATTCAAATAGCATGAATTTGAATGAGTGATATTTGATGAATTCCGGTTTTCAATCAAGTTGCGTTTGGGTGGCTATTTCATTACAATGTAAAAAGCTCATTTATGTCCCCCTGGATGTTGAAAGAGGGTGTTTATTGTACAATTGCAGATATCAAACAGAAAGGAAAGATATCTATATAGCTTTGGTGTATTGTTCCAGTTTTACAGCAAGCTATACAAGTAAATATGAAAATTTTATAAGTGTTTATGGTTTGAATGGCTCTCTAACTTCTCTTCGCTTCAGTGAGACCCAACCTGCGCGGCGGCAGCTCGCGCTACCGATTGCCCTTGCGTATCTTATCAAAGTACGACTACTTTTATTTCGACCCTCCACTTGCACATAAAAACCCTTCATATTATCTGTGAATCTGATTCTTATGTGATGCTCTACATCCATATAAACGTAGCTACTTCAAATATGGGCAAGTATCATACAGACATTATGTTTTTTTAGTCAAGAGTGTGCCTAATACAGCAAAATCTGAATGCTTTTGAGTTGCATTTTCTCACGTTCAAAGCCGTTTTAGATGGTCAGAATAGCACCAAACAATTGCTCTCATCTGGCAGTTACTTTCTAACACCTTTGCTCAACTTTTTGGGGACCAAAAAAAAACATGGCCAAAAATCGACCAAAAAGCATGAGGTACCCCTCATGGTTTTCATCGAAAATCAAATGATCGCACTTTTCACCTTGATAACGAAGACTTTTACTATGGTATATCTTGAATCAAAACGTTTCTATCGATCCAAAGCAACCTCTGAAATCATCTTTGTGGGACTTTGATATGTAAAATTTCGGTATTTTGCCAGAAACCTCTTTTCATATTTTCATAAATCATTCGATAATATTATTCAAAACATCTATATTACTTAGTACCATTGGATGCGCCTTGAAAAATACCCCAAGAAAGCTTAAGAAAATACAGGATGATCATTATATTCTACTTAGTTGAATCTGCAAAAATAGCTCAATCAAGTCCAAAATTATCAAGATTTGTCCAATCTAGAACAGACTATGATTCTGGGCTTGAATTAATTTTGGCTTGTGGGGCCAGCTGGCAAACTCAATGCCCTTTTCATACTGCAATACAGTAGTAAATGCTCTTGAAGCGTATAAAAAGTAGGTGGCAGGCCATAAAGCTATCGTTTATAATGATATTTTATTGCATTCTATATTTAATAATGCCAGTCTATCAAAATACTTGTTAGATCAATTTCTTTCTTTTTTGAGGCTTTGAAAGTGTCCAGGGACCATAAATTTATCATGTTACGATAAGCATTTCGACTCTTCTTCGGTTGGTTTCCCGACCTACGCTTCGCTTTGGTGGAAATCAACCTACGTTCAGATGGCTCGCGCTACCGGCGGGCCTTTGGCTAATATTGCAAGATTAATAATAGCTAAAATGTTAGAAGAAACTTGATAGTAATTTAGTATAGAATCTCTAATCATATATGTACCATGCCTAACAAATGTCTGGCAACTCAGTTTCCATATTAGGGTTGTAAAAGTGTCTAGGGACTAAACATTTATTATGTTATGAGATGACAAGTGATTTAATTGTGTATGAGTGTATATATACGTGGAAAAGAGTGATAGGAGGAAAGGGGGATCTATTTGAAAAAATAATTTTTCTTTTGTCTATGTTATTAGGTAGATGTAGATATACTTTTGTTAAATCCTTGATGTGCAGCTAGTTTGTTTATCATGCCAACCCAAACAGTCGTTGAGCTCGGTGTTGAGGGCAGTTTTTGGTATTCTTCGTAGACACGTTGAGCACCGTCTATATCATTGCATTCCAACATGGCCTTCATCACAGCGTAATAAGATCGGACAAATAATACCTTGTCTGGTTGACGGGTATGCCATACATATTGAATGGTGCGCAGATCAGAGACACCATAAGCGCCCCATATCATGAGATCAAATGTATGGGCATCTGGAGATACCTTTGGATCTTGCAACATTTCTTCAAACACCAATTTAGCTATAGGATACCAGGCCTTGGTGGACGCTATGCTTGCCATGAGAGAATTGTAGTGTAATGTTGTAAGCAGGGTCTTTTCTTCCTTTAGCGTATTCCATAATTTCCAAGCAGCATCAGGATTCTTCATACGATGGTGAGCTGTAAGTAGGGTAGCGATTGCCTTGGCATCAAGCCAGTGGTTTACTTTGAGTGTATTGTAGATTTTATCAATCTTTTGTGTGTACACAAGTTGAGCCTTCTTGGACCCTTGGATAGCATATGCTTTTGCGAGTAACGTCAACGAAGCAGCGTCCATGGGGATGCCCGCCTTTTCAATGCCTTCCAACAAGTCAATTGCGCGAGCTTCGTTTCCTCGTGGTGACTCCAAAAAGACAGATGCCAGTATTGTGTAAATCACTAAATCCGCATTTACGTTGTTTGCCAGCATATCTCGAAACAGTTCGTAAGCTCTGTCAAATTCTGCTGATTCTGCAAACCCCTTGATCAACGGCGCGTAATGAAGGGCCGTTGGACGCAGTTGATAATTTGTCATGTGCTGTAACAAGTCGGATGCCTTGTCCACCTTACCCAACGACACGTATCCATGAATGAGATGAGAAAAGACGAAATGATTGGGCTTTATGCCCGAGTCCACCATGGTTTTGTAAATTGATTCAGCCTTGACCATGTTACCCACATAAGCAGCGTTTCGAATACTGAGCGCAAAGGTATATATGTCTGGTGTCAAATGTGAAGTATCCAGAGATTCAATGATATTCTCAAGGTTCATACTACTGACATGATTGCTGTGTTTCGGTTTATAGAACTTGCCTGTAGATTGCAAGATGGTATTGTAGGTACGCGTACTGATCTCGGGTGTCGCATATATGTTCTCCAAAACGTCTGTGAATCGCTCGAAATTAGATTCCATATTGTCCCTCTCCGCATATTGAAATCGAGCAATGGAGATTCTGGACGACACGCTATCCAATGTGCTGCTTCCATCCGCTATCATTCTTTGTAGGTGTGGTGTGATTAGATAGGCTTCTTTGGGATATTTGAGAGTGTAATTCAGCAATGTGTTGTATATGTAATTGTTGGTAGGAATGCCTTTTCGTTGCATCGCATCCACGTATTTGAGTGCTTCTGTCGCATTGCCTTGATCAGCATAATACCATATGAAATTGCCGTATGTTACTGTATCAGGGTCCAATTTGAGGTTGACCATGGTATCGTACATTTGAAAAGCCAGCTCTGTATTGTTGTTCCCCAGGTGGTATTTGATCAGCATATTAAATGTGTATGTATCTGGCTTCACCTTGAGCTTTGGCTTAGCAGCAGCATCAGCAGCCTCAGATGCTTTACTTGCACAAGCACAGTTTCCACCACATCCCTTCTTCTCGGGCAAAGCCAGCATCTCAATCACCTTTTCGATATGATCAATGTCGCCAGCAGCCGTGTAGCATTTGAGCAACGTATTGACGATTTCTGTATCTGGTTTATGGCCTAACCGGCGCATGACTTTGTACAAACTCGACACCGATTGCGCTGTTTCTTGCATGTCATTGATTTCGTTTAAACGAGCATGCTTGACCACTTGACTCGCTAAACCATCCATGATGTTGTTGAACGTCCTTCTGTTTGGAACAATTCCCGAGGCAATCAGCCTTTCCATCCACTGCTGAGTGATCTCTTTGTCCTTGTTGTTTCTACAGTCTTTCAGATAACCATTCAACAGAATATTGTATGTCGTGCGATCGGGCGGCGTTGTCATTTTAGAGTAAATAGCCTCTGCTCCTTGCAAATCGTGCGACTTGATCTTGGCTGCCAGTAGTATGTTGTAAGACGAAGTGTCTGGCTGTAGACCTTTGCGAATCATTTCTTGTTCCAGTGTCTTCATCTTGGAAAAGTATCGTTTTTTGGTTGTATCATCGACGTATTTGAATCGACGGACATAGACAGCCATCATTTGATTGTAAACCTCCAAGTTGGGTGTGTAGCCAGCTGATGTATAATGCGATATGTTGCGAAACAGGGATTCAGCACGCTTGACTTGATCTAATTTGCCAAATAACTCGAGCACCATGCTGATTTCATGCTTATCCCAGGCTATATCTTTGCTTTTACGCACAACACCTGTCAATGTCTCCAGTCGGTTCAAATATAACTGCTGTAGCTTTGAAAAATCGAGAGTGAGACGAGGTAAGTTGGTGTTTACTTGCGTGTGAAGTGATTTCAACAGTAACTGAGCTGTCAAACGAGGTATATGTTGTTGCGTTAAATAAGAGGTTGATTTATCTACAAGTTTCCAGGCACTTTCGACATCGCCGTTGGCTAGATAGCTTTGGATAGTCATGGTTGTGGGCGAAGGTATTTGTTTGTCGATTTTGGAGCTGACATGAACAGGGATGCGTCTCCTTGCTGATGACTTTATCTGTCGCAAATGTTCAAGCGAGTCTACTTCTGGTAATACATTGGGAACTGTGACATATCAGATGAGTGACATGTTGTGTTTTAAGAGTGTGATCTGCTTGCCAAGTTACCTTTCTTTGGCCTTGTCACGACTGTAGATGCCAACCTTGTTTGACAGGTGTGGGCTAGTAGAAGAGAGCGCCACTGTTGAATGATGCGCTGATTGACATTTTGTCTAATTTCTGAGTGCAGGTTCTTACACCGCATATGAACCATTGCTCTAAATTGATCCTCTTGTTATACAACGCAAAAAAAGGGGGAGAGAAGGAGCAGACAACGTAGCTTATAAGATTATACAAATGCCCAGAAAAAAATTATAGGAAAAAAAAAAAAAAAAAAAAAAAGTGGAGTAACAAAAAACGAATTGGCAAGGCTATCCTACTTAACCCCCCCTTAAAACCCAATGAGATTGGCACCCCCCAGCCTACTTTTTTTCTCTGATTTAGAGGGGTCAAAGATCTCTTATTCAAATTGCCAATTTTGAGTCCCTCTTTCCATAGTATAAGACGTCACCGTAATTTGCAATGAAAACTACGGCGACATACACATCTACCTCGTTTGACACAATCAATATACATTTCTAGCAGGGATAAACAGAACAAACTCGAGCGGGACATCCACTGCCACGCTGGCCACTATAAAATAATGCCATCAAATGTATGTAAAGTCCTGGAATCAGAAAAAGTTTATTGAGGATACGGTTGTACATGCGCTGGTTATTCAGGGCCAAGCTGTAAATTGTTGAATTGCTGTCGAAATTGTATCGAACCCACTCTTTGATGGCCTCCTCTTTGCGCATTACGATCAGTATCGAATGCGTTGTTGTTCTGTAAATTTGCTTTGGGATCGATTATCATCTCACCTCTCTTTGCGCATTCAATCATATGCTCCAACTCTCTAATTCTCTCTTGGTACCTATTCACATCTTCACGGAGCTCCTTAATATGATCGACAGAGAGTTTCAGAATAGTTCCCTTGTTGACGGCCCTTCCATTAGCGCCCACTTGGCCGCTGGACACTGACATTACATTTGAGCTTGTAGGGGCCGAATCAAGCAATTTCTCTGGTAAAAGAGTGCATAGCTCTATAGAGTTGCGTATTAGTCCATCATGTACATGTATGTTTGTGCATGCGCCACATTAGCACGTTACCATGGATACGCTCATTGATGTTGTCCCTTCTTCGTCTCTCTACGGCATTATGAGATTCTCTTCGTCGGCGACGTTTCTCAAACATATCTTGCAGGCTTTATGTTGTTTACAATGTGAATATCAGATGCAGCCATGTATGCGGCTAGAAAGCAACTTACTTTCTTTGCTGACTCTCATCATCATCGCCATTTGTATTTGTATTGCTCGCATTGCCCATCAAATCCAAATGTCCACTGGATGTGGATGGAGATACAATCAAGTCTCTACCGCTAAATATGGGAGATTGACCGAACGACGAGCCATTTGAGTCCAGGCTTGTACCAAACCAGTTTTGAGAGTTGTTCTCGCTGAATGCCATGCCGCCTGCACGGTTTGGAGGCGACATGGTGATGGCAGAAGCGACTGTACCAAAAGAGTTTTGACGTTGATGAAGCTGCTGTTGATAGGAAGGATTGAATAACCGATTGTTTCGTACGACAGGTACGGCTCCGACTGTAGTATGTGTATCGACAGAATGCTGGAAATGCTCAGCATCAATCTTGTAGTCTTGCTGTTGTGGAGGAGAATACATTTGTTTTGTGTGGGAAAAATTGAAAAGAGAGTAAAAGAGAAAGAGGCAAGAGGTATGAAAATGATAGAGCTTTTATATGATAAAATGTTTGTATATAAAAAATAGGAGAAAAGAGAAGGGAAAGAGAGGGGGCGAACTCTGGGTTGGGGCTATTTTGTCCGTACAGAGCTTGTAACACAACAAATACACACACACACACACACACACTTGCAACTGTTACTGAAAAGCGCATAAATATGCATTTTATTTACCAATATTCTTGATTTGGATATCTCACAACTGTAACTCTTTTGGCCATCTTCTCCTCCTGCCATTTATCAAAGTAGGCGGACATGGCTTGGACTTGGCTCAGGTTGACGGTGGGTATAATATGATAGATATTCATGCTGGCTATGAAGGAGGCTAGTTCTCTGAAGCTCGAGTGTTCAGAGTATGGTACGCCATATAGCTTGATATCATTTCGGTTATAGTAAGGCTCAATTTGAACCGTTCTATCAGCAGGTGGTATGATGATTTCGGATAGTGGAGCTAATTTCATATCTGATGTCTGCGAAGAGGTTGATTTGAACGTCCATCCTGTAGGCTTGAAACCAATGAGTGATGTGAAATGTGCTTGGTGCTCTTTGAGATAGTTTGACATGATCTAAAACAAACATATTAAGAACCCATGGCCTATTTGGATGTGTTGGTATAACCTACATCAGCACGAATATCTCTGAGTGGTACAACATGCACCTGTGCTTCACTCGGATTATTGGTGAGCATGCTCTTGAGTTCGTCATCTTCTTGACACAACAGAATACGCTTTTTCTTGTAAGGAGCATAAATCTTGCATTTGAGCATGCGGGCAATGCCTATAAAAAGAATTAACATCCAATCGCGAATGAAGCCACTAACAATACTGACTGATAAAGACTCGCTCTTTGCCGATGGTGTAGGTGCCAACTACAATCAGGACTCGGGATGCTGTCGCCTTGTTTTGATTCATCATTAATTTAAAGGCATCCTTGGTGGTCATGGGATCATTTGGTTGTTCTTCCTTCAATACAGGTCTTTTTATAGAAATCCAAGATTCCAAAAGAGAGGGCGTTTTGATCTTGGGTGCCAATTCCTTCTTCACTACATTACATACAGCCTGGATACATTCCTCTTGCGCTGGAAAGGCATATTGCGGGCTCAAGTAAGTGGTATCCAGATAGAGACAAGAAATAGGGGGGTTTTCGGGCTGCTTGATGAGAGGATGTAAACACATTCGAGGCGCAGCTCTGAAGTCGCCTGTATGCAAGTGTCGCTTCTTGTCAACCACAAACAAGAACAGGACGGATCCCGGGCAGTGGTTAGCATCAATCAAGGCCACTTGGACATTAGACTCTGCAATTGGATACAGTTGATTCATAGGTAGTGGATGAACATAACGTGAATCGACACGCAACTCCTGTTTCACAAGGTTGGCTGTCACTTGAGAACAATAAATAGGGCCATGAGACCAACTTGCTCTTAAACCACCATAATGATCCGCATGGTAATGTGTTAGGAAATAGCCATCACAATCAGGGATTTTACCGTAATTGAAAGCATCCACAGTAAATCGAGTATCTATACATTTTCATCAGTCATGAGGACATGGCTACAGATCAAGTGAATGGCCCGATACTCACCACGAACCCGTTTGTAGAATGGGCATGGCTTTTGCTTCTTCTTTTGAGGCAAGAGCGCTGTTGCTGCAGGCAGACTGGCATTAATATCTTTTGCTCCAAGGATCCTTGTTGTGACAGATGTGGTCAGACTGGTGGATGAGAACATGCTTCGCCAGGAGGAGGGTTGCACACTGATTGTCTTTGTACTCTCTGTATCACACTTGGCAACATATTTCTTACTTTCATCGTCATCATCAAGCAAGGAGCTCTCAATAGAACGGCTGCCGTTACTGCTGTCGATGGAGGATGCCACTGTGTCTTGGATCTCTTCCGTTTTCTCTTGACAGTTTTCGACCGCGGCTGCAACTCTGAAACTACCCTTCTTGCGAATGTTATTGTCGTCTGATGAAAAACATGAGCTTTTCTCGCTAAAAGACATGAGCAATGGTGGAATGTTCTCCTTTTCTCTCTCCTGCTCCATATCCAGGCATTGATTCACATGAACCTCCATTGATATGGACTCGGTCAGAATCCACAATTGACACAATGGGCAACGCTCCTTCTTCTCTTCCTGTTGCTTGATAGCTCTCTCCACTTGCAAATCAGATGTGCTTGGCTTGAGTCTCTTGTTGACATTGGCAGGTGTCTTAAAGTACGTTTCGATTGAAAAGTATTTTGATTTGACACTGCCAGTATCGTTTTCTTGTTTTGATTGCTTCGCCATGGTTTAAAAAGAAGGGGAAGAAGCAATCGATTCAAAGCCCAAGTCAACGAAAAACTGATTTTAAGCGTCACATAAGCACAACAAGGTAAGAATAGATTAGCATCCATCAAGGCTCGTTTAGAGGGTGATGAAACGAACAAACAAGTTTGAGGCAATTCGATCTAGACAAGATCATTCTAGATACCATAAACATGTTATATCAGCAGTTGCTCAGCGCGATGGGCCCTTGAAATGGCTGTCAAATCTTGGCATGCAATCCCATCCATCACTCACATCATCATCGCTTATCATGTACTCATAACACATACATGATCCCAAAATCCAAACAACATAGCTCCTTGAATAACCAAATACATTTATTGTCATATCAAAAGAATAAAAAAGCAAATTTTTCATAGTAAAGCAATCTTGAAGGGTGAGCAAGATGTCATACTAGAACAACTCTGATTGAACTTATTGTTGGTAAGAAAAGACGTTTTGCAAATCTACATACAAGTGGTCATGTCAGTGTCAGCAGTGAGAAAGCTGAAGTTTACTACTTACATCCATCTTGTTGAGCGAGACGATTGATAGCATCATCACCCTCAGCTTCCTTACGAACAAAGCCGGAAAGAGCGTAAGTAACAAAAGAGTTAGTTGAGCGACCTTCAGCATCAACATCAGCAATGTTGATCTGAACTGAAGAATGATCCTTGGCAGTGATCAAGCGGTTAGTGGCTGAGCTAACATGTCAAAAAGCAAAATGTTACGATAGACCCACACATGCACATGTCCTGAAAATTTTACCACTTGCGGGGGATGTAAAGATCAATGATTCTACCCTCTGAGTTCTCCATTATATTAGGTTTTTCCAAAAAGTTAAGGTAGGTTAAACCGGGAAGTGGATGTGAAAGAAAGAACTAGCTCATTTCTAGTTTACAATGTTATTTTAAAGGCGCAAGAAAAAATTTCAATACACATTTCATTGGCTCGGCTCAAAACGCTAGTCATCATTTGTAGTGTGGAAAGCTTTCAAATGTCAAAATCAAAAAAAAAAAAAAAAAAAAAAAAAAAAAAAAAACCTCCACTTTTTTTATTGCTCTATACGGATCCAACAATTTCATCTGCTTTTTGTAATGCCTAGTTGAACGATACTTGTCAATAGAAATGTCCACATTCAAACATACAACGTCATTTACCTCAATCATCTTTTTGCATTCCTTTCTTCTTTGTCTAGTAAAGTCGGATTCTTGTAAAAGATCGTCCAAAACATCGTGCTTGTACAGTTCTGTCAATAGCTCACGTTGAAGCTCTTCTTTGGAATGGTTGACCAAATTGAGCATGATGGCCTTAGGGACCATGTCAATCATGGTGCGCTTGACAATGTTGTAGTATGATTGGATCAATAATTCTACCGCATCTGTAAGATACTGCTATACCTCATCCGCTCAACTGGCACACTTACTGATGACTTCGGTCTCCATAAACTCACGGTCAGACAAAGCCCCTGTAGCTTTCAATGTTGTAGGTGGCTAAGGAACAGTGTTAGGTTACCTATAATTGAGCAACGTTTGATTGACTCGACTTACAGCATCCATCATACTTGAGGCCGATGTCTTCTTGGTAGTCTTCTTGTTGCCCGAGAAGAAGCTTCCAAAGAGTGATCCATTGCTATTGGTTTCTTCATTTGCACTGGATGCATTGGTTTGTAAAGCGTTGGCGGGGTTGTGCTGTTTCTTGGGTTCAATCTGTTGCTGTTGATTCTTTTGGTTAATGCGCTCGGTAACTGCAGCAATAGCTTGATGGCCGTTCAAGAAATCAGGATGAGCAGTGTTGATGTAGCATGACTCCATGGACACCAAATCCGTCACCAGTTTAGATGTGGGTTGAAGAGCCTTCTTGAAGAATACCAATACCACTTGATAGAACTTGTCCTTGAGCGTAGGGAATCGCTTAAAGAATTGCTTGGTGAGCAATTGACCTAGAATACGGACTAATTCATCGTAGACCATGTTAATACACTTGATACTGGGCTCCTCAAGACGCCTGATTTGTTGCTTGATGATAACTTCAAATGCCGTGGTTGCAACAAAGAGTGCAGGTGAGGAGCCAGAAGAGTTGTACAAGATGGTGCGAATATCGACGTCTTTGATTTGCTCCAAAGGATCAATGCTCTTGACGCCATTAGCGTATAATTCATGGAACACAAAACTGATACGCGCACCACCAGATAGTTCAAAACTGGATAGATCGTTCGAGTTGCCATCAATGATTGTTCTGAATTCGGTGCAAAACTCGGTAATGATATTCAAGACAAGGTTGGCACGGTTAGCAGAGCTGCCATCTTCATCCAAGGGGTCGCCCAATGTCAATAGTTCTTGTTGATATTTTAAAAGAGCAGCTTGGATCTTGGCCTTAATTTCTGGCAGAGTATTGCGAATATGATGCATCAGGATCATGTTGAGTTTGCGAGCCAAAAAGGGTGTTCCACAGTATTGAGCCTTGGACTTGTAAGCGGCATGATTTTCAAAGTATTCACGTTCAGCATCCAAAGCACGCTTAATGGATTTGTTGTTCTCGATGTCTCTCTGACCACGATTGACTACAGGAACGTAACCCAAACGCAAAGGCACCACACGACCTGCCAGAATATCAATGACGTCTGTACCTTGATCCATCAAATCCACTTTTGTGAGCACACCAATAGTACGCAAGCCTTCAGGATCCACATCACGGGCCAGTTTAAGACCGTCTGAATTGGCTAAATCAGTGTTGGCTGCAGTCACTGCCAGGATGATTGAGTTGGGCTTTGTAATGTATTTCAGAATCATTTCTCGGATTTGTTTTTCAATGTCTTTGGGTTGATCGCCGACAGGTACTTTGGTGAGGCCTGGTAAATCGACCAAGGTCAAGGTCAGCACGTTGGGTGAAAAGATTCTCAGGTTGATGGGTTGAGGTGAGATACCCAAGTTTTTGCCGGTTTTGAGTTCAGTGTCCTTGACGATTTCATCACGAATCTTGTTAAAGTCATGGAATTTTTGGCCAGGTAAATGCAAAAATTCGCCCCATTCGTTCTGATTCTCTCTCCCAGCGTCTTCTTTGGCTGACTCCTCCTTGTTGGTTTTATCTTCTGCAGGGCGGTTGATGAGTTGCAGAATCTATTGCACATGAGATGAGTCAATCATGCTGCATCCACACACACACTCTCTCTCTCTTCCTCCTTCCCCTTTTTACTACACACTTACCAATGGACGACGGGTCACAATACCAGTGCCACGAGGAAGGAAATCGCGGCCAACAATGTTCTCCAGCACAGAACTCTTACCACTTGACTGAGAGCCGATAACAGCAATTTGAGGCAAGTCAACCGGGTTGTGCACGCCTACAGTGGCAAAAGCGTCTTGCAACTTGTTGACTATTACGGCTACTAGTCAGACAATGCACTCACTCGCTCGTCAAGTCGTCTCTAAACATTACCTGTCTTGATCAGTTGTGAATCCATACTCATATTGATTGTCTATTCAGGATAAAAAAATAAAAGATAGAAAGGAGAAAAGAAAAAAAATCCAGGAAATACCAAGAAATATTGCACAAAAAGCATGACGTGCATGGAAGATGAATGAATGGAGAGTTCATGAACGGAACTTTAATCAGGCTCTCATTTGGATGAGATATGGGACATCCATATTAATAATGTTATGCTGGCTGTGTTGATCAGCAAGGTCTTTTACAAGGTTATGGACATAGCGTTACGATCTGGAATGACTGTTTGTGTATTTCGCACTTCATCACATACAACTCCTTATGTCAAATATTTTAATTTATAATCAAGGAAGACGGGATCAGGTGACAGAGAGGCATTAGCCATCACTTGTCATCAAAAAATGTCAGAGAGAAGATGTACAAAGACGTCCATACTATGGATCTAGTTCATTCTGAGCTCCTAGCATCTGCATCACTGGAAGCAACTCGAATACCGGTGTATAACATATGAGCATTGTCACTTACTTTTCAAATATACACAAATCACAGCGAAATTTGGGCGCATTTGGGCAGGGTTTTCTCGTTTTAAAAGCTGCTTTAGACCGCCGGAATAGCACCAAACAATTGCTTTCGTCCAACACTTACTTACCGACACCATTGCTCAACTTTTTGGGGATCAAAAAAAAACATGACCAAAAATCGACCAAAAAGCATGAGGTACCCCTCATGGCTTTCATCGAAAACCAAACGATCGCGTTTTTGACCTCAAAATTGAAGACTTTTATTATGGTATGTGTTAAATCAAAATGTTGCTACGAATCCAGCGTAACCCCTGAAACCACTTTTATGACACCTTTGTATGTAAAATCTCGACTTTTTGGCCAAAAACCTCATTTCGTATTTACCAACATTGCTCTGCAAGCCTATTCAAAGCACCTCTTATAATTAGTGCCATTGTATGCGGCTTGAAAAGTACTTTTATAATGCATTAGGAAGTATGGGGGGATCAGCACGCTTTGTATAGTCAAATCTAACAGAATAGATCAAACGAGTCGGAATCTAATCAAAAGTCAACGAATCGAAACGAATTTGTAGATAGCGGAAATTGAAAATTCAGCTGGCAGAGTCGATTCCGTGATAGTTGTGAAGGTAGATGATGCCTTCAAATGCCCACAAGAAGAGAATTGCGTATTGAAAGTACTATCGCTTAGGCTGGCTACTTTTTTTTTCTTTACTTTTCCACGCATTTTTATATATGAAAAGGCCAACTATTTTGGCTTCACTATCGGCACAAGTGTAATAAGCTCAATGCTCTTTGAAGGCTTTGAAGGGTGCTTAGCGACTACAAATTTTATTCATGACATACATACATATATTAGTGGCGAATAAGTTTTTGAAGCAAGGTCTTAGAGCTTGAAACCCCTCTAAATAATAAACAACTCATCATCGCAAGTCTTTTACCGAGCTATAGTTCCTTGTTCTCCCATTTGGTGTCATCAGTCTGGGTCCATATCGTGCATTTGAATCATAATTCGAGTAAGGCTGACCATAGTGAGCGTAGTCTTGCATTGGATATGCATTGTGATTATACGCTCTTCTTGCATTCGTGTTATATATTTGCTGATATGGCTGATGTTGTTGCTGCAGATGTTGATAAGAAGGGTATGCTTGAGTGTTGTTATACATCATCAAGTTATTATGGGTATTGTTATACAAATGCTGCTGTTGTAGTTGCTGTTGGGTCATCATTTGCGTCAGTGCAGCTAAAGCCATCTGTTGCTGTTGATGTTGTTGTTGTTGTTGTTGTTGTTGTTGTTGTTGTTGTTGCAGCAGCAGTTGCTGTTGCAGCATTTGCTGTTGCTGATGTTGACGTACGAGTAAATTTTGCGGCTGTTGTTGCTGCTGCTGTCCCATCATCATCAGCATCATCAGCATTTGAGCCTGTTGCGCCTGCTGTTGTTGTTGTTGTTGTTGGACCTGATTGTTGAATGGCATCATCATTCCCATATTCGATAATGCTGTCAACTGTTGTTGCTGTATTTGTTGTTGCTGCTGCTGGGCTTGGTGTTGAGCCTGTTGGACTTGCTGCTGTTGAGCCTGTTGCTGAACCTGTTGTTGGGCCTGTTGCTGTTGAGCCTGTTGAGCCTGCTGCCTGATAGCCATCTCTTCTACCATGGGTGGTGGACCACTAGGAACTGACACAGGCTGTGGCATCTGCTGTGGCAATATAGTTCTCCCATCTAAGGTTGGATACTTTGGTGCCAAATGGAGTCTATCTAAAAGGCCATCTAAGAAGCCTCGGGTTTGTGGTATATATGGATGCACTTGCTGTCGCATCATTGCGGGATTCGGTTGCATCATCATAGCTGCTGTGGGGGGAGCAATCTTGGGTATGGAAGATGGCTGAGGAGGCCCTTCCACTGCTGCTGGTGGTGGTGGTGGTGGTGGTGGTACTGCTGCTGCTGCCGGTACTGCAGGTGCTGGTACGGGAACAGTAGCGGGCGCGGCGGGAGCTGGAGCTGGCTCAGCTGTTGGTGGAGCGACATTAGCAGGAGCTGATGGCGCTGATTCAGCAACGGGAGGGTGAGCGGATGGTGTGGCAACAGCTTCTTCGGGCATGCTAAAGCTTAAGTGGTGATATGATGAGAGCTAACAAAAGAAAAGAGAGAAAAAGTGGGCCCCAAAACAAACAACAGAGAGAACTAGATTATAGAGTGAGAGTAACCATCAGGGAAAAAAAAAAAAAAATCTAATTCTGGACATCTTCAAAACAATGAGCGTTTGTGCTCCAATTAGCAATCCTTGAGATCATCATCATTAGGAACCCTTTTTCGAATACATTTCATCTGCAGCATATCACATAATAGAATGGTTTCCACCCCAGCCTACTGAATTTCACATTTCTCTTTCCTGTTCGTTACTTTTTCTTTGGGGAATAGAAAAAAAAAAAAAATGCCATTTGGTTTCTACCACGAGGTGGTATGTACTATATCTAGAAGCGCACTATGGTCATTCTTCAGTGATATCAAGCTTGAAGACGTTGACAATGTGCCTCCAGAATCACAACCTTTTATAGTGTAAGTTATTGTCAAAGTGCTCTCTATCCAGTTGTATAAATTTCCTTCGACATCTAGTGCCGCTACTCATCACAACATGATTGTCGACCCTGCAGTCTTATCTGTTACATTTCCCAACAAACGTCGGCTTCACTACTGGGCCAAGGACAGCATGTTCAAAAATCCGTATGCTGCTTCATTCTTAAATGATTGTGGTGTTGTACCAGTTGATAGAACGACTAAAAACAATTCCTTGCTTTACGCTTCGACCTTCGAAGTTTTGAAACTGGGAGAAGCAGTAGCAGTATTTCCAGAAGGAACCAGCCATACTCTGCCAAGATTGGGTACTTTCAAAGATGGCACTAGTTTTGTAAGCATATTCTCATTTTGAATGGGGCATTTCTTATTCATCGTCATTTTCATAGGCTGCTTTGGAATATGCGAAAATCAACCATGATGAGGGGCTCAATAAACCTGCTCCAATCTTACCTGTTGGTATTGTGTATCCTGAGAAATCGAAATATAGAAGCGTTGTTATTGTTAAGTAAGCGATACCATGTTGAATTAGCAGCATGTTGCATTCTTATGATGTTACCTTAGATATGGAAAGCCCATTCCCATTGAACCGTATTTGCCTCTGTATTTACAAGACCCCAAGAAAGCAGCCAAGCAATTGACGAGGGCCACTGAGCAAGCCATGGAAAAGCTCACGGTGAATGCACCTGACTGGGATAGTAAGTATGCTGCTGACATGGCCAGATGGTTATTATTCCCGGGTGAGAATGGTCTGATGAAGGACTATATACCAATTACTCAGAGGTCAGTGGGTAAATGCGGTTTTTATCAGCACGAGAACTTATTTGCTTTACGATAGCTTGATAAATGCAATGCATTCACTGGGTGAAAAGGATGTCGAGATTGCTAAACTTCAAAAAAGTCTGGTTGTATACAAATTGGAACTGGAATCTTTGCTACTGAAGGACGCACAAATTGCCAAATATAACGAAAAGAATATTACAGCCATCTCAACCACCGTGCAATTATTACAACGTACAGCTGCTAGTTTAATCGATTTACCCTTATTTTTACCGGGCCTGGTAGCCCATTTACCACTGTACGTAGCTGGTTATATTGCTGGTCATGTTGAAATTTACGAGGAGGTAAGAGCCCAAAACAAAATCTTCTTTGGAATGGCACTCGTACCTCTGATTTATTTGGTGTCCTTCATCTGGGGTTGGTTTGCTTTATTTGGTGGCACCTTCTTGGGTTTCTTTACTGCTTTGGCTACTTTAGGTGTATTTGTCTGGTACCATGTCACTTCAATTGACGAACGTTATGAAAATTTCAAGGATTTGCAAGGCAGATGGCGCTTGTTTGATGCTGTGGTACTTGGACGTGGCATGTGGAGACGCAAAGATCGCATTCTGGAATTGAAGAAGTTAAGAACTGAAAGTTTGGCTCAAGTTCGAAAGATGATCACTGCATACAAATCAACAAATGACGATGTCCATGTGGTTTGGTTAGCGCTTCGTCAGCGTGTAAGACAATTTGGTGAAGTATCCAAGCTTCGCTCAAAGAAGAAGGCGTTAGCAAAGCAGTATGAGTGGTGCTTTGAAGGTTAATGTCAATTAATAAAGCTCTATGATACACGGAGATTCGTATAAATGCTATTATATATGTTTGCTTTTGTCTGCTGCTGGCCGTGCTCGGCCGGACCATTAAAAATTTGGAATATTTTTTCTGTACTAGTATTGAAGAAAACACTGAAAACAGTGAATTCTTCCCTTTTCACTGAGCCCTTCAACACAGCAATATGACCGTACGTACCATTTGGATATGTAAACAAGTGAATTGAATGATGAGAGGCGCCTTGATGATGGATGGATGAGACGAATTTAGCGATAAAACAGATGGATGGATGTGTTGATGCAACATGAATCTTCGGAAACAATTTCATCACCTTTGACGATCGAAATTAAGCAACTTTGTCAATGAGAGATCAGCCATAATATACAATCAATTACGCTAAAATTCTCGCTTGTAGTCGTCGTTCAATCACTTTTTTTTACATATCCAAAACAGTTGCATAATAGTCTGTGATATTAATGTGATTTTGTTTGTGAATAGTTGGCTATTGATCTTCTTAACCCCTCTGTTGAACACGAGAAGCGCTCTCACAAGCTCAAGAGACTTGTGCAATCTCCCAACTCTTACTTCATGGACGTTAAGTGTCCTGGTAAGTTGTATTTATAATTCATAATATGAATTTCTTATTCAATTACTATTCAAAGGTTGTTTGAACATCAGCACCGTTTTCAGCCACGCTCAAACTGTCGTTTTGTGCTCCTCTTGCGGTACTGTCTTGTGCCAACCTACTGGTGGTCGTGCTCGCTTGACTGAAGGTAAGTTGTTGGGCATGTTCTATGTTTCATGATGGAATCTAATATGTATATTTCTATATTTTAGGCTGTTCTTTCCGTAGAAAGGCTAACTAAGCTTTCATTAGTTAAAATTGTTCAAACCTGTTTTCATGATTCCGTTATATATGGCACGAACTAAGCTGTTAATTTCTTTTACACCTGTAAACTACCCACAACGTTTTTTTCGACTTTTATCTCTTTATTTCGTCAATAAAAGCATAAAAAGCAAAAAAAAAAAAAAAAACTATCCATATTTAATTTTTAGATGTGAATATGGATTTCAGCAGGAATATGGGCTTAGAGTGATATGAGGTTGGGTATTGACATAGTGCAGTGCATTGAGATGTTTAGCAAGATGATTGGACGTTTTTATTGAATTTGCATGTCTTTAGAAATAGCAACATGATGTTTTCAAAGCATTTTGCGGGCAACTATGATTGCCTCGAGTAATTTTGCAGATGATGAGATGCAGTCTTCTAATTCTCAATTTAAGCCTTCGAAACAATCAGAAAATACTTGGTGCCTGAAAGAAATCATGCAATGAAAGCATTGCCCTGGAGGAAATAAGTTTGACAGGCAGAGGCAGCATAGGGCACAATTCACACTCCGATAGCATCGCCTTTAAAGAAATGCAATGGCAAGTAACTGCAGAATCTGGCTGATAGCTCTGATAGTCATTACTGAATGCCAAACTGCTGAGAAAGAAGTGCGCTAGCTATATTCTTAACTTTGAGGCATAACTTGAGATCTCACTAGGCGAATAGTTTGGAGGAAGGAGATGAATCATACCACAGGTTTGATGCCTTGAGGAAATTATGCCTATTTTCGTTTAGTGAGACATGATAACAACTCAATCGTTACAGCCATTATAGCAGCATAACTTTAAAGATCAACAGCCATCACTTTGCTTTTTTATTGCAATCACTTGGTCTGCTCGCTTAGACCACCGCAATCAGGAAATGGATGCCATAAGGCAAGCATTTCGGTGCACTGATTTTACCTCTTGTAAGACTTGAGTATTTTGCCAAAATGTAACTCTTCATTGTAGCGTCGTTACATTTGACTATATGTGGTATTAGAAACGCGCGCTTGTTGTAAAGTTTGCTAAATGCGACACATGTGTCTCACAACTTTGCGGAATATATAGCCTATTCAATCTGATCATAATTTCCACTTGGATGCGAAATCCGGAAACCAGAATCATCTGTACATGTTGGCTCTTTTGTTTAGGTTTATCAAGATGGTAATATCGATATGCACTTGCCATGTAAGTTGATTGGCTCTTTTCCGGATGAGGGGAAGCTTAATAATCAAGTTGAAATCACGCATCCATGTAAAGTAAAGTGAGAGCACATGTGACCTACTCACTTAAAGCAACCTCAGGACTATGCGAGTTGGACAAAACGTTGATTATCTTGGGCCTCGGATTCTGTATCAGTGTATGACAGTATACACAGCTTTTGTTGGGCTAGCCGAATTCATCAACCATGAAAGCAATGATTCTTATATATCTATGCAATTGCGCCGATGTAACTATAAATCCAAGCTTTTTTCTTTATCATCGACTGTTGCAGATGGTCAATTAGACACTTTATAGTCATCACTGAGGGATAAATGTTCTGAGAGAGCGATCTACATCATCTGAAAAAGACCATTCTGGATTCTTTCATATTCTAGGGTGTTTATTTATTTATGAACTATGTTTTTGCCACTCTCCTCCTCTTCATCGTGGGAAAAAGTACTTGTAAGGTTGGCCCTTCCGTTTTAAAGTATCGTTTTTTATTTATGTGTGTGTTACAGGAAAAGTTTTTTTTTTTTATAATATTATTTTATTTTATGTATTTCATGTCAACATGAAAAAATTGGGGTTGGTGTGGGGTATTTGTACAAATAAAAAAGAGAAAATATGTATAGAAATAACGTTATGAAATTATAATGCTGTTGGTAGGGGTGGAATCACCATTGTTATTGTCAGAGTAGATGATGGATCGAAGAATAGCACATCGTCTTTCAAGCATATTCAAGAAGCCTTCCATTTGCTGAGGAGACATACGGCCAATGAGAGATTTAAATCTTGTATCGTCATTTTGGTGATGGACATCTTCTTGTTGCTGTGGAGGCTGCTGAGCAGTGGGGGGTGTTGGAAGAGGATCCATTTGAACATTGGCACTAGGCATGACCATGGAGGGGAACACTTGAGGTTGCTGATACAATCTTTGCATTTTGTGTGTTTCTGAAACATTGTCTTCAATTAAAATAGCATCACAGGATCGTCGCTTTTGGCCCGTAACTGGAGAGGGACTATTGGAAGTCGATGTAGCAACCTGCTGCATACTGGCGTAAATAGTGCAAGTGCCGCATATAGTTTGACCCATGGCATTCATATGCCAAGATGCAGCGTTGCTTTGATAGCATTGATGGCAGTGTGTTTCCTCTTGAGAAGGAGGAGTCGAGATAGGAGCGGACTCTTCGAAGTGCTGTGGAGAAGCATAGTGAATGTCGATACCATAATTGTCTTGATCATTATTGTTGGAGGCAGGTTCAGGAGAAGAAGGAACTGTGATATTTACATTAGTAGAAGAGGCAGATGCTTGTTTACTTTGATTCGATTGATGCTTTTGGCGAATATGAAGAGGTCGATGGGTGTTGTATTGTTTATAGTAGAGTCCACAGGCATTACAAAGAGAGTGAGCACGGTCAGGTGTACGACGCCATAAGGGAGTTTTGGTAACATGGCAATTAAAGCATTCAAGTTGACGTGGAGTTCTACTTGATTTTTGGACCTTGGACTGACTCTTCTTTTTCATTTCAATCTTTTCTTTCAAATCATTAATATTGGCACTATCCTCCTCCTCCTCTTCTTCTTCTTCTTCTTCTTCTTCGTCTTCTATCACCAACACATCTTCATCCTCGTCCTCCTGGTGTACTTGCTGCTGATTTTGTTCTGTGCGAAAAGAAGGGCTTTCTTGCTCGAATTGGACGAATTGGTCAAAACCTTCCTGGGGAAAATGAGACAAACTTTGGAGGAACTGCTGAGGGTCCAGTAAATTGACAGCGGGATCAGCCGAATTCTGAGGACTACTGCGATTGGAATCATTTGAAAGAGTAGGGGAAGGAAAGTTACTGAAGACAGGACCACCAAGAGTTGAGGCAGGCGACGGCTGCTGCACTTGATATTGCTGTTGGAGCAAGAGGTCAGAAAACCCCTTGTCAAGGAAATCAGTTTGGCTGCCTTGACCACCAGGAGCGGTGTTTGCCTCCACATATTGTAACATGAAATCTTCGTCTCCCATCATCATTTGAGGAATTGAGTAGAATGTATTTGTAAGTAGAAGAAAGAAGATAAAAAGAGAGCGAAATGATCTCTAATTAAGAGTGTTGAAAAAAGAAAAACAATTGATTTGTATTCAGATGAAGTAGCAGAAGAAAAAGAAGAATAAAAAAGAGAAAAAAAAAGAAGGGCAAGATGATGTATCAATATTTCAGATGTTTATATAGCTTTTTTTTTATATATGGTTATAAACTGACCTCACGCCTCTTTCCTCTTCCTTCCTAAACCCTACCCCCAAACTGTCTCTTCGTTACACTCTGCAGTAGTTTAGTAACATTGCATTTAAAATTCAGAGATCATACATCTTTTACCATATACATATTATGTATTATATAAATAAAAGACATAATAAATATATGTCTACATTACACTTCATTTCCAACAGAATTTATCTGCTTAGCGCTGGTTTCCTATTTTCCACCTGAATCAACAACAGAAATGAGAGTGAAACAGGCCATTGGATTCCAAACCAAAAACAAGATAACTTCTTTACTACTCTCCCCCCCCCCACTCCCATTTTGTGCAACTGATAGGCTCAAAAAGAATAATGCCTAACGTTCGTGAACATGCTATTGATCCATGTTTCGGGCTAGCAAGTAATCAAGGACTCTATGTTGGCGCTCTTCTCATTTACACATCCATAATGTCCATGATGTGCATAGCAAGTTGATTTACAAGTAGTCACCGAGAGATGACTCAATTTTGGGTAACCAAATAACCGGTCATTCAATTGGTCTAGTTGATAAAAAGGTCGAAGCGTTGCTCATGGTATACAAGCTACAGCGTATCAGTCCAATCAACAGGTAAAAACTAATCAGAGAATCATGGGCGGGTTATTATCTTGATCATCTGATTCGTCGCAGATTACACTTTTCGTTTATAAAATTCATTTTGATAATCAGTTTGTTTTTTACCGGATGTGTACAAAACTCAAAACTTTATATATATTATATAGGTATTCTATATATTTATTTATATAGTGAGATGTTGTATTATTGCAATGTGTTGATTGCCGAGCTTTGTTTCTTGGTTTTTCATTTTTTTTTTCTGCTAAAAGAATCAAGATCAAGACAGATTGTGAATCATTCAAATTCAGTGGAAATGTCAATGTTTAACTTTTTTAAATTTTTTCCTATTTTCGAGGAAGGGGCATTGAGGGTATGCTATACTTTAGATAAAAAAAAAAAAAAATTAAGGTTTTGTGTGATCAGTCGTCAACTGACGAATTGAAAAAGAATGTTTGTTTGTTACTGATTTATCATTTATACAAGAACTGGCCAGCCTTTTTTGTTACCATTGTCTATGTCTGGTTGTCATTGGAAATTTAATCACCTGGTAAAATTACCACAAATATGTTAAGGGGAAAAAAATGACCTTCTACGAAGCTTGAATCCATTTGTTTCTTGGATCTGAACGAATTGTTCCCGCACGTTACTAGCAGGAGTACTATTGATTGGGCGCTGTGGGGTTAAAGCATGTGAGTTCAGACATTACAACGAAACAGGTTGAGAAATCAAGTTGGGAAATTAAGGGTTTATCGATCCATTATGTAAGTATGTTTGGATCAATCTTGCTTCGCCTTCCACTAAAACATGCGCTCCCGGCTGTCTGGCGATTGTTTTAGCAAGATGGCCATGTCATTTAGAATCGCACACAGAATGATTTTGTTCTATAAATGTTTAATCATTGACTGTAATAGTCTGGTAAACCTATGGGCGTACAAGTTCCTATTAGAGCTGCAGCTTAAAACATCATGGCAGTTACAGTTTCCTTTTCAGATAAGAAGAGGCACAACGCTAAATGCAAACAAGAGAGGATCACTGTATTTGACTTTGATGGCATGGTGAATTCACAAAACCATTCAACATCTATTCGATGGTAGCTTTAGCGCCTATAATTTGCCCAATAACTCGAGTGTTTACCAACTATCATTCGGATATCTAACTGCACACGGTCAGTTCAGTTGAATTTAATTTTGAGTTCGGATGGGATAGGTATCACAGGATAGTCGTACACTGTAGAGCGAAAGTTGCAGTTACATTCACTGCACCCTCTCAGTTTCATCATAAATGAAAAATGCATGTCAGCTTACTATTAGCGGTACACATTACCGCATTCAGGTTTCAAATATCCTTAAAATCTGAACAATAAAACTTGAATTGAATCCCTGTGTTTTGATTCTTGTGTACTGACAGCCTTTCTGGTAAAGCAAATTCACGTATTCTTCATTATATAAGAGTGCAAACATGGAGTAAACCTTGATTAGTGATGTACTGTAGCACAGCAACAGTGTTTTAATAAACTATGTAATATACAATACACTTTCACGTAAATTTAATGTCGGAGATTACGTTACTGTGTCGTTAGCAGCTAAGGACAGTAAATGTTTAGGATATACATAAATAAAATCTTAGAGGCGAAAGTATTATACATTGTATAATACATTATAGGGATTGAGCATGAGCAGAGATGCGTCGTATATTTATATCACCTTATGTAGACATTGCATAAAGTTATGAGTGGTGCCATCAAATGGCTAATCTATATCTTGGCTCCTTTAGTAGTGTGGTAGCCTTATGATCTATCGTCCCTGAAAGTAGGACTCAATTCTGACAAATGTTCTTCCATCAAATCTACTACGAAGAACATTTTATTCTGGATCCTCATTGTTATTTGTTCCTGACTGGTAGTCCATGAGCTTTTCCGCAGCAAGTCTTCTCTAACTGAATCAAGGCTCATACAATTATCCTTCATCCAAGATCAAGATTCTATTGCTGTGGCACTGTCAAATAACTACAAGTACCGTCGAAATTTACACCAGTTTTAATCCTTATTCAATTTTCGAATAACATCATTATACTGTGCGAGCCTTTCGACACTTCGGGTGGTTTCCTGACCTACGCTTCGCTTCGGTGGAAACCAACGTACGTTCAAACGGCTCGCGCTGCCGCGGGCCTTTGGCTAATATCCCAAAATTAACATAGCTAAAATGTTACAAGAAGAACCCTGATTGTTGACTGATATATAATCACTAATCATATGAGTGTTTATGCTTCAGATTGTTCTCTACCTTCGCTTCGTTTCGGTGAGAATCCACCTGCACAGCGACAGCTCGAGCTACCGGTTGCCCTTGCGTATCTTATCATAATACTACTACGTTCAAGCTGACCCTCTACTTGCATATGAAAACCCTTCATATTATGTGTGGATCTGATTCTTATGTGATGCTTTACATCCATATACACCTAGCTACTTCATATACGGGCAAGTAGAATACAGGTATTTCCATTTCTTAGTCCTCAATACCCCTAATACAGCAAAATATGAGTGTATTTGAGCTGCTTTTTCTCGCGTTTAAAGCCGTTTTAGATTGTCAGAATAGCACCAAATAGTTGCTCTCATCTAAGAATTACTTTCTGACACCTTTGCTCAACTTTGTGGGGACCAAAAAAAAACATGGCCAAAAAGCATGAGGTACTTTTTTTTTTTAATTGTTTTTATTGATTGCTCCGTGTAAGTAGGTCCCTAGGGCACTACCAAGAGGCGGGCGCAATTGTTATGATATTCAATTATATTTAGGATTAGGCGATAGATGACGGGAACAGATGATAGATGACAATTGTGATTAGAGAATTACAATTGTTTGTGAATTTCAGTTTGGGCATGTAGTTGAAAGAGCTCGTTCTTGATCTGCTGGACCACATCGATCCATGTAGTACCATGGTTACTATGGTATATATTAATTCAAAATGTTTCTCTGGATCCAAAACAACTTCTGAAACCACGTTTATGAGGTTTTCATATGCAAAATATGGCTACTGTCGCTAAAAACCTCATTTTAAATTTTATTAAATTGCTCAATAATTTCATTCAAAATATCTAATACAATTAGCACCATTGGAAGCGCCTTAAAAACTACTTCAAGAACGTATTAGGAAGAGTAGGGTGTTCATCACAATTTATATAGTCGAATATTACAAAATAAATTAAGAAATCGACAAAAGCCAAAATTTGGCCAATCTTGAGCCGAAAAAATTAATTGAGTTTGAATGGGCTATAACAGCGGTGATGGGCGGCACTGCTGCAGGCTGGCCTAGTAAATTCTTTTCTGATGCTGACAAAGATGATGACAATGATGATTGCGATGCTCATTAGATGGGGATTGATACTAGAGCATTGAAAGTAGCATGTTCCTATAGCAATCTGTAGCGAGAAAAGCGATGAAGTGGTTAGATTTTAGATTGGATGGGGTTTATTGCTGAGAAATAGATGATTTTCGAAATAAACCAACGTTGAGTGGCGATGAGCTTCATATAAAAACCTGTTAACCCCAAGTGATGACGAGCCATGGATGGATGGATTAGGTGTTAGGAAACGTTGTATATTGAAAACTGCTTGGCGATATCTTGCTTTCGTGTGATTTGGCAAAGATTTGAAGCTGTGTTGTATACTTCAGCAAGAGGGGGAGGGGGATGGGGATGGGGAGGGCGATGGGGGATTGCTTTTTCACGCCCCATGTTGATGCTGGAGACTTGATATTAGAACAGTTATATGCCCACTCTGAGATGCTGCCAAACATATAAACAAATGTTCAGTCGCTACTACATTGGTTGTTAAATAATTAGGCGAGCAAAGTATAAAGTATCCAATATATATAAAAACCACACAGTATGTTTCGACACTATTATTGGTGCAACTGCTAATTCAACCAGGCTTTTTCTCTATTGACTAAATTTTGCTTCCCTATGTCTGCTGCTTTATACAATGAGAACTCGTTCGGGCCATCTACTACGATATTTCCTCCCGTCAAAAGTTGGGTTTTCAACCCCCAAACTAGAGTTTACGGTGGCAAAAACACGTTTTTGCTTAATAACAACAGCACAGAAACGTCCATGTAATGATCAAGTCTATGAAATAAATTCAGGGCGTTGTATGACTCATACTGGCACACAGAAAGAATTTTATATGCGCCACCGTAGCAAAAGCTAGTTTTTAGCGATTGACTTTGGACAATTTGGCTGGAGTTGACCTTTTCGGCAGAAGAGTAGGTCCTTGAAACCATTTAAAGCCGGTTTCACTACATTTTCTTGGTGTCAAATCTTGTATTACAGAACTTGTAGGTATCATGCTCGACTTCGATACAGAATTTCGTTGCTTGCTTCCCCAATTGTGCTGAAGCCGACTCAGCCTGTGCAATTTCAGCCATTTCTCTTTAAACAAGAGCGTTTAACATCAAGGATAGACTTTGTCTAATTTTACGGCTAGATATGGCATTTCTATTGTAGACAACCACCAAAAGTATCCTGTTAGTCTGATAAGCATCTCATTCAATCTGAGCCAGCTGTTAGATTCAAATTTGAATAATATCATTGACAACCGAATATTAAGATTACCGTATTCGCGAATTTTTAAAAAGCACCATCTAAGCCTTGGAATTGGAATAAAAGCGCCTGTTACTTGGAAATTGAGTTGAGTACAATGCAGAACATTTGGGCCATCAGAAAGAAGTGTAATTTACTTACTATTCTGGCAACGCAACTCACTACATCTTTGTTTCAGGTCGAATTCTGTTCAAATCTAACTAGTTTTAAACACGAATAACTCATGCCGCAAATTGTTCTGGGCGCTTGGAATAGCGCCAAACAACTCTTCTTGGCTGCGCTTTACTTACTGGTGCTTTATCTCAATTTTTTTTGGGTCATTGCAAATTCATTAAAATCGTCGTTTCTACATGAGTACTAGCAAGGGAAAACTTTTCAAAATCAAACGATCGCGTTTTTCACCCCAAAAATGAAAACTTTTTCTATGATACATATCAGATCAAACTGATCGTAAAGATGGAATGCAACATTGGAAACTCTTTCTATGAGTTTTGTATATGTTAAATTTTAACATATTCGCAAAAAAATTGTTTTCAAATTTTCGCAAATTACTCATTATTTTCAGTCTTAAAACCGAATGTAATTAGCATCATTCGATGCGCCTTTATTGACTCTTTATAAATGCATTAGAAAGTAAGATATAGCAACGACACTTTTCAGAGTTAAATTTAGCAAAAACGTTTAAAGAACGTGAAATTTAGTCAAATTTGAACACGAAAGTACCCATTGCACAATTTTAAATTAAAGTGCAGCAGTTGCGGTTACCACGGCAGAGGACTGAGACCAAATATATTGGCTGTGACGACGGATGGGGCGCCGTCTCATTTTCCTATACTCCCGTTTTTTTCCCTTTTTTGCAAAACGCGTTTAGTAGTATCAAACCATGATGGTTTTAGAAACCGTTTGATTGATAAGAGCACTCTAGCTTCTGATAACGCTGTATTGTACTGATAGAAAGACTCGATGCTGCTTCTTTGAAGTGGAATATAGTAAGTACCATTCGATAACGAGCATTGGAAGGCATATAACTAACACTAATAATTGAATTTGTTTATTGGTTTTGACAGCTTTTTTTGCTTGTTTGACTTGAGTACTGCTGCCATTACTTTTCTGCTATCTCTGCTGTCTGCTTTTTTTGGTTTATCATGTCTGGTGGCTGCTTCTTTGGTCTTTGTCTGCTCTCTGGTGCCGTTCGTTCTTTAGTTTTTCTATGGTGCTACTGTTGGTGCTGCTGCTGCTGCTGCTAATATGGCCTTTCCCGGTCTACTGTATTTGTTGCATGCTTGTTCTTTGGTCTATCTGCGGCTGTGGTAAGTGGTAAGTATCTTCTTTCTTCTGGTCGCAATGATATAATACTTCTTTGAACGTTTATATTATTGCTACCTTTCTCGCGGTAATGCATTCATGATGTTTGCCTTGTTGCGCTTTTTTTTTCTTTTTTTTCTTTTGTTGGTATAATGTTTCCTCTTTAGCTTTACAGGAAACAACATTAGTCATTATGTTGTATCGCAAACTTGTAATACCACTGTTGCTTTTGCAGTTGTGCGTATTTGTGTCATGTTGCTTTACATCCGACTATTACTACTACCATGCGCGTTGCTCATGTATGCATTTTTCTTGCAACAGCAACGAGCTTTTTTTTTTGAACAACTTTGGTGTTGTATTTGTTATGCTTTTCTTTGACTCCCTTCGTATGAGTGTTTCTTTTTTGCCTACATAGTATTATTATGCTTCTTCTTTCTTTCTTTCTTTTATTATTATGTTTCTTTTGAAGCTTACCTTTTTTACGTTGTATGGATGTGCCTATCCCTGAAGCTCAACAAGACTCTATCCGAGGCTAGGAGGTAGATAGGCTGCCTCCACTTGGTTATCGCTACTTACTTTAGTGATGATTAAGGGTCTCAACGCCAGAATCTAAAGCTAGGTGGTGTAAGTAAGGCATGCTCTAGCACCTGGGGGAAGTTTGATGATAGCAGCGGCTATATTGCTATATATAGCTGAGCTTAAAATTTTGCCTCACATCAAAACAGGGGGAAACCCTCGCAAAATTTTTTTTTGGTCAGCGGAGTTTTCAAGCCATATGATTGGCTCGGAGGATGAGGCACCGAAGGATTTTAGCTAGTTGATTCTGTACTGATCTGTCGTTTAACATTATACTGTGTTTGTAATAAAAGGGTATCCAAACAGTTACAATATAAGCTCTTCTTTATTCGAAACAATATAAGGTGCAATTTTTTGATCTGTGTTGTGCCAGAAGGGCTACAACTGTCTATAAAGATTAAGGTACTCTAGATGGGTAGATAATATGTATGTGTTGTGCAACAACATGGACAAGCTATGATAATTGAAGTGCATCTCAGCTATTTAAATGCTGAGGTTCACCAGATATGATAAGCGTTGTACAAGATAAATTGCTACTTTGGCATTCAGAACTTATTATAAATAGAATAACTCTTGTCTTCATCAATAAATCTTTAGTTTTTGTGTCTGATCTTATTCAAATAAGTCTTTTCTTGTTTTTGTGATATCGAACATTTTTTAAAAGCTACAAATAATAATCTTTTTATACTTTCTGCCTAACACTTTGAATGCTAAGTGGGTTGCTCAATGTGTGCCTTTGCCTCGTATCTGATGTATCAAGGACGAATGTAAATTAAATCAGCATAAAAAGTACCGTTTATTATGATGGATATAACGTGGGTATTTATAATAATGGATTATTACAGGTGATGGGAACTAATGGGTAGGGCCCCATTAGATCTAGTCGTATGTGAGTAATAGATGCAATTATGCTATATGATATGTTTCAATAGTAGTTTTGTTATAAGGTATGCTTCATGACTATCATCTTGGGTATTTAAGGTACGATTATCCGTCAATCTATTTCTAAATGCAGATATTGTAATTCTGATAGATCAGTATTGATGAATGTCTAGAACAGTTGCATGGCGTCACTTTTATGAGTTCCATTGATCTAACCAGTATAGTTTTTGGCAACAACGACTAACAACGACTGATTTCATCTGATCCGCTCAAGAGTGCGACCAGCACTAGATATGGTCAATATTCCTGGTCTGTCATGGCAATGGGATTGAAGAATTCTGGTGCACAATGGATGTTGTATTTGATGAACGATGTCTTGGAGTATCTTGATGACTTTGTAATATGTTATATTGATGGCTGTTTGATCTATACAAAGGATAATGACCTCGAATTTCACAAGAAATATCTGCATATGGTATTATTCAAGAAACTACAGGAAGATGGTCGCGTGATGTCTAAAGCCAAATGTAAGTTCAGTCGCAAGGAAATCATACTTTTGGGTCAAAATATTGTTGCTGGTCAAGTCATCAAGCTGTCTCAGAAGAAGGTGGATGCTATCGCTTCGTGGCCTGTCCCTAAGACTGTGTAGGATGTGCGTAAGTTTATGGGGTGATCTCTGTCAACACTACTCTACGTACATGCCTAACCTTGCTGCTGTGGCTACGTATATCACTGATCTGACTAAAGGTGTTGGTCCCAAGAATAGAAAGATTGATTGGTCAGATGATTGTCAAAAGACATTTGATACCGTCAAGTCTCTGATTACTTCTGCTCCTGTGTTGCTAATGCCTGATAGGTGTCGTTCTTTCCGCATTGAGTGTGATGCTAGTGATTATGCGGTAGGCACTGTCTTGTTACAACGGTATCCTAAGTATGACGATGTATGGAAACCTGTTGCTTTTATATCCAAGAAGCTGTCTGATGCTGAAAGAAATTATCCCACTCAAGAACGCGAATTGCTGGCTATCTTGTTTGCGTGTAAAAATTGGCGTTGTTTTGCAAAAGGGTCTGGTCATAAAGTGTTTACCAACCATCGTCCTTCACAATATTACAAGTCGTCAAGCAAGGTCTCTCCTCGTTTTTTGGTTCGCTGGATGCAAGATTTTGAGATGTATCAGCCGTTTTTGGTCTACAAGACGGGTGTTAATAATGTCGTTCCTAATGCTTTGAGTCGTCGTGAAGGTCCTGATTGTGATCCTGATCCTGTGTCCATGGAACCTGAGTTCCTGTATGAAATGTCTACTGCTATTCTGAGTAAGGTGTGGCAACCCTCTGATACGTCGTTGCTGACTGGTCCTTGTCAAGATTGGCCAATATTTTTCAAGGAAAAGAAGAAAGGCTGGCCGGGCAAGTGGCGTGCTCAACTGGAGAAGGAGGAGGCCAACTTTGAAGTGATTGACAATGTGCTGTATCGACTGAACCATGATGCCACCGGTAGAGAGGTTTTGAAACTGAAATTCATTACTTTTGCTCGTCGTGCTGATCTCATTGAAGATTTTCATCGTGGTTTTGGTCATTCGGGTCAGCTCACTGTATATCATTTAATGACGTAACTTGTTTGGTACCCTTCCATGCGTAAGGATATTTCTAGTGTCAACTACTATCTCGCAATAAAAAAGGTGTTCATCATGCTCCGATGAAATCTCTTGAGGCTCCTGCTTCTTTTGCTCGTTGGCACATTGATTTTATTCGAGAATTGTCCACTTCAAGTAATGAAAATTGTTGGATTTTGATGACTGTGAATTATGCTATTAACTGGCCAATTGCTCGTGCTCTCAAGTCTGCTACTGCTGATGAAATTGTCAGGTTCCTTTATGAAGAGATTGGGATGAAGTTTGGGTGTCCTGTTGAAGTTGCCAGTGATGGTGGTGCCAATTTTTTAAACAAGATTCTCAAGTGATATACTGTAGGGGGAAAAACTGTCCCGTTCGTTTAAAATTTTGTCTTTTTTCACAAGTTTTTGATCATTTCTTTGTATACAAAGTCGAAATAGATATCGTTTGAATGAGAGAAAGTAGTGCTACTGTAGGGGGAAAAACTGTCCCGTTCGTTTAAAATTTTGTCTTTTTGCACAAGTTTTTGGTCATTTCTTTGTATACAAAGTCGAAATATATATCGTTTGAATGAGAGAAATTAGTGCTATCTATACATAATTATAACTTTTTCAAAAACTAAAATCCAATGATTTTATTGGTTAAAAAATAAATATAGAAAAATGTACATTTTATTATAAAATCATTAATAGTGAGTTGAACCACCTTTGCTCTTGATGGCAGCCTTGATTCGGGCAGGCATACTATCAATATATTTCTGGCACTCTTTTTCTGTTATTTTGTATCACTGAATGTTAATACGCCGTTCTAATTCTTCTTTTGTAGAGGGCCTAGTGGGATACTTATTAAGCCTAAGCTTTAGGAGATGCCAGACATGTTCAATGGGATTAAGATCGGGACTTTGGGGTGGCCAATCCATGATTTCGTCTAGGTTAAACTCATTGTCGGCGAACCATTGTTTAGTAATACCCGATGTATGCGGTGTTGCTCTGTCTTGTTGAAATCGCACATCAGATGGTGTCTTCCCAAAGTGCTCAAGAGTGTCGTTTAATGATGTCTTCGAAATATCGACATACAGGCCCGAGTTTATTGCGTCTTCAATAATGGTAATACCATAACCAGGCCCCTCCGCTGTTATGCAACTCCAGAACATAACCCCACCGTCATTTCCCTGCAACTGAGACTTGACTTGATACGACTGCATGATTAGGCCACCATTCGTCCAGTAAAAAGAATTACCATCTGAGCCCCAAAGGTTTATTCTTGTTTCATCCGAAAACACCCAACGACGCCAATCAGCAATAGTAAGATGCCTATGCTTTTTAGCCTACGCCAATCGGAGCCGCTTGTTTGTCTTGCTAACAAAATTTGTCTTTACTTTTCTACGAGATTTAAGTCCATTTCGTCTCAATGACTTGCGGATGCCATTAATTGACATATCATGGCCCATCGATCTTAAAATTTCTTGTGTTGCTCGGGGATTATCTAAAGCACCTGATCGAAGTCCTCTTGACACTAGGGACATAGTTTTAGCACCAAGTTTTTTCGGTCTTCCGCCAAGAGGTCTAGCTGGGTCAGGGCAATATAGTTTTCTGAGCCTTGTAAGAGTAGAGTTACCCACTTCTGGATACAAATTCTTTATCTTTGAGAGCGAAAGACCACGTTGGAGCAAAGATTGGAGAATGTTGCGCAAATCTTGTGTTAAACGAGCAGGCATAATGAAAGTTTTGAAAAAAAATAAGAAAGCAAAGAAATAAAGAAAAAAATATGAAGAAATTAGCTTTTTTTTAATACTTTTAGAATGCTCCTGGGATATTAAATGTCCTGAGCATACCGCGGGTAGTTTTTTAGATTTCTTCAATACGTCTATTGGAAGTAAAGATATCAACCATTTTATATCATCTAGAATTACCCACCTAACATTTTTGCCACGTCTCACTTTAGCTGGTTATACTGGGATTAAAATATAGTCCAGCCATAAGGTTTTTATGTTGCTGTAATCCCTATAGGCTGTTCTATCGAACGCAGTATGGGGTAGCTTTGTTTTCTGAGTTTTGGCAATATACTGGGTAAAAGTCAAGATTATTTGAACGAACGGGACAGTTTTTCCCCCTACAGTATTTATACATAATTATAACTTTTTTAAAAACTAAAATTCAATGATTTTATTGGTTAAAAAATAAATATAGAAAAATGTACATTTTATTATAAAATCATTAATAGTGAGTTGAACCACCTTTGCTCTTGATGACAGCCTTGATTCGGGCAGGCATACTATCAATATATTTCTGGCACTCTTTTTCTGTTATTTTGTATCACTGAATGTTAATACGCCGTTCTAATTCTTCTTTTGTAGAGGGCCTAGTGGGATACTTATTAAGCCTAAGCTTTAGGAGATGCCAGACATGTTCAATGGGATTAAGATCGGGACTTTGGGGTGGCCAATCCATGATTTCGTCTAGGTTAAACTCATTGTCGGCGAACCATTGTTTAGTAATACCCGATGTATGCGGTGTTGCTCTGTCTTGTTGAAATCGCACATCAGATGGTGTCTTCCCAAAGTGCTCAAGAGTGTCGTTTAATGATGTCTTCGAAATATCGACATACAGGCCCGAGTTTATTGCGTCTTCAATAATGGTAATACCATAACCAGGCCCCTCCGCTGTTATGCAACTCCAGAACATAACCCCACCGTCATTTCCCTGCAACTGAGACTTGACTTGATACGACTGCATGATTAGGCCACCATTCGTCCAGTAAAAAGAATTACCATCTGAGCCCCAAAGGTTTATTCTTGTTTCATCCGAAAACACCCAACGACGCCAATCAGCAATAGTAAGATGCCTATGCTTTTTAGCCTACGCCAATCGGAGCCGCTTGTTTGTCTTGCTAACAAAATTTGTCTTTACTTTTCTACGAGATTTAAGTCCATTTCGTCTCAATGACTTGCGGATGCCATTAATTGACATATCATGGCCCATCGATCTTAAAATTTCTTGTGTTGCTCGGGGATTATCTAAAGCACCTGATCGAAGTCCTCTTGACACTAGGGACATAGTTTTAGCACCAAGTTTTTTCGGTCTTCCGCCAAGAGGTCTAGCTGGGTCAGGGCAATATAGTTTTCTGAGCCTTGTAAGAGTAGAGTTACCCACTTCTGGATACAAATTCTTTATCTTTGAGAGCGAAAGACCACGTTGGAGCAAAGATTGGAGAATGTTGCGCAAATCTTGTGTTAAACGAGCAGGCATAATGAAAGTTTTGAAAAAAAATAAGAAAGCAAAGAAATAAAGAAAAAAATATGAAGAAATTAGCTTTTTTTTAATACTTTTAGAATGCTCCTGGGATATTAAATGTCCTGAGCATACCGCGGGTAGTTTTTTAGATTTCTTCAATACGTCTATTGGAAGTAAAGATATCAACCATTTTATATCATCTAGAATTACCCACCTAACATTTTTGCCACGTCTCACTTTAGCTGGTTATACTGGGATTAAAATATAGTCCAGCCATAAGGTTTTTATGTTGCTGTAATCCCTATAGGCTGTTCTATCGAACGCAGTATGGGGTAGCTTTGTTTTCTGAGTTTTGGCAATATACTGGGTAAAAGTCAAGATTATTTGAACGAACGGGACAGTTTTTCCCCCTACAGTATTTATACATAATTATAACTTTTTTAAAAACTAAAATTCAATGATTTTATTGGTTAAAAAATAAATATAGAAAAATGTACATTTTATTATAAAATCATTAATAGTGAGTTGAACCACCTTTGCTCTTGATGACAGCCTTGATTCGGGCAGGCATACTATCAATATATTTCTGGCACTCTTTTTCTGTTATTTTGTATCACTGAATGTTAATACGCCGTTCTAATTCTTCTTTTGTAGAGGGCCTAGTGGGATACTTATTAAGCCTAAGCTTTAGGAGATGCCAGACATGTTCAATGGGATTAAGATCGGGACTTTGGGGTGGCCAATCCATGATTTCGTCTAGGTTAAACTCATTGTCGGCGAACCATTGTTTAGTAATACCCGATGTATGCGGTGTTGCTCTGTCTTGTTGAAATCGCACATCAGATGGTGTCTTCCCAAAGTGCTCAAGAGTGTCGTTTAATGATGTCTTCGAAATATCGACATACAGGCCCGAGTTTATTGCGTCTTCAATAATGGTAATACCATAACCAGGCCCCTCCGCTGTTATGCAACTCCAGAACATAACCCCACCGTCATTTCCCTGCAACTGAGACTTGACTTGATACGACTGCATGATTAGGCCACCATTCGTCCAGTAAAAAGAATTACCATCTGAGCCCCAAAGGTTTATTCTTGTTTCATCCGAAAACACCCAACGACGCCAATCAGCAATAGTAAGATGCCTATGCTTTTTAGCCTACGCCAATCGGAGCCGCTTGTTTGTCTTGCTAACAAAATTTGTCTTTACTTTTCTACGAGATTTAAGTCCATTTCGTCTCAATGACTTGCGGATGCCATTAATTGACATATCATGGCCCATCGATCTTAAAATTTCTTGTGTTGCTCGGGGATTATCTAAAGCACCTGATCGAAGTCCTCTTGACACTAGGGACATAGTTTTAGCACCAAGTTTTTTCGGTCTTCCGCCAAGAGGTCTAGCTGGGTCAGGGCAATATAGTTTTCTGAGCCTTGTAAGAGTAGAGTTACCCACTTCTGGATACAAATTCTTTATCTTTGAGAGCGAAAGACCACGTTGGAGCAAAGATTGGAGAATGTTGCGCAAATCTTGTGTTAAACGAGCAGGCATAATGAAAGTTTTGAAAAAAAATAAGAAAGCAAAGAAATAAAGAAAAAAATATGAAGAAATTAGCTTTTTTTTAATACTTTTAGAATGCTCCTGGGATATTAAATGTCCTGAGCATACCGCGGGTAGTTTTTTAGATTTCTTCAATACGTCTATTGGAAGTAAAGATATCAACCATTTTATATCATCTAGAATTACCCACCTAACATTTTTGCCACGTCTCACTTTAGCTGGTTATACTGGGATTAAAATATAGTCCAGCCATAAGGTTTTTATGTTGCTGTAATCCCTATAGGCTGTTCTATCGAACGCAGTATGGGGTAGCTTTGTTTTCTGAGTTTTGGCAATATACTGGGTAAAAGTCAAGATTATTTGAACGAACGGGACAGTTTTTCCCCCTACAGTATTTATACATAATTATAACTTTTTTAAAAACTAAAATTCAATGATTTTATTGGTTAAAAAATAAATATAGAAAAATGTACATTTTATTATAAAATCATTAATAGTGAGTTGAACCACCTTTGCTCTTGATGACAGCCTTGATTCGGGCAGGCATACTATCAATATATTTCTGGCACTCTTTTTCTGTTATTTTGTATCACTGAATGTTAATACGCCGTTCTAATTCTTCTTTTGTAGAGGGCCTAGTGGGATACTTATTAAGCCTAAGCTTTAGGAGATGCCAGACATGTTCAATGGGATTAAGATCGGGACTTTGGGGTGGCCAATCCATGATTTCGTCTAGGTTAAACTCATTGTCGGCGAACCATTGTTTAGTAATACCCGATGTATGCGGTGTTGCTCTGTCTTGTTGAAATCGCACATCAGATGGTGTCTTCCCAAAGTGCTCAAGAGTGTCGTTTAATGATGTCTTCGAAATATCGACATACAGGCCCGAGTTTATTGCGTCTTCAATAATGGTAATACCATAACCAGGCCCCTCCGCTGTTATGCAACTCCAGAACATAACCCCACCGTCATTTCCCTGCAACTGAGACTTGACTTGATACGACTGCATGATTAGGCCACCATTCGTCCAGTAAAAAGAATTACCATCTGAGCCCCAAAGGTTTATTCTTGTTTCATCCGAAAACACCCAACGACGCCAATCAGCAATAGTAAGATGCCTATGCTTTTTAGCCTACGCCAATCGGAGCCGCTTGTTTGTCTTGCTAACAAAATTTGTCTTTACTTTTCTACGAGATTTAAGTCCATTTCGTCTCAATGACTTGCGGATGCCATTAATTGACATATCATGGCCCATCGATCTTAAAATTTCTTGTGTTGCTCGGGGATTATCTAAAGCACCTGATCGAAGTCCTCTTGACACTAGGGACATAGTTTTAGCACCAAGTTTTTTCGGTCTTCCGCCAAGAGGTCTAGCTGGGTCAGGGCAATATAGTTTTCTGAGCCTTGTAAGAGTAGAGTTACCCACTTCTGGATACAAATTCTTTATCTTTGAGAGCGAAAGACCACGTTGGAGCAAAGATTGGAGAATGTTGCGCAAATCTTGTGTTAAACGAGCAGGCATAATGAAAGTTTTGAAAAAAAATAAGAAAGCAAAGAAATAAAGAAAAAAATATGAAGAAATTAGCTTTTTTTTAATACTTTTAGAATGCTCCTGGGATATTAAATGTCCTGAGCATACCGCGGGTAGTTTTTTAGATTTCTTCAATACGTCTATTGGAAGTAAAGATATCAACCATTTTATATCATCTAGAATTACCCACCTAACATTTTTGCCACGTCTCACTTTAGCTGGTTATACTGGGATTAAAATATAGTCCAGCCATAAGGTTTTTATGTTGCTGTAATCCCTATAGGCTGTTCTATCGAACGCAGTATGGGGTAGCTTTGTTTTCTGAGTTTTGGCAATATACTGGGTAAAAGTCAAGATTATTTGAACGAACGGGACAGTTTTTCCCCCTACAGTATTTATACATAATTATAACTTTTTTAAAAACTAAAATTCAATGATTTTATTGGTTAAAAAATAAATATAGAAAAATGTACATTTTATTATAAAATCATTAATAGTGAGTTGAACCACCTTTGCTCTTGATGACAGCCTTGATTCGGGCAGGCATACTATCAATATATTTCTGGCACTCTTTTTCTGTTATTTTGTATCACTGAATGTTAATACGCCGTTCTAATTCTTCTTTTGTAGAGGGCCTAGTGGGATACTTATTAAGCCTAAGCTTTAGGAGATGCCAGACATGTTCAATGGGATTAAGATCGGGACTTTGGGGTGGCCAATCCATGATTTCGTCTAGGTTAAACTCATTGTCGGCGAACCATTGTTTAGTAATACCCGATGTATGCGGTGTTGCTCTGTCTTGTTGAAATCGCACATCAGATGGTGTCTTCCCAAAGTGCTCAAGAGTGTCGTTTAATGATGTCTTCGAAATATCGACATACAGGCCCGAGTTTATTGCGTCTTCAATAATGGTAATACCATAACCAGGCCCCTCCGCTGTTATGCAACTCCAGAACATAACCCCACCGTCATTTCCCTGCAACTGAGACTTGACTTGATACGACTGCATGATTAGGCCACCATTCGTCCAGTAAAAAGAATTACCATCTGAGCCCCAAAGGTTTATTCTTGTTTCATCCGAAAACACCCAACGACGCCAATCAGCAATAGTAAGATGCCTATGCTTTTTAGCCTACGCCAATCGAAACCGCTTGTTTGTCTTGCTAACAAAATTGGTCTTTACTTTTCTACGAGATTTAAGTCCATTTCGTCTCAATGACTTGTGGATGCCATTAATTGACATATCATGCCCCATCGATCTTAAAATTTCTTGCGCTGCTCGGGGATTATCTAAAGCACCTGATCGAAGTCCTCTTGACACTAGGGACATAGTTTTAGCATCAAGTTTTTTCGGTCTTCCGCCAAGAGGTCTAGCTGGGTCAGGACAATATAGTTTTCTGAGCCTTGTAAGGGTAGAATTACCCACTTCTGGATACAAATTCTTTATCTTTGAGAGCGAAAGACCACGTTAGAGCAAAGATTGGAGAATGTTGCGCAAATCTTGTGTTAAACGAGCAGGCAAAATGAAAGTTTTGAAAAAAAATAAGAAAGCAAAGAAATAAAGAAAATACATGAAGAAACTAGCTTCTTTTACACTTTTAGAGTGCTCCTGGGATATTAAATATCCTGAGCATACCGCGGGTAGTTTTTTAGATTTCTTCAATACGCCTATTGGAAGTAGAGATATCAACCATTTTATATCATCTAGAATTACCCACCTAACATTTTTGCCACGTCTCACTTTAGCTGGTTATACTGGGATTAAAATATAGTCCAGCCATAAGGTTTTTATGTTGCTGTAATCCCTATAGGCTGTTCTATCGAACGCAGTATGGGGTAGCTTTGTTTTCTGAGTTTTGGCAATATACTGGGTAAAAGTCAAGATTATTTGAACGAACGGGACAGTTTTTCCCCCTACAGTATGTACAAAATAAGGTCCAAGCATATGTTTACTTCTGCATTCCATCCGCGCACCAATTCAAGGTGTGAAAGATTGAATCAAACATTCAAGCATATGTTGACTAAGTATGTGAAAGGTCCTGTTCACTCTTGGGAAGAATATGTGGATTCATCGTTGTTCTCTTGTCGCGTGCGAAAGCATACTACTACTGGGTATAGTCCTTTCTACTTGGTTTATGGTTAAGAGCCTGTATTGCCTGGTGATTCTCGTCGTCCTTTTATAGATCCGTTGGCTGAAGAAAATCCTGAATTGATTACTGAAGATGTCCTGTCTCGCATTCGTGATCTAAAGAAAAGGCGTTTTGAGGCCAAGTAACAGATGATACTACAGGATCGCAAGGGCAAGAAACAATAGTATGCTGCGCTCAAGAGCAGCACGGTCCAAACTTTTGATGTTAGCGATTATGTCATTTTGAGGCATGAATTCAAGAAGGGTTTGGAGTTCAATTGGATAGGTCCGTTTGTGGTTTTGAAGACAAATCTGGATTACAACATCTACCAAATTCGAGAAGTTGATGGAAAGGTCAACAATTCCTGGGCTCACACGAATTGTCTCCGTTCTGTGCAGTATGATGGTGCCTGTTAAGCACAAAAAACAAAAGGATTATTATTTGTAGCTTATAAAAAATGTTCGATATCACAAAAACAAGAAAAGACTTATTTGAATAAGATCAGACACAAAAACTAAAGATTTATTGATGAAGACAAGAGTTATCCTATTTATACTAAGTTCTGAATGCCAAAGTAGCAATTTATCTTGTACAACGCTTATCATATCTGGTGAACCTCAGCATTTAAATAGCTGAGATGCACTTCAATTATCATAGCTTGTCCATGTTGTTGCACAACACATACATATTATCTACCCATCTAGAGTACCTTAATCTTTGTAGATACTACTTGTAACCCTTTTGGCACAACACCGTACTTTCTTTTGGGAGGAAGGTAGTGTCAGGTACTTACAGACTTTGTTTGTAACCTTTTACTTTAGTATAAATATTAAATCAGTTTGCAAAACATTAAAGATCATCTTTTATCTCATTTATATACATTTATCAAAGTTTACTTTAAACTGCATCTATACACACGACAGAAACAATATAAACGTCCCACGGCTATAAAAAAATTTCCAAAAAAATTGCCTGCTAACAGAATCGAACTGTTGACCTTCTGCTTACTAGGCAGACGCTCTGCCAACTGAGCCAAGAAGGCTTGCCTGCCAACCACTGCCTCTGCTGGTCCTCCTGCTTACTGGTCTGCTCTACTGAACCTACTGTATGCTATCGATTGCCTTGTGCATCCTCTGGCTGTCATTGCTCCGGATCCAGATCCAGCGTCTCTTTGGTACTCTCGTACTGGTTGATCTGACAGGGATGAACATGTTCCATTGTTGTTTTCTACGTGCGGCTCCTCGGTGGTAAGTCATTATCAAAGTTCCCATCCGTTGGTTGTCCCTCGAGATCCTCAATGTGAGCACCACTAGTCTCCATGTCCTGCACTCTTGTCACTGCATTTTTTGTCCTTTTGAAAGTGCTCTGGAGGATTTTTTTAGTTACTTGTTATATATTTGTTCTTGAAATTAGGCTATGCTCCCATCGAGTGCCCACTAAATTTCATATAAATAAAAACCAATCTTAAACTGAGCCAAGAAGGCACCTTTCTTTCCGCTAAAGAATTTTTTATATACTTTCATAGCCCGAATTATATCGAAGATTCCTATAACCCATCATCTCTCATCAAGTACTTGCTATATCAATACCATAACCGAGCAAAACACTTTTAACAAGATTACACCTGCTGACACCCTTTCGTCCGGTCAAAAAAGGCCAATTTCAACCCTCTCTCCACCTTTCTTTGCTGCTGATATCTCTCAACATTTAAAAGCAAAGAAAATGCAACCTCAAGACCTCTCCAAAGCATCTCATTTCACATCCTCGATCGATGTTGACCCCAACTCGATTGACTTTGGTCTCACTTCCCTCCCACCTGCTTCGCCCACTGATCAAACTGCGTTGTCGACCTTTATGGTTGAGGTCAGACATCGTTTGAGCAGATTAGAATCTGCCCATGCTGAAATTGCGCAGTTGAAAACAGCCCTGGCTGAATCAGAGGCTGCTAGAGACGCCCTTGCGGCTCAATTGGCAGCTATCAACGCTCAATCCACCACCATAGACGTTGTATCGTCGAACACTCCAACACCACCATCAACAACATCTGCCTCCAAGTCTACCCCCAGCTACTCCCAATCTCAAGTTACAGCGCAACCATCTTTTGCTGCCGTCGTTGCATCTAATACAGGTGCAAAGCGTAAGAAGAAGCCTGCTGCTCGTCCTCCTCCTCCATCTGCCACCAAGGCATCCGCTACTCTTGCTCGTCTTTTTGCTCCTCAAAGTGATATACCATCTGGTTATCAATTTGTGTACTATGCTACTCCTGTCCGCCGTCGTCTTTCTGAGCTGCGTCGCCTTGTTCAAGGCGTAGGATTGAATAACTCTCGTGTGCTGGATATTCAATATCCTGTACAGAATGTGATTTCTTTCCTTGTTCATAATGACTATGTTCTCACTCTCACCAAAGCCATGCATCTCCATGGTCGTGGCTCTTCTCCGTTGATTGACTTTGATCCATGTGATCCAGTCAATCTCAAAGATCCCAAATTTGCTTCTCTCTCTCGTGATCTGCGTGTCCAAAAGGCCATTGAGGTCGAAAACCTTCGCTGCCTTCGTTCGCTGTCTTTTGTCCGTCGCTCTGTCCGTGTTTCTGTTGCTCGTTCTTTTCTTTTGTATGATCGCATCAACCAAGCCCAATTTGATGCCATTTTGAAAGAAGAAATGCTTGCTCGTTCCTCCTCCTCTGCTGCTGCTAAACCACCATCCCGATCCTCTGATCAAGAGCGTTTAGCCAAGAAACAACGTTTGAGTTATCTTGGCTACCTCTTGCATCATGATGCTGAAACTGCCTCTCTCTTGGCTTATGCTGTCTCCCCAACTCTCTCTGCTACCAAGGATCTTGAAATGTCAGAGCCTTCTGATAACTGATTGACACCTTGCTGTTAAAATCGTTTTGCTCTCTCATCCCCACTCTCATTGTTTCTGTTTCTGCTGCCTTTGTGGTAGTGTCTGTATTCACTTTGTCCTCCTTCTCTGCTTCTTTCTCGTTTGGTCTTTGTCTCTCTACTCATTTTGCTATATGCAAATGCCTCGTTTTCTCCTTTTTTTTCTTGCTTTTTTTGTGCCACTGAGGTCTGTGGGTTTATTTTGTCTGTGCTGCTGTCTGAACATCGAGGTATCCTCAATTGCATGTCTCATACACCATAGCTTCTTATTCTCTACCCTTTTATCTCACTTGTTTTACTCCTTTTTCCTGCCTGTACTTCTTTTTTTACCAGTTTAGTTTTTAGTTTAGGACCTTTTTTCCCTTTTCTGGACACTTGCATGTTGTTCCTGCATGGAGATCAAACTATCAATTTAAGCTTTTTTGCTGTACGTCGCTTCTCAGGACTTGCAACTAATGATCCAAAGATCGCATGCATATAAGTCTATATTTTTTACATTGCTAATTCATTGTAATCAATAAACAACCATAAATTTTCGCCTGAGCCAAGAAGGCATCTCTTTCCGTTTTTCAACACTTTTTGCCACCATTTTCGGAAAAAAGTTGTTCCAGACTAGAAAAAACGTATTTCCTCGATAACTACCAACTCCAACAACTCGAAATTACACAACTTTGCTTGCCTTTGGTAACAGTTTATTGTGTTATAGTTTCAAATTTGTCGAACACCTCCTTGATATTTTTTTAAAAATTTTCAAATTTATAAAAAAATATTCTCCGTCATGGCCACCAATCTACAGGGTATGGATATGAATCAGCTTCAAATGATTCTTAATCAGCTCCAAGAACAACTTACCTCGGTTACTGCTCGCGTCAACGAACATGATGGTCTTCTTGCTCGTTTAGATACTCTGGAAAAAGAGAATTCAGAGTTGAAAAAACTTTTACAGGACAAGGACCTTGCAATTCAAAAATTGCAGGGTGCAGTCTCCGGTCACGTGGTCCCCTCTGGTTCGAGTCGGCCCACGGCGGTAGAGGGGTCAACCCTCAAAACTACTACTGGCTCTATGAATACTAAGGCTACTAAATCACCTAGCTATGCAAATGTCGCAAAGGCTGCTGCTACTCTTCCTGATCCTGCTACTGAAGCTAAGCAAGCTAAGAAGCGTCTTGCTATTGGTCGCGCCTTTACAACTGCTGCTCGTAAAGGTCCTCAAGGTTACCAATATGTTTATATTGGTAGATCTAAGAAGATTGCACGCTCTGAAGTTCGCTCTCTCTTGCGCAAAGCCGGCGTTGATTTGGGTCGTGTGCTTGACA